AGACAACCATTCGAGGCCGTAAAGATCACCCACAAACACGCATGCAGATTTTCCAATTCACACGAAGTTATCTGGGAGCACACCCCACCATGAGTTACACATGCATATTCGCAAATTAAATTAAAGAAAAGCATAATAGTGTTTGTACCAAAAATTAAAGTTTAAAAGAAGAAATTCCGACCCACCATCTGCCAACCAAAAAAATAAGGGGGGGGGGAGGCAAGATCAGGGAACATGCATTTCTTATTTGTTTGGTACTCAAATTTATATTTTATGTATCCCAGCGAAGGGACTTGAGGCATTTCGGATGATCAACGGTCGTCTGATTTGAATAGCTTATTCCCTCAAAAGCATAACGTTAAGACTTAAGAGGCGTGATCGGCCTTGTTCTCCCACATATACCCAATGGAGAGGGATTTGATTTAAAACTAACTAACTATATCTCTATTAACAATCATATAGTGTGTGTGTGTGTGTGCGTGTATCATCTAATGCAATATTCTTATTCTATTCCCAACGCATTTCGGGCAGTTTCTAGATTCTTATGATTCACGCGGTTAATTAGATATATAGAGGAGCGACCGATTTAAAAGGAATCTAAACCTTTTAGATACGGTGATGCGTATTCCCGTGGAAAAAAAGAAGCTTTTCTCCTCATTTCTCTCTTGACATTTTTTTCCCCCCGTTTAATTCAACCAAAATGACGACAGCTTGTGTCAGCCGAATTCCTGTGCGTGGGTGCGGCGAAGTTGCCTGGTTGAAATTAATCAGATAGAAAATGGAGAAGGTTACTACCTCACTAGTAGTAATACGGTTAACCGGCCGGGGAGATAATCACGTCAGAATACGGTTAAACAAATCAAATACCTTCTTCTCAATAATCAAGTTAAACAAACAATATCTATGTGTCGCTCGTTGATGTGGCTCCAAGACCACGACCATTATCCTAGCGCAGTATCTTCCTGATTTCGAAGAACAAAGAAGAAGGCGACATTATAACGCAATACTGTATCACACAGGTGGACAGAAATTGAGTGTGCATTTGGAGAGTTTGTTCTGCTTTCGTGTAATTAACTAATGATCAAATTAATCGCATGCCGCGGGATTCTTCCAACTAATCAATAAGGTGCATACTCTTGTGTTATGAGATGCTAATCAATCACATCGCAATATGTAAACGCACAAGCTAAGGGCCTATGTGAGCATCGCCACTTCGATATGGATTTCGCTTTTTTGGCTTTCATTGTCGAGTCCCAGCATGTACATGCTAGTATTCCCTCGTGCTTCGAACATCTTTGGCAAGTGTAGTGCTGTTTGAGCACTCGGTCCATGGGGTTTTCACGTTTTGGCGGCAATCCACAGTTAACGTAGTACACAAATGCTTTGTCCCTTTCACAACTATCTCACATGATGTGACACACACAAACAGATGCTTCAAAAGTTTTTTGTTTTCATTCGAGGGATGAAATCATGACGCCCTCAAAAATCTCCTTTCCTTTCTGGGCTCTATGGGGTTGTTGTTGTGTGATATTTTCCGGAGTTTTTAGGTGCAGTACAAAACCCACTCAGCACAGGAAAGGAAAAAGAGAAAGTGAACAGGTACCAATAGTTAAAGAGCTGCTGATATTTTCCACCTCATGTTCATTTCTTATATATATATATATAATTGTTGGATTCTCATATCCATGTGCACAGTGGGTCACTGGCCATTTGATGAAATGTGTCGGGGTAGGGTACTGAGAATACGTACGTACAGTGGCTTCACGTGAAGTATATTAACCTTTCAAAGCCTGAACCAAAACCGAGCTGGCATCGTCTGGAAATCGGAGATGCACCAGCCGGATGAAGTCATGCACCCGTCTTAATGAGCATTCTCTCAGTAATTCTGAATATGGAATTAAAACGTCACTTAACATCAATGATTGAGGAAGAGAAATCTTAAAAGGAATTGCTACTTGACCAGCATCCTGTAAACTTAGTTCGATATTGGAAATCAAATCAGAATGTGTCACTTGTAAGTGTATATTTTTCTTTCGGCCGAGTAAATTGTCCATACAATTAGTGATGGAAGGCTGGGAATAATTGTATGCTGGGCCCCAAGTTGTCAATGACATGCACATACGCGCAGACATATAGTGGAAATGCCCGTGTCCAAGAACAATGAATCTTTCATGCAACTATGCAAGGGACAAATAGGTCCTCGTAATTGCTGTTGATAGGGAACTGAGGCATTGGCCTATATTTTTCACATAAGCAAACTGCTTACATAGCTAATATAAAAGAAAACTGAATTCAACTTAAGACCCATATAGTTGTTGCTTACGAGTCTTTCTCATGGAAGAGTTCGTTTTCCATTTATAATTCCTTTAATTTCTGCTCTATCTTATTCATAACGAGTTCTTTGTTCTATGGTTTCGGTCTTTCATCCCCAGGCTTCTCTTTCTCCATATACATCTGGTGTTTCGACTTTGATTCTTGATAGCTAGCTAGGTTGCTATATCAAAAGCCATATCAAAGTTCAAACCCTGACCACCCTCATGCCACCTAAAACTATTCATTCTCACTCAAACAGTTAATTTCAAAATCTATCATACCAATCGGTTCGGTATTATCCATATCTTCTAGAGAAAGGCGACGTTTTGCATGCTTGTGATGATTCAATTTTAACATTGCTGTCCGTCCCTTTGCTCAAAAAAACATTGCTGTCCGTCCCCAGTAAATTGAAGCAACGATAGGGCGTCTAGGAGTGTCTGAGATATATGGGTACGTAAAATAATTTTGAACAGTAGAGAGATTGAGGTGGAGGTGGGGTGGCTAGACGTACGTATCGGGGCTTGATACGAGACACAAAGCATGACTCACAATTCTCATCTGTGAACACAGCCAACTACTTCCTTCATTTAATATTAATTGTATCTTTCAAGTGATTAACATCTAACAAATAATACACCTAATACTATTTTATAGAAACTTGTAAACTATAATGTGGAAAATCTTCATGACTCCCCAGAAGTGATGTGGATGATACAAAAGTAAGGGAATGATTGATTTGGATTTGACATTCTTTCTTTTGTAAGGGAATGATTGATTTGGATTTGACATTCTTTCTTTTGCCTCCCCCTTCTACTTGACGGGAGAGGGACATGTAATGCTTCAAAAATCATTTGGGCTTGCAAAGTGGTTCAAAAAGCGTTCTGGCCCAACAATCTGCTACCAAGCCATCTTCATCTTTGGCCCTCTTCTACTTAGCGCATGAACGTTAATGGGCTCGCTACATGGATTCCGTCATCGGTTACACAAACTCCTCCAATGGCAGCGCCGCCGTAGTGGACAGTCCCCCTGTTAATTATTGCTGGCATGACGATGATTTCAAACAGTGGTGAAGCCTAAAGACGATGATCCTGCTCTTCATTTTTGTTTTTACTTCATTTACTACCTCTCACTTCATCGCTAATTGCGCGTTTCAAGCCGCTTTTTGATTGTTTGAAAGTACGACGAAGTGTCATTTTTATCACTGACTCCTCAGAGTTGACGTGTTATTTGATTATGCGATTGTTTTTTTTTTTAATCAATGAAGTGTTTTTATATTTATTCATGGTTTATATTTTTATTTTTGCATTAAAAATTTAATTATACTTTTAGGTGAATGTTGTTTTATTCTATCCTATTCGGTGTTATGTTATACTATATGCCTCCTATACTTACTTGTTTAATTTTTATTTTGATTCTAAATATAAGACTCTAATCCACTTTGTCTTTTATATTTATTTAATTTTTTCTCAAGGTAATCCTTGTGATAATAATAGTTCTAACCAATACACTTGATTAGCAATCATATTTTAGGAAAGACACATCTATTTATTATAAATAACTAACTTAACTGATTTTTCTAATCTACTCAAATTAGTCAATTAGCTCGTATATTAGGTATTGGAGGTAGTCTACTACAAAATACAAGATAGTATGAAGTTATGAGTGGGGATAGGCAGGTGATCGAATTTACTCCTCCGATCCTTAATATAAAACCTATTAACTAATTTAATTAGATTTAAAAGTTAGATAAGCTAGTTAATTACAAAAAATATGACATGTTTTTTCTAAAATACCATAATCATCTTTCTTAATATCCCCCCTCCCTCTTCTACTTGATTATGTTGATGGAGTATCTACAAGGAGTAATTTAAAAAAATTGATAAATATAAAAAATACATCTTATATTTAGAATCAAAATCAACTTAATAATTAGGTCATATATTGAGGAGCGGAGGAGTTTTTTGTTTGGTTAGAGAAGGCGATCAAATTCAATCGGACATGCATATAATCAGCAACATAATTAGGAGTAAGGAGTAATAGATCATAGTAGTGAACATGGTTATGAAAATCAAAGCAAATCTTAATTATGGTAGGGAACACCGTTATGAGGTGCAAGAAAGTGACAAGTTGAGAGTGAGAGAGCGAGAAAAGCAAGTGTCGAAAATTAGAAAAAGTGAGGCCCATGTCATGACGAGGACTATGAAGATGGGAAGAGGGGAATATTTGAAGAGGCCACCCCGCCGGAATCGTATTTTGGAAGAGTGTGATTAGTTAAGTCCCCAACCCAGCCTTGGGGCATGGCATTCAGACGTAAACAGACACTGGCATTATTATAAAGTGAAATAATAATGAAGGAAGCAAAAATGCGAGGGCATGATGATCTCTTGAAACCTCAGCAAGAGAAGCGGCGTTGATGCTTTTAGTTGGAACAAAGCTTTCTCATCACTCCCCACGTTCCCCTTGCGGCGCTTTAATTTATTAGTGTCATGCATCCTCATCCTCCTCATCATCACCAACAGTTAAGCCGGCTGCCACTTTTTCGTCGCTTCAATCCTCTCACGCTAACCTAACTAATAAGCTTACTACAGGCTTCACTTTGGTGTTGGGGCCCAAGTTGGAAGGCAGACGAAAAGCACATAAACAGAGCAGAAACAAATAAATCCCGAGTGAATTGAAGAAACAAATGGTGCCCAACAGTAACAGGAAGAACACATAAATATAAAGGCTAAAGCGTAGGAAATGTGAATGCTGTCGCACCCACTGCACTGTCCAAACCAAACCTCCTCTCAAGTTTACAGCAGAAGTAATTAAGAAGCGTGATGAAGGGCAGAGAAGCCAAAGCAGGTCCCTCTGCTGATCTGTTGCTGTGTTTCCCTTCTCGACCTCATTGGACTGTTACGCCTAAAGCCATTTGCGCCCCCGACGACCGCCGCCGCCATCTCAGGAAACTGAGCACCGGAGCTGCTGGTCAAGTTCGCCCTCTGCTGTGGGTCAAAGCTAAGTCCGCCGCCTCCGAGACTGCCGAACCGTCTTCCCCCAAAGTTACTTGTTCGGGACAGATCAAGGTTAGACAAAATACCTCTGCTTGCAGGAACTGTCAGTCCGTGACGGATGAGATAGAGAAAATTCACGATGCTGGGAAACAAAAGAAACGATCCAACTGGGCCGAGTCTCTCCGCTTCAAAAGGGAAATCATGCAATTTCTGACTTGTTTGCGAACATTGCGATTTGACATGCGCTGCTTCGGATCATTCCCCACTGCGGATAACACCGCCGAAGATGATGACGAGGAGGAGGAGGAATGTTACCGGGAAAATCATGTGGGTATCGAAGAGACCAGCGATGATGCTGCGAGGGCTGTATTTTCCAAGTGGTTTATGATGCTGCAGGAGAAGCAAAACAATGTGTTTCAAGGAGAGGCCGCGACGAACGAAGACGATGTGAGCGATGATGTATCGATTGCTGAACCCGCTGTCCCTCCTCCAAATGCATTGTTGCTCATGCGCAGCAGGTCTGCTCCGGCAAAAAGCTGGATCAAAGAGAACGAAGACCAAGAAAAGGAAGACAGGGCACGCGCAGAAGAGGGTAAAGAAAAGGATCAGCAAACAAGTATGCAGAGTATGAGGTTGTTGATGGAGAAAGAGGAGACGAAGAATGAGAATACGAGGGCGATGAGATATGACTCTGACTTTCACTGCATGTCGTGGGATATTGTGAAAGAATCATGGATGGTTGGCCGTTTGAGAGATCCATTATCTAAGAGTCGAAGTTGGACAAGATAACCATCCAAAGCTGACGACTTTATTGATAATATAAACATAAATATGTATTCGCACACGCACATTACATTAGCAATCAATCACATTCGGATATAGTATTTCCAGTTTGTGTCATTTCTCCCAAAATTACTTCCTTCGGCGTGATGAGTGGGGAATTGGACAATGACTGAAGATATTCTTAGATTTAGCCTACTTTAATAACCATTGATGACGTGATATTATCTGTACAGTTATTCTGATTTTCCTTCGCATGGTTGTACGAGCTTGCATTCTCTGTTTTGCGAGCATCGTCGGTGAAGCATACTGCATATAACGTTTCTTGAAACAGAATGATTATGTTGATGTCTGCTTTATTGCTTGACGTGTCGGATTTTCAAAGTTGTTGATGCAAACGCCTTGGCTCCAATCGGGACAAAAATGTGAGACTAGTCTATTCCAGTCCATTTTGCGGGGCTTTAAATTCTCTCCAGGTGGTGGTCTACCTCCCTGTTCCAACAATGGAATCGAAACGACGATGGTTGGACCTCTTTCTGGGTCATTCACGCTGTCTCTAGTTGGTTGGGCTGTGAGGGGATTTTTCTGGGCCAACACTATGATAGGAAGGTCGAGATAAAACAATTGAGGCAGTAACAACCAAGTACAAGGGATTTAAACATCTTAAATATTATGTTCTGAGTTTAATTTTTAGGCGTTAGTTTCTTACCATTCCGGTAGATATTCTGGCGCACCTGACAGAGGAGCCACGTGACAAGATTTAAAAGCGTGTAAGCTTCCATAATATTTGAATATCCTATGCATCAATGCACCGATGGGTTGAGCCTTGCTGATCTGACTGTTTAAATATTTTTATTACATGCCATCTAAATTTTATTCAATTCGGAATAATGAGAATGATGAAATATCCATTTTCACGCATGGATTCTGTACTTTTGATTCCTTTCACTTCAACAAACAGCGAGTTTAGGAGGGGTTAACGGCTGAGCGCGGAATATATCACTTTTTAGAATGTAAAGTCATGTCATCTGTAGTGCCAAATTCTTCAACGGAGGAGGCCATGGATGTTGAAATGTATTGCCTCACCCTAATCATGTTATGATCACAGATCAAATCCGAATGAGTTGACTTGAACAGCCCACCCCACAATCTGTGTCATTAATCTTTCACCCGTCTTTTCCTTCTCCGGCCGCTACCCACTCACCGCTAACACCCCCCCCCTCTCTCTCTCTCTCATTTTCCCGTTATTGGGGTGAAACATGTGGTTTCATACTTCATACTTCTTTTTCCCCCACTTTTTATTTGCCCTTTTCTTTTTTACTATTCAAAAAATAATTAATTAATTTTCTCTCTATTTTTTTTTCCCTTTTCCCCTTTCATGTAGCATCGCTTTCCATCCGAACATGCGATACTCCCTCCGAAACCTTTCGTGAGTGACCGTCTCTTCTGATCTTATTGGCTACGTTTGTCTATAACTAACCAGAATTTCATGGGGCGGTCTTACATGAAAGGAAAAGCAGGATATATTCTTGCAAGCACAATGAATTCAAATAAAAATAAGTTAGAACTTAGGCTAGAGTGTGGGTTCAGATAATTTCGTGCTGTGGAGCTTGGAAGAGCTTTTTTTTTTTTTCGGTGGGTGCTGAAAACAAAACAATAATGCATGGGAACTATTCTCCTTTTTTTCCTTTAATGAATCATTTTCTCAAACACAGAGAAGGCAGAACAAGAATTTACATATATTTCACAAATGTTATCTAACTACAACAAAGTCAGGTCCACTCCGTCAAACTCTTCACAGGAAGAAAGAAAACACTCGTCAAATTTGCCAAACCAATGTAAAATCTGCACAAATTAACCAAAGGTGAAAAAAAAAAAGAATCAATTACCAGCACAAAAGAGTTTCTTTTTGTATAAATATTGTCGGGGCTAAATAGTGATGCTGTCCTTCCCCTTCCCACAAAGCAATGTTCACAAAGTTTAGAACGCGATGCAATTAGCCTGGTTTACTTTGCATGGAAGGCTCTTTTGCCTTTCAACCTCTTTGTGTGTTCCTTGCAGTGTTCTCAACTGCTATATAATTTGACAGATCTTTCTAGCAACTCGTGATTGTTGCCTGGAATTTCCTCAACCTTTGATCCATTCTTGTATATTTTGAAGGCTGGGACAGAGCTCACCCCTTCTGATTTCGCTAAGTAGGGGTGGTCATCAATTTCCACCTGAATTTGAAATTAAATCCTTGTAAGAAGCAAATCAACATAAATGAGATCGTATCTTCTAATTTTTAAACCCAAAAACAATTTAAATGAACGTACCTTGAGGAAATTGACGGACGGAAATCTCTTGCAGGTTTGCTCCAACACTAGCAATTCTTGCTTGTGGGTTGCCTTGTTGCAAAATAGCACCACAGACATACCTATTCAGTATAGCACAAGCGGGTCAGTGCTTTTTGTAATGCTCTAAGTTCACATGTGCAAGAAACGCAATTGAATTTTAACTTACCAGGCGAGGTTACATAATGTCGAAACCGATCATTGCTCGATACAAAAACCAAATTACACCCAAATTTGACGTCCTTGACATCTTCCCCACACAACATCTTGAGTTGAAGCTGAGCCTCAAACAAAGCCCTTCCCGCCTCCTCATCCCCTGGCCTTTCTCTCAATAGCATTTCATAGTCTTGAATTGCAGCTTCCCATCTTTCCAACTACATACACAAAATGAGAATAAAGGGGTTAATAAAGAACCCAAGTGAACAATGAGACATAAAACTATTAAAGAAGCAGTTAACTCACCTTGGCATTGCAATCTGCCCTCCTGAACCGTGCCTTGCTATAACTAGGCTGAACCGCAAGGGCTGCATTACAATCTTCAATCGCTTTCTCAAATTGACCCAGCTTATAACGACATGCTGCTCTGTTGCATAGGAGAACTGAGTTGTATGGATCGTGCTCCAGTACTTCGTTGTACACAGCACATGCTTCCGTATATTTGGATGCCTTGGACAGTGAGTTTCCCCTCATTCTGGCTAATGACATCGCTCTGGCCTTCTTTACCACTACACTCACCTCTTTGTCGCTTGGATCAAGTTTAGCTGCTTGCTCAGCTGCTGTCACCGCATCCTCGAACCTGTTCACATGCAACAATCAAAATCAACTTGGAATCATACTAAATAGAAAGCAATAGAAGAGTAAAGCCAACAATTTCCTTATTTTGGTTCAACTGATTCTGCTATCCAAACACCAACAACGCATTAAATATTGTGTACCATCACCGACCTCTTGATCAATAGTGTTATTTTCTGGAAAAAATCCTGAGGTTTTATGGAAAAGGAAAGAACCTGCTTTAGATCTATTTTGGGTTTCATATTGTCTAAGACGATGTTCAGAGTTGCAAATGATCTATAAAAACACTGAAAACATGTAAATAAAAGATTTTGACCGACCTGCCAGCTGCCAAGTAAGCTTGCGCTCCTATCATAAACAGATAAGCACTACGAGCCAGACCAAATAACTTGGTGCACCAATTAATAGCAAATTTGGGCATTTTCTCATAGGTAGCATATGCCTCTTGATGTCTGAAGAGCTTGAGTAAGGCTTCTGTTTGCAACGCATACACCTGGAGTGCATAAAAAAAATTTTTAGTCAGGATAAGGCGCAAGAAACTGGGAAAGCCATCGTCCGTGCATGGCACAGGTATGAAAATTCTATTGAGACTAACGGGACTAACCTGAGGGCTTGAATCAGCACCTAATGATATAGCAGAATGCGTTTCGTTCAGTATAGCATCCCAGTCGTTGATTTTCCTTGCTTCAATGCACTTTTGAAGGTGATTGCGAAGAGACTGAGCTTGGAAGGCGAGTGCAGGATCAGAATATGGGGTTGCGACATTGTAACTTAGTGCCTTTTCTGCTTCCCCCAATCTGCATCAGGAATCTCAAATCTATTATGAGGGGAAAAAAAATTAAAACGCAGGTATCGACCACACACTGTTTCTTGGAAATTGAATGGGGCATGTAATGTAAGTATTACCAAACTGAGTAAGGAGTACCTGAGATATATGGTTGCCAAACGGTGATGGGGTCTGTTATAAGATGGTTCCAACCGGATAGCTTCTTGGCACTCAACAATTGCTTCCAGAAGACGGCCTAATCCTATCAAAGCAGCACTCTTATTGCAGTGGAACGTTGCTTTATTTGAATCAACAGCAATCGCTCGCTCATACAAAGACAAAGCCTGTTCAAATCTTCCTTGCTTATATGCTTCGTTTCCCATTGTCTTCAACACTTCAGGGTCTACTCTGTTCTTGGGACTCCGGAGCTGCGCAAGTTCATCAGTGCTCTCCCTCATAATATTCCCCGTGACGCCTATACTTGAGGTAGTGTGAGACTTGAGAGCTGAGTTCATCACATCTTTATTCCTTGGAATAGTTTCACGACTCCTAGTTCTAGTTGTTGGGCTATTGTTTACAAGCAGATTACCAGTAAGTTTGAGTGGGGATTTATTCTCGTTTTCTCGCTGATAACAAGTGCTTACTCTAGCAAGCTCCAGCGAGTTTTCAGTAGGCTGTCTCCGTGTCCTGCGATCAACATTCAACTTGTGGTTTTGTTGAATCTTAATTGGGCGAGAATTGCCAGAGGATGAGGTTGAGCTTCTTGCAGCGTCTGAAGGTCTCGGATGTTGGTTCTTTCGAATGGTAGGAGGTGTTCGATGACCGGAAGGGCTCTTTCTGGCTGATTTGTGCAAATTGGTTGAAGGAGCCTTGGGTTCAAGATTTGGCGGCTTCTTGGATTCAGTGTTGCTCTGGTCGTTGTGGACATTATTGCTAGCCTTCGAGGGCAGTGAATGAACAGATGATTTCCTCAGCTTATAGCATGTAAGATTGAAAATCCTCCCCATGAAACCACAACCCACATCACTTTGCATCTTGTTCTTGGTCTTTCCTGCCATGAATCTTCGGAAGCAGCCTTACTGGAGATGAATGACTGGGAAGGAAAAATGTGAACTTCCAAAAAAACACCTCGCAGGAACAGAAAAAGAAACGGGTGAAGAGAGTATATAGATGCAGAAATTATGAAAGGGAAATCTTGAAGTGATGGCTTGGATGTGAGGGAGTTTATATAAAGACGATTGCCCTGGGGCAAGGAGTTGTATTCTGATAGCCTCCCCCTGGAGTGGCTTCCAAGAAACTGACTTTACCTCTTTTTGTTTTTTGGGACCTTTAGAGACATAATGGGTAGTGTAGGATTTAAAGAATAGACACATCCGCATGAAAGGAAAACTCATTCAATTATTTTATTTCATCCATTTGTCCACATCCATTCTATTATGATTGGATTGGATTTCCATCCTTGTCCAAATTAATATGCAATGATATGGACGAAGCTTTTTTCTGGTACGGCCTTTAAATTAAATTTATCCTAGTTGATTCTGTAGAAAATTATACAGTCGGAGGTGGTCGCTGGGTCGCTGTTTAAGGTTTACAGCTCAGAGTGATGTGGTTGGAGGGGTTTAAATGCCGTGGATCACTCAGTGCGTGTCGTGACATCGTTATTTGCAAAACAAATAGTGGACTGCAGTGCGCTCTCAATCCGTCTAAAAGGCCAAGGCCTATATATTAATTTAAAGCATCAACTGCATAAAAATGGATACTTCATAGAGTCCTAAATCACAACGTGGTGTGAAGGAGTGAATTTAAAAATAGGAGGTCGTATTAAAGAAGATTGGAATTAATGCAGAACCCGTGTGCTAGCTGTTTTCGTGTGAGGAAAGATTGGGCACGATCTGGTAACATACTTGCATGAGAAGCCTGAAGGCCCATAGAGATTAAGTCATAGGAGTAGGTTGATGGGAAGAGGGTGTTGAAAAGGGCAAAACTTTTTGACCAAAGAACAAAGGATGAAAGGAGGAGTGTAATAAGTGAGCATGCCGGAGTGGGTAAATGGAAGAAGAATAGAGGGGGTTCGGGATAAAGACTAAAAGGCTAGATTTGGTGGCAGAGTCAGCTGTTGAATTAATTACAAAGGAATTTGAAATATTTGATTTTAGAAGGAGATGCATGCGTGTGTGTTGTAGGAGAATGAACTGGAAGGAGGGTTGGTAGTGTGGCGTCTTGTTTGGCGTGGCAGACAGATTACATTAGAAAGGCCATTCCAACATACGACTCGTTTTAGGGACCACTCGTTGACATATCCCAACCACAGATCTGTCTGGACATCGTGTCCCCTCCGTCTTCGTCGGTGCCGCACTCTCCCTTCCCTCAATTCTCCGGTCTCTCTTTACTATTCTTGGATTAACTTTTATGCATTATGACCCCAACTCTAACAAGATTGTTCCCACTCTTGAGGTTCCCAAACCAAAAGATAATAGTTCCACCGCGGGACTACATCAGTTTTTCCACTCTAATGTTTTCGTTGCTGCAATTTAATAAATCTTCACATCTGTGTTCTAATTAGTTAGCTTCACGCCCCTGATAAAAATAATTCACTCTTAAAAACATGCATCAGATAAGGATGTCCTGTCAGGAAATGTTGTTTAGTTATATATTCCAATCCAAACAAGAACAGGATAATAACATGTCAAATGAGAAACTGTAGAGTGTAGTGGAGAAACCTGCTCCACACGCATGTAATTAGTTAGTTGATAAAAACAACCAAGAGAGAGATGATTTGGGGCAGAGTGAATTAGATATGGAAGGGAAGGGCTGAATTGGGTTGACTGGGGGAGTGGGTGGTGGGGAAAGGAACAACGAATTTGGCACGAGGAAACGAATGAATGCAAGCTTTAGGTGGGGAGCCTTGGAGACGATGGGGCGTTGCCGACGAAAACAAAGAAGCAGCAAAATAAGATATGCGCATCTGATGGCCTCGTACATACATATCACATATGCCTTTGTTTAATGCTACGTGGCAGTCAAACCTTTACAGCTGACCCATACATAGAATGTCCTCCTCCAATGTTTTTGTCCATTTCATTTGAGTATGTAGCACGTGTCCCCAAATAATTAGGAGTATGGCTTGCTGTTGTTCCTTTTGTCCGCCCTCTTTCTCCGAACAACGCCCACGCTCTCAATCCCCTGATTCTCATCCTCATCCCATCACACCTGCTCCCGTACTTCCTCTATTTCTATGTGTTTCCATTACATCTATGATATTGTTTAATTAATACGGTGGCTGCCTTAAAACGCATATATTTTAAATTAAATAGGTGAAGAGAAAAGAGACAGGCATTCAATATATCATTATGCTTGGGCTTGGGGTCGTACGATTCAGGTCTCTCATGCTGGCTTCAGAAGCAGAGTGCAATGAATGACTACTAACAACACCAAACTGATGACGCCGAAACAAATAAACATATAATGTCCTACTTTCGGCTGTCTTCCCAAAAGTGGCTTCATTTCTATCCATCCAGAGTCAAATTGAGAAAGCAAGTCTCTGTGTGTGTGTTTTTAAATTACTTCGATCATATCATCCCATCTACAATTTGGTCACAGAGAATAATTCCCTTGCACCGTCACTCTGATGCCGTGTTAGGGCGGGGAGAACGACATCATGGAATAAAAATCTCAGACTTCCTCGCAGGAAGACAGGAAGAGGTTACTTTTATATGGGGAAAAATAGAGTTAACTATGAATTGCAGAGTGAAAATAAAAATATCGATGGATAATATTTTCGATAAAACGTCAGTTGATAAGTATTTAAAGTGCGTGTAGATGTTTTAATGTTAAGGGGATGGAGTTTACGGGAAAGAAGGAAAAACTCGGAATGATGAGGTCATGAAAGGGAGGGGAATAATGACTAACTGTTGGGTAATTGGAATTTTGTGTCGTGAAGGACGGTTCTGCCAACCCATGATTTCAACCATCATTGTCAATTTCCCATTCATGCACAATTCTCAACAAAGTCAATATTTTTTTGCTCATTCTCATTAATTAACCATTTCCTTTATTTCTTAAAAAGATATCGTTGGATTGGATGCTGTTAAAGCCTAAATTTGGGGGCTAACTGCATGTAAAAGCAGGTGATTGGATATATAGAATCACTTTACTTTGGGGTGGATTAGGTTCAAAGCCAGGCAATTCAGATAGTTTTACTGGTCTGAACACATGAGCATGTTCAAAGCCAAGAAATGGGGGAAGTTATGAGAAAACTTTAGTACTCTGTCAATACGTAATTTTGCGCGCGCGCGAGAGAGAGAGAAAGAGAGAGCATATTCTGCAATGGAGTGTGTTAGCCAAGGCAAGGCGGCGGTTTGTGTGATTGGCGGGAGCGTTGAAAAAGATGGGATGCACGGGAATGGGAAGCTGAATCCCAATTTCCAAATTCAGCCCTTTTAATCTCGAAATGGGCTAGACCTTCACTCATGGGCATACCCAGTCCAATTCAAACTATGGGCCTTGGCCCTCCTCCACCATACAAACTTTATTTAAATTAAACATTCGGGAATTGAATTGATCACCTAAAAAAAGCCATGCTTTTGACTGACCGTACATTTTTTAAAGTCCAGTATTAGGGGTGTTTGGCAATACTTATAATTGTTTTTAAAAAAATACTTTCACACAAATTAAAACAATTCTTAAAATTAAAACAATTTTTATCGTATATTCTTTTTATATGTCATAAAATCACTTTTAAAATTACCATGAGTTTTTACTCAAACACGAGCCTCATGCTTCAAATTTCTCTAAAACATGCTTTTTTTCGGTGATATAAAACGTGCTTTCTTTTGGTGGGGAGAGCACCTGTAGATGTCACTTTGGGAATGATACTGCCAGTTTCTGTTCCGGACATACGTGACTTGCTACAAATGCAGGTCTCATTCTATTTACGGCACATCACTGCCCCCTTTTACTCTTCTAAACCATCGTGTTGAATTAACGGCGCTCCAAGGGGGATCTCGGGTTCGAGATTATTCATGCATTTACCTCGTCAAAACGACAAATGTACTTCTTGCTGTTTATATCTGTACTTCAAATTTTTAATATAAAAACTCATCTAATTTTTATTTTTATCATAAATGTAGGACCCTAATCTATTTTATTTCTTGTATTTATCTTTTTTTAAATGATCATTATAACGTTGATAACTCTAATTAATGTACTTGATTCGTAACGATATTTTAAAAAAATTAACATCTATTTATTACAAATAAACAACTTAACTAATTTTATTTATTTACTCAAATCAATTAACTAAGTCTTACATTAAAAATTAAGAGTAGTATTTATTTTGTAATAATGTAAACTGCACCCTAAAATACATCATATATTTAGAACGCGGGGTAGCAATTTATAAAGAACCAGATTCCTGTACTTCTCTTGGTTCTGCTCGTCCCTCCTCAACGACCTTCCTGTACTTTGCACGACAGTTTCACTCTAAACTCTCGCATATCCAGGAAGATTTAGGGATGATGACACGTATATACGAACGGATCATTGTTATTTATCAGCAGCAGCAACAATTATAACAGTGACGTGCGTATGGTGTCTTTCTCTTCTCCCCCGTCCCAAGTGGCCTCAGTTTGGCTCCTCCGTTCATCCAGCTATGTTCAGCTCATCGTTCTGTACTCGAGTCCTAAATTCTCGACCAACTGGATTTAATTACTTATGGTTCTCACTGAGACTTTAAACACGAGCCTTTATTCATTACGGTCTTCAATATAGGACCTAATTGTTGATTTAGTTTTGGTCTTAATATAGGACCTAATTGTTGAGTTAGTTTTGGTCCTAAATATAAGGCTCATTTCTCATATTTATCAATTTTTTCTAAATTACCCCTATGGATACTCCCTCAACTATAATCAAGTAGAAGAGGAAGAGGGGATATTAAGAAAGATAATTATGGTATTTTAGGAAAAATGTGTCACATTTCTTATAATTGACTAACTTACCTAACTTCCTTAATCTAATCAAATTTATTAAATGGGTCTTATATTAAGAACCGGAGAAATATATATTTTGTCGTGACAGCACATAAGACATCATCCTTTTATCCATATTTTAGAGCGGAACACGACCACGCCCGATTTAATTATTATTAAAAAAATTTAGAAATTATGTTCCTTGCTTAAAATTTTATTATAATTCTTTTAAAATAATTTAATTAGAACTTTTTAATAATTATACTTTTTAAAGTTTATCTTTATAATTATGGTTATAAAAAATGTTAATCAGCTGAGAAAAAACAAGGTTGATGTGGTGTTGCTTGGGGGTGGCTCAATAATGAGCAGGATGATGTGGCGGTTTCGAGTTGTATCGGGGGCCTCAGATATTTTCGAATAAAGAACAGGGTTCACACAATTTTTATTCTCTAGGTGTGTCCTTATTTTTATTTTTATTTTTTAAATTTAAAATTAGAGATTTTAGTCTCTTAATATTTTTATTTAAAATTTAATTCTTATAATTTAAAAAAATACTTGGATTATTTTATCTTTTAAAGAGCAAAACTTATGATTTTAAATTTAAGGGACTAAAACTAAAATTCATACAAATTTAAAAGATGAAAAATTATATCAATCTTAAATAATAATTACATACCGTAATTAATTTTTGTAATAAATATTGCTATCCTGTAAATAATAATCACGGGGATGACATGCTCCCATCCTGAGTGCAGCCTACAGAGTTCCCCCCCCCCCCCCATTTTTCTCAGGCGAATTAGTTAATCATTAATCACTCACGATAGAGCCCATAGCACGTGCGTTATCTTCTGATGATGAAGTAGCATTTAAATTTGATAAGGCAGCCTGATTTATTAAGTTCCTTCGAATCCTCGACAGCATTATTTATATAACTGGCACCATTTTTTACTTTTACTTTTACTCGCGCTCTAAATTTTAATTTTACTATTTAAGCGAATCCAGGTGGTCACGGTCCACACTGCGACATTGAGCTATAGATCCGCCGCTTTTGATTCCGAATGAATTCGGCGCATATAAATTTAACTGGAATTATGTTTGTATGCATTGTGACTGTATCGTGAGTCAGTATTTAATATAAAAATAAACTGAGTAATTTAAATAGATTAAAAAAATTACTTTAGTTAATTACTAGTAATAAATTTGTGCTCTTTTTTTTTTAAAATACCTTTACTAATCATGTGTATTGGATAAAGCTATTATTTAATGAAACATATAATATGTATAATTATTACAAGCACTACCTAAAAAAAAATAAATATGAAAAATAAGGTGAATTAGGATTTTGTATTTATAACTAAATTAAAAATCAAATTAACTCTTAGTATGTTTTATCAATTAAAAAAAACAGCCGATCAATCATATAGAGAACAAATCAATTAGAATTTCACAAGAATGCCGCATAACAGTTTGGCAGCATAGGCTCATTCAGGGGCGCGTTAAACCCGCTACTTAATATACTACTTCCGATTCTTGATATAAAATTTGATTTTTATTTTGATTCTAAACATAAGATCCCAGCAGTCCTTTTAAAATGGTAGTTCTAGTCAATATACTTGATTAGTAATGATATTTTAGAAAAAAAACACATATTTATTACAAATAGCTAATTTAACTTCTTTCCTTAATCTTCTCAAATTAATCAATTAGCTCTTATAATTAGAATCAGGAGGTATTAAAATTACCCCCTGAAATATTCGTTACCGATCCGGAATAAAACCAAGGCAATTAAAGAAAGTTATCCATTCATTAACGTCAAATAACGAATATGTGGATGATCAAGTGTATGGATCACCAGAGAAAGAAAAGCAGCATTTGGCTAAGCAAATTTTTTTAATCCTGAGCATATAATATGCACATAATAATACGAACGAGGGAGAGAATTTTAAACAGTAGATGCAGGTGGTGGCACTTATGGCTGGTTTGTTCATATCCTTCGTGAAAGCTTACCCGTACGATCTGGCCGAATCCCAAACTAGACTTGTCCATTCTCCTCCAGTGTCCCTAGCCCAGTAGCCCCCCTCCTTTTTTTTTTTTTTTTTTCTGTTAAATAATTATGTGCTTTGTTTATTAGTATACGGCTGAGTCTTGTGTGTGGGTGCGTGTAAGCTGCTAATGACATCCCTATCTGACTGCCTGTCTCACATTCAGTTTGAGTCTGACCTGTGGCCAGCCCTGGGCAGTTCTTTTCTCTCTACTCTCCAATGGCGACCCCACCCGTTGCACTCTCTTTTTTTTACGCTCTCTAGAGGATCTTCCATAGGTTTTTCTTAGGCCTCTTTTTCCGAGCATAAAAGCTTTATTCACCTTTCTTCTCCTTTTCCCTTCCTCTGAAAGCGAAACCCTAAAGTTTATCACACACCTCAGCCACCCGACGAAGATCAAGGCTCGTGAGATCCCCGCTGCCCCTCCTCTCCTAATCTGCCCCGGCCTTCAACCTCCCTATGCTCATCATAATTGAGATCTATATGTGCCTATCGTATTTCCATCTCTTCTTTTGATACCGTCCCTTTTCTCCGACTGAAAGACAACGAAAAGATTTGCTTCCGCTGCAGATCAGGGATTCCAAGATACTGCGAGACCTTTTTCAGAAGCCTGCTTATCTCCTCTCCATCCATTTTATTTCATGCCTTCTCCACGATCAACCCCCACGTAGTTTGGTTTCTATCTCTCTGCAACTTTGGTGCCACCGCCCTTCCCTCATCGGCGGCTGCTGTTTTTACGGTTGCCCCTCAACTTTTCATTTAATTCCTGCATATTTTGATTAGCTTAATTTGCAAGCTATGGATTCTGGGAACAGCGGAAGTATCTCGTCCAGTGGCGATGAAGAGTATGATTCACGGAGTGACATGGTTCCGCCCGTTCTCAATCCTCACCCTCCATTTGGTTCTTTCTCCCTTGTTTCTCACCACCATCCTCCCCTCTTTGATCTTTCTCCAAATTACCTCCACTCCCTCTCCTCTCAAAACCTGCTCCACTCTAATCCCGGTCCTTTCCTGAATTTGGACACTGGTGCTACCTCTCAGGACCCTCGATCCGAACCCAATTGCACTGCTCCTGCAGTTTCATCATCGTCAGCAGCAAAGCAGTCTGCGTTGAGCACAGACCCATCGCTGCAATTGCGCTCGCTCCACGGTGATAATGCTCGAGTTTCGGCACCACCCGCCAATGCAGTACGGAACCCAAAGAAGCGAACCAGAGCATCAAGACGAGCACCCACCACCGTTCTCACCACCGACACCTCCAATTTCAGAGCCATGGTTCAAGAGTTCACTGGTATCCCAGCGCCTCCCTTCTCTGGCACCTCCTACTCTCGCCGCCTCGATCTTCTCACCGCTTCCTCCTCCTTGCGTTCCTCCACTGCCACTTCGTCGCACTTGCATACCACCACCACCACGACGCCTCCCTTTTACCCTTTGCGCACTTCATCTCATCCAAACCCAAATCCTTTGCTTTTGTCCTCCGCTTCATCATCGCCTTCTCCTTCTTCAACATTGATGTTACACAATCATGTGGCTGATGCTATGGCTTCCACTACCACTGGTAACAACCCTCATCCTCCATTAACTACCAAACTGATGCGGGTGCACCTTACAGCCACCCGCAACATATGCTGACCATGCAAATCCTCCCGTTCCAAACATCCATTCTTCACCCCTTGGACAATCCTACTCTTCAAGTTGGATTTAGTGCCAAGTCTCAACCCAGTTCATCTATACCTTCCCTTGAAGACCAGATGGGCATGAGTCATACTCATCTTATGAGTGGCTCATCCCCACGTCAGTAGTTCGGATGCTGAGGGTGTGCCACTGAGCGGCGGCGGCGGCCATGACATTGGAGGGCATGCTCCCAAGGATCAATTAAGGTCCTTCCATGCCTCTGCTCCCTGCAAACTCGGCTTTTCTGGCACTTCTTCCTCCGCCGCCTTCATCCCCGACAAGAGCTTGGAAAATACCTCTACCAGAGGGGAAGGTAACATTGATTCCTGGATTTGTTCCTCCGATTAGCATGATCATTCTTGTGATCACTAACGAGTCGTGATCAACAGTACAGAAGTGAATCATTGCAGCGTAGAATTGGATGCGATAATGAATTAAAACCATCATCATCACGTTGATCGTGCTGCAGGTGCTGGTGCTGGTGGTTAGCATCTCTAGCAACCTTTCTCTTTCTTACTTTCTTTTCTTTTTTAATTTATTATTGTTTAAAAGCATAACCAAGTAGTATAGATTAATTCGTCTTTAAGATACGCGCTCTTTTGAAATCACCCGTGATCGTTACATATATATGCTTTTCTTCTTAAATGGATACCCCTCATGGAATAAAAGAGGGAATCATCAAGATGCCAGTTCGCGCCATCCATTATAAGACCGCACGCATCATTAGAAGAGTACAAACGATAACAGTATTGATCTGGTAATTAGTTTTACCGAGCTAACTATGAAACAGTCTGGAAGCCAAAGTTTACATAGTCGTTAGCTAAATGGAATCTGATCCGCTGCAACTAAAAAATGCCCGATATATAAGAAGTGTTCCTCGTACGGATGCTGGTGTGGTGGTTAGAGAAAAATGGACGAGTGCGAAGAGACTGAAGAGGTTGTTGTGGGTGACTTTGGCCAGACAAAAATACTAAACAGAAAAAGAGGAGGGAAATGGGCGCGAGACCGATTAAAGTAGAGACAAAGGGGGTGGCAAGTTGGAGGCAATTCATGCGGAGGCCACCCCTTGTCTGTTGGGTTTGTGTCCCAAAATCCTCACTCTCTGTGATTGGGTGCTGATCACATACCTAACGCCTATCTATTTAAAATAACTTATAATTAGTTTTTTTTAATAATAATTTATAAAATATAAGATAAATATATAATTAGAGTTTTATATTGGCTTATGTGAAGTGTATTAATAAGTGCTTTTAATTGGAATTCCAAATAGGCCCTTAATTGGCTACATTTATATATATACTAGTTTTAATACTTAATATAAGAGTTTATTTGATATTTAATTTGATTTTAAATATAAGAGCGTAGTTCATTTTGTCTTTCGTAATTAACCATTTTTTTAAAGTAATTTTTATAATAGTTACACATATTAAATATTTCATCTTATGATAGTTTTAACTAATATGCATGATTAGTAAGTATATTATAAGAAAAACAACTAACTTAATAAATTTTTTTATCCACTCAAATTAGTTAACTTATGTTTATTATTTTTATATTAATAACGGAGATTTATATCTCTTACTTTCATTCTTTCTTCGCTGCGCTTTGCGTGAATGTCATCTTACTTCCTAATCAACCAGTACCGGAACTGCCGCTTTGTCCTGTACTTTCCTCCCTGGCTGTTATTTTTAAGATCATGTTCCCAGAATTTCTTCTTTGTTTGTTGGAAGTGAAAAGGACTTTCAGGCTTTAATTAAGGGATGGTACGAAGAAGATAACCCATTTAATAGGCCGCAAATTTTGGTTGTGTATTATATTGGCCGTAATTTTAGAACTCTGCTAATGTTGGTTGTTACTATAATGATGCTCAACATGTGGGTTAATTATTTGCGATGAACAGTTCCGTAAGCCTTGCCTCGCGCTCTTTCTACTGGCTTTCTAGGGGGGTTGGTATCAAAAAGCCTAAAACCATTAAACGAGTGCTGGAAATCTTTTTTTTTTTTTTTTCCGGTTCTGGCTGCCACAGGATGTGTTTGGATTTGAATTGAAAGATTGTTTGGTTGTAATTGATTTATACGATTAGTCTTTAGTATAATAGGAAAGAGAGATTGAAGATCAGGAAAATTATATTTTTCTCAGAAAATATTTTTATACCTTTTATATGTGTTAAATTTAATTATAAATGCAAGATCATGGTTGTCTTATAACCTGTTAAATTAATACCTCTGGACATATCAACATGAGTTATTAATTATTAACATACGATCATAGTTATTTCATGGGTTATTACTATATGCTTTCTAATTCAACTAATTTTCAATTATTCTTTTCTAAAAAAAATTTATCAAAACACTTTATTATGATCGAGTCAGTTTTGTTCAAAATCAAGGTTACTAATAAATTTCATAAGCTCTATTTTATCTAATCTAGTATTAATCTGAGTGTGCTTGAAACGTGCCGGAGCCATTGATGAAAAAAGTGATTGAGGGTTTCATGATCAATTTAATCGAAATATGAGTGTTTTATTTAGAATCTTGCAATTGCTTTAATTAAAACATGAGCGTGAATAAATTTGTAAAATTATAATTTTGGCCTAAAAAACATGCACTTGCCGTCCGTTCCATCATTTTGTTTTGTCTTTTCCACAGCCAAAGACATTTTCTCCTGCGGAGCAATCGGTGGCAAGATTGGTGGCTTCTTTATCTATCTCACGCACATATTTCCTTTCCACATTATCTGACTTGACCAGGCCTTTGCTGGTTTGCTTTACAGAATGTTAACCAGAATTTAACCATAGAAAATTCCCACAATGTCGGCTTCCCCTGAATTTGATTGAACACTGAGAATGGAGAATGTACGAGGATAGGAGAATTCTCGTTTTTTTTTAATTTTTTTTTATATGTGGACTATCAGACTGTTTAGCGTGTAAATCACATATCTAGCGGTCCTTATTATATTTGACTTTTATTTGGGACCCAATCCATTTTCTCTCTGCATCCCAAGATAATCCTTCTAATAATGATAAGCCAAATACTTAATTAGCAAGGATATTTTAGGAATAACAACACTTATTTATTATAAATAACCAACTTAACTTACTTCCTTAATCTCCTCAAATAAGTCAATTGGGTCTTATAATTAGGACCGGAGGAGTATAATGATGTGAATTTTCTATAAGATTAATGCTCCTACGTTTGACAGGTCTTAAGTCCGAAATTATTCGGCGTGGCATATCGTGCATATTAAAAAATAATTAGTTTACGGGATACAACTGTAATGATCTATTGATCAGTTCAAGTGAACTAGCGCATGACATTGTGTACGTAGGTTCGTGTCTTGTGGGACTATTGGTTCAGCTCAGTGCATGAACGAGTTCAGATATTTTGTAACAGAAATTAAAGTTACCTCTGAACTAGTTGTCTAGTTGTCTAGTTGAAGTGGTGCCTTCTTCCCCGCATGCTGCTCGGTGTCTAAAACATAAGTTAAGCTATTGACAGTTTTTTCAATGATGCCACCTGTAATTACATTTTAATACTATCTTTGATTTTTAATATAAAAACTAATTACCTGATTTAAGTAGATTAAGAAAATTAATTATGTTAGTTATTCCTAATAAATAAGTTTTATCTTTCATTAAATACCCCTACTAATCAAATATCATTTATTGAAATATTTGACACGTACAATTAATATAAGAATTATATTGAAAAAATAGATAAATATGATAAATAAAATAAATTGCATCTTATATTCAAGACTAAATTGAAAATCAAACTAACTTTCATATTAAAAATTAGAAATAATATTTTGTATCAATGCTAATTCATCAATACGGACAATTACACATGTATTTGACAAGAGACTGGTTTTGACTAACCATTGTATGCAGGCAAGTTGATGTGTGGAAACAAGCCGGCTTAAAATGCATCCATCATTTTAAAGTATTTTCTCAGGCTCATCAAACACTTTAAAATGTTTTGTAATACATCTAGCACTTCAAAGTATTTTTTTAGACGTGTCCAATATCTTAAAATATTTTTTGATACATGCAATACCCTCAAAATATTTTTTTAGGTGTGTCTAGCATCTAAAAATATTTTTTGATTCATCCCGCACCAAGACAAAAAAATATTTCAGAGTGTTGGACATACCTAATAAATACTTCAAGTGTTAGATGCATTATAAAATTTTCAAGATGTTGAATCTACATGAAAAAATATTTTAGAGTGTTGAATGTATCCTAATCTTTAATCTTTAAGTAAATGGAAAAATAAGATAAGTTTGCTATTTAATAATAACAACACCTGGTATCGCGTTATATATTAATTTGTAGGTAATGAAAAATAGGTTGGTTCTGTGGTCTTGTTGACGTTCACATCTGACGCTCTCGCGCGGTGAGAACATCAGGAGGAATTCACAATCATCTACACTCCGACCTCGAAAGTGCCTTGCTATATATAAATATATATATATATATATATATATATATATATATTGCGACTCTTTTTTTCAAAAAACAAATTACGACAAATGAAACAAAAGATTTGATTTAAATATACTTTCATATGGACAAATAAATTACTGACGCGTGGCGGTTCTCTTGTCAAAAAAGGATTTTATGCAATTCGGCTTGATTATGGCAAAGTTTATGAATAATGTGGTGCAATGTTAACTGCTCACGTGATGATTAGGGATAATTGAGTGAGCCGTGGGCCCCGTTATTGTGTACGATCTAAGTTATTTTAAATAATATAGCGCTTAATTATAGATGCCGTAAATAGACAGTCAATAAACAGTATGAGATCCATCAATCACAACAGACGGCTATCATTCCTCGAAATTGTTAACATATATCGAACATCTCTGTGGCTCCAAAAAAAAAAGGACGGGGAAAAGTCTAGAATCGTGATTCACACGGGCCATGCCTTAAAAATAATTAAAGGGAAATTGTAAATAAAGACCCCTAAATATGTAAAATTATGATTTGAGACTGTTAATTTAAAAAATAACAAATAAAGATTCGGTTTCAAGTTACAAATATGAAATCTTGGTGAAATATCTGAAATGTTCCTCAGTTAAATTGTGATTTGATCTACTGAAATTGTTATTCATTATAGTGAATTTGTCATTTTTTATAATCAACTTGTCATTTGACATACTCCCAATCAATATGTGATTTGGTCCACTGAAATTGTCATTCGTGAAAATAAATTTATCATTTTTCATAGTCAACTTGTCATTTGGCTGGAGACATTTCAGACATTTCATTAATATTTCATATTTGCAATTTGAGACCGAGTTCTTTCAAGCTATTTTTCAAATTGAGAGTCCCAAATTCTAAATCTACATATTTGGAGGTCTTTGTTTACAATTTTCTCATAATTAAATGCTTGAAAGCGGAAAATGAGGTGCATCCCTGAATTGATGCCATGGCATGTGTTAGCGGTTTTTATTATTCTTTTATTTTATATCTTGTCTTTATTGAAATTTTAAAATCTCACTTTTTTTATTTTTCAAATCAAACTTATCTTGTTTTCTCCATTCTCCTCGTGCTAAGTATAGGATAAGAGTGGTTGAAATGTTGCAGAACTGGCCATAAGGCTATTTTATTTAGTTTGTTTAAATTGATGCCATAGCATGCATAAGCAGGTGATGATTAAGGACAGGTTTGGTATAAGGAAAATTGAACAGAGGAAAAGAAAAATTTTAATGTGCCCGTTTTAAAAAAAATTAAAAAGGTAAAGTTAAAATTTTTTATTTAATTTTCATTACTCTTTCATTTTATATCTTTATTAAAATTTAAAAACCCCATTTCTCCTATTTTTCAAATCAAATTTATTAGAATTTTGTTCTCCTTTCTTTTTCTCCATTTTCTTCATACAAAACATAGCGTAAGGGTGCTTGAAATGTTGCAGAACTAGCAATAAGGCTAGGTTATTCAGTTTGTTTGAAAATTAAAAAATAATCATGTTTAGAAGTATGAAATATATGTTTTGAGAAAAAAAAATGCATCCAACTTTAAATAAGATCATTATTAAAAAAATATAATTAACATCATATTTAATGATTTATAATAAGAATAACTTAATTCTTGTAAACATGACTTTATAATAAAGACGGAAGGGTCCCCGTAGGCGGGGGGAAGATTTTTTTTTTTGGGGGGGGGTGTTTTGAATATTCTTAGAACATAGACCGGAGAGCATCTACGCTTTCAAACCAAAAACAAAAACATCATCATGTGAACAAGAAAAATATAAAACATTTTGGGTCATTTTAGGGGGGAAGTAGGCCTTTTTTTTGGGCAAATAAACCTATCTTGCTCAGTTGAAAAAATGATAAATAAAGAGGTTAAAAAAATGTAATGTTATAAATTAGGCATCTAAGAATTAAAAATGATAAAAAAAGAAGTGATACCTGATTTAGTATTTTGCAAATATAATCAAATAATTAAAATGTCATTATACCAAAAAATTTATTAACAAGTTCTGAACTAGTAATGAGAAGTATTGAATACCAAATGACAAGAAAAGTACTAGCAATAACAAATTATTTATCAACAAATTGTGAACTGATGATGACAAGTACTAAACAATCAATAAGAAAAAATATATTGATAATGACAAGTTTGATAGCTTTTTTAAAAAAAATTTGATACAAAGACATTTTAATTATTTAACTATACTTATAAAATATCAGATCATACACCATATCTTTCTTTATCATTTCAAATTGGGAAATGATGATTTCAAGATTCTTTTTCTGAAATTTTTCCTATCTAATTTGTTTAAAGTTTTAATTCCTAGAAAAATAGGCCTCAAATTCGCTCTGTAACTTGGGAGAAAACCTTGTGAGAAAAACTCAAATTCTATTCTTCGATAATGTAATGTGATGCACAAAAAGAAAAATATCCCGACAAATAGAGATATTATACGGGAAAAGAATAATCAATGTAAAAAGTAATAATAAATTGGAGTTCATATTTAGCATCAATAATTATATTTTTTTTGGGAAAAAAATCATGAAAAGCAATAGAAACTTGAAATGAAGCGTTTTGTTTTGCTAGGGGGGGGAGGTAGATTGATGAATAAATGAAAGTAATGGGAGCAAGAGAGGAAAACGAGTGAATACGCAATTAAAGCATCCTGCATGTGATGGATGGGAAGGATGATGAAGAGGGGAGCAGGATGATGAGGCTGGGTGGCCCCCATTTGCCGGGGAAATATGGGGCCTCTGCCGCAATCATGACCCCCTCCATTTTCCGTGTCATCCCATATCAAAACCTCCCCTTCTTAAATCATTAGCTAATTATAAAATATTTTAATGATATTCATATAATTAATAATTTTTTCAGTGACGATGATGATTTCTTCTCCTCATCGCATCCTGTGGCGTGTGGATCCCTTCTATTAAAAAAGTGTTTGGGTAAAAACAAAACTATAATTTTAGAAGTGTTTTTACAGTATATGAAATAAACATGTAGAGAAATTTGTCTCGATTTAAAAAAAAATCCTTCTGAAATTAGCCAAGCACCCCTTAAAATTCCCTTCTCTTGGTGGACAGGTTTCACACTCTATGTGTTTCTGAAAGACTACTTATTATATGTCAAAAAATTTTAAAAAATATTTTTATAAAATTGATATAAAATTTTTCTCACACATCTATTTTATACGTTATAAAATTATTTTTAAAATTATGATTTAAAATTTTTCTCACGTATTTATTTTGTATATTATGAATTTATTTTTAAAATCATGATTTATAATTTAATTTTTTATATAAATATTTTTAGCACCCGCGTCATGCGTGTATTCTCCAAAGCCACTTCCTGCGCCCATCCCCTCAGCATCAAACCGGATGTAGTACTACAAGACTTCCTCATTTATTGTTCATTTCATTATTACTCATCGTCAATTATTTACTGCCGTCCTCATTCTCTTAAATTGGAATTACCACTCCTCTAATAACGTCATGCGCCATCATGACCTATTCTTACATTTGACCATTGGCCGCAGTGCACGCGCATTCCCCCCGCTTCCCCCCACCCCCGACCTTTTTTTGTTTGGCCATTTGCTCTTAGTGCGGTGATACAGATAAAAAGGCCCCGTTCATATATTTGTTGGATCCTGCCACGCCATTTGTTGGGTTACAGGGGGGAAAACAAAGCTAATTGCCCGTCAAAATGAGTCAAATTAGCCGATTCATTCCCCCGTCTGAATTCATGATTCCATAATATTACACATATCAGAGCTAGTTAAAAGTATATTAAAAAAATTAGTTATCTGTACTAAATAAGTATTATCTTCCCTAATATACATTTATTCACTATGTGTATTAGTTAGAATTATTATTTGATGAATCTTTTAACATGTGTACTATTATAAGGATTAATATGAACAAATGAATAAATACGAGACAGAATATATTGGGGTTTTATATTTAAGATCAAATTAAAAATCAAACTAGTTTTTATATTAAAGATTAGAGGCATTACACTTTTATTTTTCACCACATAAATCGGTAAAAGCTAAAACACATTTTATAAAATTAATACATTAAAACGAAATTTTATATCAATTTAAACAACTAAATTTTTTTTCCTCTTTTTTTAACCTGCCATTTTTCGAGTCTCAATTTGAATAAATTCCATCTGAAATTCTGAATCACGGTTGTAAGGCGAATTTTTTTTTTTTCAGGTGACATACTCGGTAATTAAAAAGGATCACTGATTTTTTTTTTGTTGCCAACAAAAAAATCACTGATTGTTGTGACCAAAAAGGACCAATTATATTGTAACTTTGGAGAACGGTGATTATAGTAATCTCGACGGGTGCAATTAAGATTTAAATTGGGTCGGCTGATTCTAACCTCTACCTGGAATCATGCTCTTAAAAATCAATAGGATAATGACGGCAACAGAATTACGTAAGCGATGATCGGAAGCTGGCGCAAGCGAGTCGAGATTCATATGCGCTTCCCGCCCATGTGAAGTTCTGTGTTTAATTAAAAAGGTATTTGGGTAAAGACAAAATTATAATTTTAAAAGTATTTTTTACGATATATAAAGTAAATATGTGGAGGAATTTGTTTCGTTTTACAGAAAAGAAGTACTTTTAGATGCTTTCAAATACCTCCTAAATAGAGTCATGATTGTGACTCGGGTATAATAATATCACAACGAGAAATATTATATATTAGTACTCTCTCCTATTCTAAATATAAGACCTATTTTATAGTGTATTGTATTTACACTATAAAATGAGTTTTATATTTAGCACAGGAAGACTATATATGTTTGCCCCGGCAAAAACACTAAAGTGCATATGTTTGCAATTGCGATGCTGCGACTATTATTTGATATTCAATAATTGTAATCCAACTTTGGAAACAACTGGCAGATATTATATGTGTAATATATGTAAATGTTTGGTTTTAACATGCTCTTTTTTGTTTCAATATATATTTCCTTGTTGGCAAAAATTGAAAAAAGTGTAGGGCAAAAGCGCAGATTGGAGAGTAGCCACGACCATGTGATGTGAGCCGGAAACTATGACGTGCTCCCTACAATCCCTCTAACAGTACGACGAAAAGTAAGGGTTTTATTTTTTGGATTGCCCAATGTATTCTTTGATATGAATAGTAAGAGATTAATCTTTTAAGATACTATTAAAAGCCGTAAGAGGAATTCCTCCCGGTAATATTTTTTCCATACATACTGTTTCAAAGATCAAACCTAAAATATGATGTTTAAAGTGTTCAATTCAAGTCTCTTCTATCTGTAGCAATACTTGTTGATGAGAGTAAGAGTTGTATGAACTTTGAAAAGAGTTGGCAGGCCCACATTATGAGGCAAAACCAACAAAACTACTCACTCTTGCCTTCCAACTCTTACCAGGCTACTTGTATTTTGGGCCTCAATGGACAAGGTCAAATCTAAAGCACCCTTTCACTTCATCCGCTCACTTTAAAGAAGACAATGACAGCCCTTTTTATCCCAAATGACTCCCAAAAAAAAAAAACGAGACAAGTCAATAGAGGCGGGGGAGTCAACTTCACGAGAAAAGTCCACAATACCAAACCGAATATGCTAAAGAAGGAAAGGAGGAGGTATTTTTTTTTGAAATCTTATTAAGAAGGAATGCGAATAATCCTGTGCATCTTACGCGTGGCCTTGGATCAGGCTTTGCTGGCATCGACTGGTCTCTTAAATTCGGCCACTTGTAAATTACCTGCGACAAGGTTTTTGAAGCAACATGGAATGCAGACACTCGTCCACCGGAAAGTTGGATTCACTGTTTTTCGAGACCAAGAGAGGAATATTAGATTCAATGTTTCATGCGTGTCTCGCAAAGAATTTAGGGCCTAGATCACATTCGGCTCCTGCAAAAGCTGTGCAGAGATATCTCGGTGCGTGCAGTTGGTGAAGAGGAGATGAAATCAGAGACGGTGACTTTGGTGCTGGTGAACCTTGCTGGGATAATGGAGAGAGCTGACGAATCGTTGCTGCCGGGTGTCTACAAGGAGGTTGGTGCAGCGCTTCACACCGACCCGACCGGACTGGGTTCCCTCACCCTATTCCGCTCCATTGTTCAGTCCTCTTGCTATCCTTTAGCCGCCTACCTTGCGTCGCGGCATAATCGGGCACACGTTATCGCAGTCGGTGCTTTTCTATGGGCCGCTGCTACTTTCCTCGTTGCCTTCTCCTCCACTTTCTTTCAGGTACTATGTTCATATCCGCTTCGTCCTTTTTTCTTTCCTTTCCCGCGTTATGTCTTTAAAATCCAGGATCCCGTTGATATTAGGCTATCATTAGACTGTGCGCTTATAGTCACGGAGGTCGATTCGAGCTCAAATTGATCTGGGGTTATGGCCGCAATTTCTTTGTTCCTCTCAGCACTATAAACGACCTGACTATTAATATGTGTGTTTTTCTTGCTTTTCTATTTCATGTTGTTGTGCAATTAACGAGGAGTACTAAATAACTTCTAAACAGGATAAATTAGTAGAGGGTTCAAGATTAATGGGAAAAAAAAAAAAGAAGTGTGGCATTAAAAATTATTTTTCTCCAACAGTGATAGGCAAATCCTTTGTCGCTGCATTCTCATGGTTCAAAACAATGATCTCCTGGGAATTGGGGAGGAGAATGGCAGGATCTACGCTTTGATACCCCCGTGAATAGAAAAAATCAACATTTATGATGTTTTATTTGTCTGTGGCTATGCAATCCTGACAATTGTCTATAAAGGAGGGCCAATAACTTGTGCGTGTCTATTCAATGAATTCCACCAAAGCAACTCAAATGTGGTGCAGGCGCTATAGCTTAAAAATAAAAAAAATGGAAAAAGATTTTTTGAACTGCCTGTGCTTTAGGTCTTGAAACCAAGCTGTTATATCACAGGTCATATTTTGCTCTCTTTGGACATATTCAGGAGTTTCTTCAAGGTCTTGGCAATAGGCTCCTGTAAGGAGGAAAAGAGACTTTAAAACGTGCAATAGTGAAATTTATTTGACTTTTGAACCCTAATTTTTTGTGACTAAGTTAGGTCATTCGCAACTTTTTTTCAACTGCCAAGTACAGCATATATGTATAGGCACACAAGATGACCATTTGGCGTCTGCTGAACCAATCTAAATCTGTGGACATTCATATTCTTGAGATGCAACTGAGACATTCAACTTGATTGAACATCGAGAAACCAAAAAATTACGAGCTCAGATAATTGAACAAATTCAAATTACTAATAGCAATTTAGGCATCAGTCAAATTTAATACAAAGTAATGTGAGTTTCTACTTTCTAGTGGTAATTCAATGGTTTTCCCTTTCGAAGACCCTTATTCACCTGATTGTATTCACTTTGAAGTGATTGCCATGCAGGTTGCTGTATCACGAGCATTAAATGGTATTGGCCTGGCACTGGTTGCACCTGCAATTCAATCCCTTGTTGCTGACTCAACTGATGATTGCAATCGTGGCATGGCTTTTGGATGGCTTCAACTCACAAGCAATCTTGGTTCTATTGTTGGTGGCCTCTTTTCCGTGTTGATAGCTCCTATTACATTCATGGGAATCCCTGGTTGGAGAGTTTCCTTTCATATTGTTGGAGTAATAAGTGTTATAGTGGGTACTTTAGTATACTTCTTTGCCAAAGATCCACATTTCTCAGGTTACAGCACAAGTGCTTGTAACCGAATTCCAAATAGAACATTATGGTCAGAAGTAAAAGAGTTAGCTCAAGAAGTCAAGTCAGTTTTGAAGATTTCATCATTCCAGATAATTGTTGCCCAGGGCGTCACTGGCTCCTTCCCGTGGTCAGCATTGTCATTTGCACCAATGTGGCTTGAGCTCACTGGCTTCTCCCACAACAAAACAGCATTCCTCATAGCTTTGTTTGTGATTGGCAATTCGGCTGGAGGTTTATTCGGGGGTAAGACTGGGGATATCCTTTCAACACGATTTCCAAATTCTGGGAGAATAATTCTGGCGCAGATAAGCTCTGCATCAGCAATCCCCCTTACAGCAATACTATTGTTGGGTTTACCGCATGATCCATCAACAACAATGCTACATGGGTTGGTCCTCATCATTGTGGGATTCTTCATCTCTTGGAATGCTCCTGCTACCAACAAGTAAAGTCTCCCTAGCTAACCTCTCCTTTCATTGATTCATATATCCCAATAAAGAATCATTGTCCTATCGTATTCATTTTGCGCCCTGACCATGAAATTTCTATAACTCACTCCATCTTTTCTTAGTGTCATTCATTCATTGAAGTTTGAACTCAACGTATTAATAAGAACTAAGATTGCAAATGATTGGTGTAAAAACAACTGCTGCCCAATGTGAATCTGTCAACTGTGCTTTCAAAAGCATTTTAATTATCACCTAATAACTTGGCCTTTTAACATATTCATTAATCAATTTTTCTCATTCTTGCAAACAAATTCATGTTTGCTTGTGGTTGAAAAATAAGCAGATTTGTCTTGTATGATCTACAACTGAAAATGGAAACAAAGCTGGTCCTTTTTGAATTCAATAGGATTGTTATTCTTAGATATGTATGGGAAAGCTATATGATAAAGTTTATGGACAAAAGTCCAATATTTGCAGAGATTGTTCCTGAGAGAGCTCGAACGAGTGTATATGCTTTGGACCGATCTTTTGAGTCATTGCTGTCATCTTTTGCTCCGCCTTCAGTTGGACTTTTGGCTCAGCATGTGTATGGATACAAACCAATTCCCCTGGGGTCTACTGTATCTGAAGAGATTTTGACGGATAGAAAGAATGCCGCATCATTGCTAAGGCGCTATATACTGCAATAGGTATTCCAATGGCAATCTGCTGTTTGATCTACTCATTCCTTTATGGGGCCTATCCAAGAGACAGGGAAAGAGCTCGGATGGTAGCTTTAATTGAATCAGAGATGCAGCAGATGGAGTCAGATGGTTTAAGCACCAATAGAGATTTCCTCTCAAAAGCTCATTCTTCCGGGTCTGAAGAAATGTTTGTTCATGATTATGCTGGGGACACCATAGATGTTGATGATGAAGATAATGTTCTGCTGTACCGTGGCATTTGACTTTCTCCAATTTAGATGATTAGTTTTGATTCAGCACTTTCTGCAATATCGACTGGGGAATTTTTCGAAACTGCACAAGGTTTAAACTTTTCCCGTGATGCATCACCCGCTGATTCCACTTGGTGAGTTCGGTGATAAATTTGTACATCAAGTTGAAGAGATAACCTCCTGCACCTAAGCCTCATGTGAACGACTCAAGCCTCTTAACAGTGGTAATTACAATATTCTAAAGATACAATTCAGCCGTGGCCAGGGAGTTTTTAGGACTATTTTCCCTTCAAAGATTTTTTTTTTTTAATCATCAGAGGTACAGACCGGCAATTTGCCCAAGTCAGCTATCAGTCGAGGGATCAAAGACTTGGGACGGTCAAACTCAGCAGTCCTGATAACAGGAGATGAGATAACGTCTCATCCTTTCAGAGATTACATTGAAGAGGCTCAAATATCGATAGATGCGAGCAACGGGGTGCCCATCAATTTAATGTACAGGGAAGAATAAGTGTGCCAATGCAATCGCTAGATTTGTTTTATTCTAATCAGTGATGTGCCTGAGATTTGTAGTAGATATAGAGTTGGATGAATTACCAACGTTTCAATTGAGCTTTGTATTTTGATTGATTGTAATGACAAAACGTACAGAACGACAGAAATGCACATAATGCAGGTGAAGACGAAGTATGGTAATATTAAGCCTCACCTCCCTTTAATCGCTGCTGCTACTGCCCGGGAATGCTTTTCTTTATTTCTGTTTTTTTTTTTTTGGAAAGTTCTTTTCTTTTCTTTGCTTTCCTTGCTTGTGCTAGATTATGGCACCTGAGATTCATCCGTTAGACCCTCCTAGGCTGTAATATGGAAGTTTGGCTTAAGAATGGCTCCCGCCCTTCCATGTGCGTGATCTCAGAAACACCTATAACTGTTCTTGAATAACCATATTAATTTAAATCCGATTTTAGAATATCACTATTTGAAGTTATTAGTTTATAAAAATATTTATCTCGAATTTTATGAGAATGCCTGAGAAGTAATTTGCTCTATCCGTGCAGTTACTAGCAGACTCGCTAATTTTAAAATTTGTACGTCGAATAATATATTTCCTTCGGCCCAGAGCAAGTCTACCGGTTTAGTTTATCAGCCATATATTCTCCGTTTTGTCCGGATAAATAATATATTTTTCTTTTTTCATTAACTCGTTTTTACTGTCACTTTCCTTTACAATTAAAAAGCTATTACCCAGTTTTGTTATCAATAATGTGTTCAATTTTTTTTTTACGCGCAAAGATTTACTGTCTTGACCATGCAGACCTTCTGTACACCGGAAACCCTAATCCATTTGTTTTCCTCACTTGAATAATGCACACCTGATGTAGTTAAAGAAGATGATAGTGTTAAGTGAAACTACTAGTATTACTTGATATTTATGTGTTCATAGCCCAAAACTAGCAGCCCGTCTAGCTCAGTCGGTAGAGCGCAAGGCTCTTAACCTTGTGGTCGTAGGTTCGAGCCCCACGGTGGGCGTTTAAATCATTTTACTTTTTATGATCGCCCGTTTGTAGCCGTTGCACACTCCATGTTATCGGGTTGGTGGGTTTGACCTTTAATTAATTTAATTCGGAAACTGCAGTACGTCATCTTCATGCTCCTGCCGACATCTTCCAATTTTTAAAGCACTTAACTATTGAAATTGATGCGTTGTCATATGTAAACCCACCCTCACCAAAACCGAATTATTAACTTTCAAAATGAACATAATTCTACTCATAAGTCATAACAATTGTGTATCTTTCCTCTTTACTTGCCCCGTCGCTGCTTGGCATCCCCTTGGGGCGCCCCACCAAATAAAACTAATTTCCTGCATCTGCACATCCAACAACATCACAAATACTAATAGAAATTGGGTTTAACGAGAAGGACTAGTTGATGAATTAGGATTCGAATTCATTAGAAGTGTATCCACATTTAGTACCTAATAGTATTTTGAATAGGATTGCTTCTAATAAGAGGATATCGATGTTTTAATTAAAAAAAAAAACAACATTACAAATACAACTCACCTAAGACGACTCCCTATTTTCTCATTTTCATGTGATCTGGTTCCTCATATAATAGCAAAGCTCAGACCCATTATTAAGACGCTTAAATAATAATAGATGCAACCACTTAATATTGGTGCGTACCTTGAAACACTGAGGGCCACTCCTCATATTATCTTTCTAGTCTCCAGCAAGAAACAACCATTGGCTAAAACACCCAAGTCGTTCACCCGTCGCAATATGATTGCCTATAAAATTTCAGGACATGACTATTTATATCTGGCTCTTTCCCTGAATGATTGCGCACGTTGTGCTCCTGACCTGTCGGAGTCGTATATGTTTACCTCCTTTCCTTTATAAAAGGACCTAAGAGCGTGTCATGCTGATGAAATGCCTCTAATTTCAAAACCCAACCGCCTAATTAATTAGAATCCAAGAGGATAAATGCGCACCAAATTGACAGGCCATTTTGTTATGATCACAAATGAAAAAAGGTTTCGCATTTTTCGCAGTCATCATCCTAATCCCGCAAGGCTGATGCAGACTTTGCGGCGAGTCATTCAGTTAATTTGGATGAAATCTTTGGAGCGGGCATTAATCAGAACACTGTGCTGCTCTAACTCATCAGAGGAGAGTGGGTCACAGAACTATCCAAATCTGAAGTTACAACTTAACTAATTGATGAAATTTTATGGTGACAGTAACAGGCTTGATTAATGATAAAATAAGGGGGTAGATGGCGAGGGAAAGCCTAAGAAGAAGGCAGGGGTGACGTTGTGGCTTGAAAAAGGGATCGGCTTCCATTTTGTTTGTGGGTGTGTGCGCTTCAAGTTAGGTTGCACTTACCCATGTGGGGCCATCTGCTATGCTCTTTTTTCAATTTGTGGGGTTTCTGGGTCCACTTTCTCTTTGCATCTGCGAAATTAAAACCTAGTAATCATGGAGTGCATGCCCATAATGGCGTCTTGTTGAAAATACAGGGTCGTATTTCTTCCGAGGCATGTGCCTGTTGTGTTCCTGTTGTCTGAGGAACAGCGATTGCTTGCCCTGGCCCAATACAGCCTTGTGCTCTGTATTGGCGACATTCTTTTTCTCTGTAATTCCACTCTTCAAACAAATGTTGTGTGTTCTTTAGAGGCTCCAGGGGCATGGCGCGGTATATGAACATGATGCTCTTTTCACCGCTGATTTCCTTCTCTCTCTTCCATTTTTTTTAATAATAAGAACAAAGTATGCAGTATGCACTAAGAGTATAATCTTGAAGAAACAAGTTTTTGCGTTGTGGATGTGCTTAAATAAACATTGGAACGGTCTGATTGTTACTCCTCCGCTCCTAAATATAAGACTTACTTTGCAATATAATTTATACTATAAAATGAATCTTATATTTAGGACTGGAGGAGTATTTACCTTGCGCGGATTTGAATCAAGAAATACGCATTTAAATTATTATTTTTCAAATTGTCAGATCAGAAAAAATCAATTAAAAAAATAGTCATTTTTTTGTATATATTCAGTTATTTTCAAGTTATTTTAGACTTGAGCCTTATCTAGTCGAAAACTTTAAAGTTAAAACTCTTTTAAATAAGTGTGTTTTTTAAGATTTGAACTTGTGTTTTTTTTTTATAAACATAAAACCGTTTATTCTCTTAATCAACAATTTGTTTGTAAAATAAATGGTCGTTTATATGAAAAGAGAATAAGGGATATTTTGGCAACCCTACAGTCATTTTAAGAAGTGTTTTTTTTAAGTTGAGATCAAACTTTTTTTACATAGTTATTTTGTATGTCATAAAATTATTTTAAAAAAACTAATCTAAACACCCATTAACGTGTCATTTGATTTTTTTCCCCGAGTGCTTAATTTTTTGCTGGAGACTGAATTTTTTTATTTGGAAACATACTATCTCGTGTCTTAATTATAAGGTTTTGTTTATGGATTGCAAATAAGGTATAATTAAGTAAGGAAGTAGTATAATATTATTAAATCACGGGTGCTGGTGAAGTGATAGGCCGGCCTATGCTTAAACGGGCGACTCGATTGACAATCGCGCCGGGGAAGCAAGACAAGATGAAATTAAAAGTAGTAACATTTCGAAAAATATGGGGGAGGAAGTCGCGAGTCGCAAGTAAAATGCAGGGCAACGGAACATCTCACGGAGGGGAGACGTTGCGTGGGATTTTCATTATGAAAAGAGATGATCAAATAACCGAAAGGACCAAGTTACCCTTGTATAAACTACAGCCACAGATAGCTCTGCTCCGCTCTGGCCATATACGCCATCAAATATCAGTAATTCAATACACGCGCACATTAACATGATATAAAATTCATAATGAATGGCGATATCTTCAAATAATAAATAAAAATAATATAATTCATTTCAGGCTTCAGGAAAAATATAAAATAACATTTTTCTATCTCTTAAAAAATTGTTTGCGGAGGATTATTGACAACAGCATCAATTTGCCTAAAGAAGGAAGAAGAAAAGTGGAGAAGCAAAAGGCTTCGAGGGGCATGTGGGGGAGAACAAGATAATAATGTACCCAACGCCCATTCGCTTCACGTGAAGCTGCGACACTTTCTTTGAGGGCAAAGAAAGAAAAGAGAGAAAGGAATGGCACAATTCATTCTCCAGCAGAGCTGGCCAGGTCCATTGGAAATTTGGAATCTCCATTTTATGCCTCACAGATTTTCCCCCAGCTCCCAAATTGCCTGCCCACCTCCTTCACTTTTGCCACATGACCTCCACGAGATTCCAATGCGGCTCATACTAATTTAAGTAACATTATTAAGCAAAAAATATTTACAGGATAATCTAATTTTTAGACATCCACGGGGGCAAAGACGTAATTAAGTGCTGGATTCGATGGTTAACAAATCGCACGTGGCGGTATTCTGGATGCGGTTGCCAGCTGGTCGTTTTGAAGCACCAAATTTGCGGTATGAAATTTAAATTATTGATCTCATCAGTTATTCTGATTTTGTATATATAAAAATGAGAGGCGATTTCAAAATTCAAATACACGACGGAGACGGAGGGCACCAAAAAAGGAAGGGAAGAGAAGGGAAAGAGGGTTATATTTAAATGCGAAGAGGGATGGGGTTGGTAAGGTGCTTTGGCTTGTTTTATTAAAAAAGAGGAAGGAGTAGCTTCTACTTCTACTTCTACTGCACTCTCTACTCTCTCCTCCCTTGCAATCCACTCCCTCCCCTTCGAACCAAAGCACCCCAAAAAGCTAACTCCTTCAAATTTAGGATAAAAGTAAAAGTAAAGCAAGAATCTTCCAGATCGGAAGGTCATCGTCGTCATTTCCCTCCTACCTCCTCTGTCTGGGCGTCTCAGTTTAGATAAACTCACTCACGCCCATAAACCCCGCAACTTTCCTTATTCCTCCTGGTTTTTCATTACATGCTTTTTTGTTTTCATTGCCTTCAAACACCCCGGACTTTGGCCTCCGCACAGTGAAGACTCCTGAGTGAACGGCAATCGCTATTCTGCATTTTCCCCTTTCTTTTGCTATATTGCGTGTCCGATTGCTGTTGTCTTCACAGCTTTTTCCGCTTTTTGCCGACGGTGTTTCAAAATAACAATGGAGAGGACCACTCCGGTGAGGAAGCCTCACACTTCCACGGCAGATCTACTTACTTGGTCCGAAACTCCACCTCCTGATTCTCCGGCTCCCGGTTCCGCTGCTCGTTCTCACCAGGTGCCCATTTCCCTCATCCTACTCTGAAATCTGAATCTTTCCTATCCATTTCTGCGCTCTTTTGAGCCTGCTCTCTACTTTCTCCCTTCGAGTCATTATTGCGGAGCTTTTATCATCTGGGTAATTGAGTAATTTGATTTTTTTTCCTCTGTTTGGTGTCTGGGATGCGATGTTAGCCGTCGGATGGGATCAGTAAAGTGGTGTTTGGAGGTCAGGTGACGGATGAAGAGGTCGAGAGCTTAAATAAACGGTGATATCTGCTTCTCCCGTCTTATCTTATCTACTGTAAAATTTTGAAGATGACCGTTGTCATCAGTGAAGCTGCCCCGCCATTATTCTTTAACTTAAGACATCATCTAGCTTTACTAATGGTTTTCAATGTTCTGGATTTTGGCTATAACTTGACCCTTTTAAAAAGCCAACATTTTCTTATATACCTGCTGTTTGTTGAATGGAATATTTCGTTATGGAGATACAGATTTTCTTTTCCGTTTTGCCTCTATTCTGTCGTTTAAAAAGCTGTCTTCCTCATTTACCGTGCGAATGGTCAAATGGATTGTATAAGTTGTTGGACTTGGATGAGCGGATCAAACGTTAAACCATCACCCTTGTTTAGTCTTCTGGCACATTCATCGGAATTCTATCTTTCAGCCTTTTTCAATCCTTTGAAATCATAATGCATCCATCAATTTAAAAGCGAGCAGATTTGAAGTTTCACAAATTAAATGTTGAAATAAGATGGAACTGTCAACTGTTTGCCATTTTAAAGAACAGAGTAATGGCATTCAACAGCTGTTGTGTTGTAGGTGATATGAAAAATAACTTGCTAAAGGAATTTTTGAATATTGTTCCAGAGAAATGTGGTCAAAGTCACCGCAGACTGTAATTTGATCGCCAGTTTATTGTTCGCTAATATTTGCTGTCAAATGCCATGAGCATCTAAAATAACACCAGCAGATCATTGGGACTAAATAAATATTTGTAAGTCTGGAAAGAATAGTTGTAAGATTTCAAGCAAAGTTGACAATTTTCAGTGTTTTATACAGCCACGGACACCTTTGTAGGCTTTTAAAGCACTTCTTGTAGCTTTTAAAGAGCACAGGAAGAAGCACCTTCCAAAATTTACTTCACATAGCAGGCTTTGCTGTTAGAATTTCTTCAAGATGCAAGCTATTAGAAAAATTGAAAACCGAAGGGCTTAACTTTCTCGAATGGGGATTTGTTTGGCATGTTTCCATGTTTGTTTATTATCTTTTGGTTCTCTGTGTGATGTGCTGCATCGATATTTCCTTGACAGTAGCATGTGTTATCCTAAACGAGCTGGATGCAAGTGTGACATCGATAAAGTACAATTATGATATTATAAAAGAAATTTTAATCCCTGCTATCGTTTCTATATAATTAGGCCAACCCGTGCTTTTTCCTGTTATGACATCTAAAATATTTTAACCATGAAATTTCCAGGAAACCTTGTTCCCAGTACAAAATGAAGGAGATAACAGGTAGTGGAATCTTTGCAGCCAACGGGGAAAATGACGAATCTGAATCTGGCAGTGCCAATCCTGCTCCAAGTAAAACAGGAGTGCGCATGTACCAGGTTTTATTTATTTATTTATTTGCTCTAGAGTATTATATTATTATGTGGATTTTTTTGTATGATTATATGATTATGTGGATTTATTTATCATTTTATCTTGGATTAATTAACTTGCGCACCAGATTTCTGTTATTCTTATTGTAATGTTGAAAATTTGTAGCAAGCAATTGCTGGAATCAGTCATATCTCCTTTAGTGAGGAGGAGAGTGTTTCTCCCAAAAAGCCCGTTACCTTGCCTGAGGTGGCCAAGCAGCGTGAGCTAAGTGGAACTCTGGAAAGTGAAGACGCAAATTTGAAGAAGCAGCTTTCTGATTCAAAGTTCAAAGAGCTCACTGGTCACGACATATTCGCTCCCCCTCCAGAAATTAAACCCCGACCAGTAACTCCTCGCATACTAGAGCTGAGAGGGAGCATAAACATAGGTGAACCTTCCCCGCACGAGGTATGCATCACAATAAGTTGCTAACTTGAACTTTCATGTAAATGCTTTTCAAATTTGATCTCTCCATCTTATATTGTAAAGATTTTTATATAATATTTGGGCATTTCAAATAACAATTTGCTTGTGATATTGGGTTTACAGGGCGAGGGAGATCAGGGCAAGAGCAGGTCTAGTGAGGAACCAGTGAAGACAGCGAAGAAGATCTATAACCAGAAATTTGCGGAGCTCTCAGGGAATGATATCTTCAAGGGTGATGCACCGCCACCATCTGCGGAGAAATCGTTGAGTGTAGCTAAACAGAAGGAGATGAGCGGCAGTAACATTTTTGCTGATGGGAAGGCAGAATCTAGAGACTACCTAGGAGGCGTGCGGAAGCCACCTGGCGGTGAGAGCAGCATTGCATTGGTATGACTTGTTAGGTCTAACTCTCTGATTTTATACCGTCTGGTTTTTTTAAATAGTGGGGATGTGTTATTATATTATTTGACCCTGTATCCTGGGTTCCGGGGACTCATATCTTAGGTTTCTTAACGTGTTGACCTAAAAGGGACCAGCTGCTAATTCTTGGGTGAATGTCCGAATGTCCATAATCTTATGTTGTCCTTGGTGTCTACTTTCAATGAAGTGATTTGGGTTTTGTTCTTGATTAAGGAGCATGTTATTAGTTGTGTTGTGTTGTGTCATAACTTCCGCCCATAAGGAATTAAGGATGCCCCAGAAACCTCGGAGCCTCCAAGTTACGCAGTAGGCCGCCGTCTCCGGAGAAGGTAATAGGGGCACAGGCTGCCTTGCTAGCCTTCACCTGTTGGACCGACCACCAACAGGAACCTTCAGATTTTGAGGGCTGCTATTGAAGGCCGCGCCCATGTTAAAACATGGCTAATTGATTTTGTGGCCTCAGGCCTGTGGGGTTCTCGCCTTGAATAACTGGGTGTGACATGACGCGGTATCGTAGCTGCTCTTTAACTCAAATACGTGTGGGAAAATGAAGTTTTCTAATAACCCACGTTATTTGCACTATATTTTTAAACAGGCCCCTTCATCCGCACATAATGTGATTATATTAAAAATAAACATTCAGAATATTTAGATGATAAATAATGATTACAATTCAATGAGAAAAAATGTTTATCGGTACGGATCAAATAAAGAATTTCAGAATTTGGTTATGCAGTGTTTATTCAAAATTTCAAATCTTAAGCTAAAACGTGAATGAAATTAGGCAGACAAGAATGAATTTAATCAATTTTAGATCTACATTTTTTTAGCATCGTGTGGTTATGGAAGGGTCATTGCGGAAGGCTATTAGAGTGGATGCAGGAGATACATAACTTGGACTTACCCGCTTGGGCAGACAAGTTGTGACGGTGAGCACGTGGTGGGCTCAAATGATCCGGCGATGCTATGGGTCGCTTTATTAAATACTATTTGCGGTTATTAATATAAAATTTATTTAATTTTTATTTTGATTTTAAATATAAGATTCTAATTTATTTTTTCTATATTTGTATATTTTTTTCTAAGGTAATCTTCAAATAATAGTAGTTCTAACAAGACACTTGATTAATAAGGTTATTTTAGGAAAAACACCTATTTATTACAAATAATTAAATTAACTTGTTTCCTTAATTTTCCTGAAATTAGTCAATTAGCTCTTATATTTAGGACTGGAGGCAGTAATGTTTTGTCTGGTAAATTATTTATAAAGTCTGAAATAAATTTAAAAATCTCCCGCCTTGAGTGGGGGGATAATTTATTGAAAGCTAGATAAAGATACATGAGACCAGCTCATGAATAAGGATAAGCACGTTATATATTGCAAGTCAGAAGCAACATGCAATTAATTATTAGAAGGGAGGAGGACAACTTGATAATTTGCTGCCTTATCTTGTCCTGAAAGAGTTGAATTTGATATTTGAACATCAAATTAAATACAGAATTTTGAAAGAGTTGAATGTAATGTAAATCCGTTGTGAAAGTAAATTGACCTACATTATATATATATATATATATAGCCAGCCAAAAGCTTGGACCTGGTCTCAAAATTATGCACAGAAGTTAGGGTACAAAAAAAAAATCGCACTGTGGATCTAAGAGAGCCAAGGTTTCCTCACCTTTTATAATCACATCCTTCATTTCATTTCATCCGACTGCCTGGTCTGTAAAGTACTATCTCTCCTGGGGCTACTTCACCATAATTCTACGGTTCAGCCATGTACGTGTGTTAAATAACCCAGTTTTTCTGTTCACGTCAAAAGGAAATCTCCTTCTGAAATCCAGACTCGATGGGCTGAGTCACCTGAAGATCATGGCCATTATTGTTGCATAGATCTTCTGTTTAAAAACCACAACTTGTCATCCGCCATCAACTCTGGTTAACTTAATTCGATTCTCATCAACTGAACATGATGCATTGCCGGCCATTTCAACAATACTGGGGGGGTCTTTTCCCACCACGTGCAGCTTCCATTTCCAAGTTGCTTATTTTTAACTCTGCTTAAGCTTATTATGGCATCATACATTTTGTCTTATCCTTCCAGTCAATTGCTGTGCAATATACATGCTTAGCTTCGGTCAACTTAACGCCTTTCAAAGGCAGCTCTAACTGTATGTTAGTATATAAATACACAGGAATTCAAACCTGCAAAATCAAAAGTCCAAGTAATATATATAGACCAAGTCTTCTGCAGCAATATCTTCTTGATTTAATTTATTTCTTTGCCCGTTACTCAATTATTCATTTTTTTGCTTTGATTTCATCCTCTGTGTATATTGTGCTTGTCTTTCGTATATATGGAACATAAAGTAGACAGAGGTTTCTGTCATCCCCGTTGCAATTCTTTAAAATAATTATCATTAGATAGACTGAAATTGCTGCCACCTGCCTTCCCAATTAATTAATATCACAGACTTCCCTCTTTTGTTTTGAAGGCAGCAACGGCAATGGGTAGCTACTTTGCCATATATACCAACCACCATTTTAAAAAAGAAAACATGATCATTGTCATTAAGGTAGCCAATTAATTTGACTTAAAATGTTTATCTCAAGTCGTTAGAGGTTGATTACCTCATACACTCAATAACAAATGCATTTGGTACTAAATTTCAAAGACAAATTGATTAGAATATGGTGCAGTCGCAGAAAAGCTTCCAAAAACCATGTGATTTTATTAGTGATGATATGTAAAAATAATCATTCCATCACTCACAGAAACAGTGAAACTTTATTTGGCCATCATCTATTTGACAGCATACTGGTTCGCTAATAATTTTTTTACCATAAATTTTTTAGTGAAATAATGGTCTGTATTCTTATATACTGATATGTACCTTCAGTGTTAGTTATAAGATCTCGTTTATAATCTATAAATAAGGTCTTATAATTAAGACAAGAAGTAGTATATAATAGTCAAAGCTAAAAATATGTGACGTGATTAATTTAAGACGTGATCATTACGTGCGGATAGAGTGGAATGCGTATTATATCACTGTAAGGGAAGGGAGTAATTAAATGCGTGATTCGTGAAGGAACATGTTGGAAATTTGAACTGTGGGACAAACATAAGAGCTGGAAAAGAGTTATGAATAGATCAGTTGGCAGAGGAGGCTGGTAGAATTAGCGGCGTTAGAAGCGGAGGACATCCAAAATGGCGGTCGGGGGCATGGCCGTCGACGCACCAGCTGGCTTCGATGGCAAAATAACGCTCTCCGTCGTCATTACTTGCATCGTTGCTGCCTCCAGCGGACTGATCTTCGGATATGACATCGGAATTTCAGGTTCAATAAACCTCTCCTCTCGTTTCTTATCTTTTCAACTCATCGTGCTTAATTAATCGTAGTGATTTTCGAAGATGTCGTTTAGATTAGAGAAGCTAATTATTGTGAAACTGATATTAACATTCAGGAGGAGTGACTAAAATGCCGCCGTTTCTGGAGAAATTCTTCCCGAAGATACTGAGGAAGATCGCGAGTGCAGACATAAATATATACTGTGTGTACGACAGTCAGGTGCTAACACTATTCACGTCTTCGCTCTACCTGGCTGGATTAGCGTCTTCACTTTTAGCCAGTCGAGTCACGGCTGCCTTTGGGCGGAGGAACACCATGATCTTAGGCGGCTTCACCTTCCTTGTTGGCGGCGCCCTTAATGCAGCTTCTGAAAATATTGCCATGCTCATCTTGGGTCGCATCTTCCTGGGTATTGGGGTTGGCTTCACTAATCAGGTAATAATTATATGCCCTCCTCCTTTTTCCTGTCTTGATTAACTTGTATATCTATGAGTTTTAAATTAAATAGATATATTTTTACCGTGATTAAGTTTTTATATCATATACTACCTCTAGTCCTCAATTAACATTTTCTTAAGTTAATTATTTATAATAAATAGTAGAATATCCTTGTTAATCTTATATATTAGTTAAAACTATTATTTAATAAAATTTTTAATATATATAATTATTATAAGGACTACTTTAAAAAAGATAACTAAATATAAAAAATAGAGTGGATTAAAATTTTATATTTAAGATCAAATTAAATATCAAATTAGTTCTTATATTAATTACGGAAAGTAGTATTAATAAAAGTAAATGTATGAATATTCACGTACACTAAGTACATCAAGATTCATAACTCTGAGAATGTATATCATGATGTTGGGAGGTATAATCTATGTACTAATATTTAATAATTAAAGGCCTAGCCTATTCGCTTACCTTGATATTATACTCTTGAATTGCCGGCCAAAAAAAAAAAATAGTTTACTTCTGAATAGACGGATATAATATTCAATTGCATGACATCAAGTCGTGAAGATTTTTATATTTCATTCCATAATATGATAAAACGATAGTAATAATTGAAAAAACGAGAGTAAGAAGAGGTTGCGTGATGGATGATGCAACAGGCGACTCCGGTATACTTATCGGAGGTGGCTCCGGCGAAGTGGCGGGGGGCATTTAACGCTGGGTTCCAATTCTTCTTGAGTCTGGGGGTGGTTGCGGCCGGCTGCATTAATTTCGGGACGTCCAAACACACTTGGGGCTGGCGACTTTCCCTCGGGCTGGCCATAGTGCCAGCAGCCGTCATGGCCCTCGGCGCCTTCCTCATATCAGACTCTCCCAGCAGCTTAGTTGAACGAAACAAGATCGACCAAGCCAGAAAAGCCCTGCTCAGAGTGAGAGGCTCCGACACAGATGTGGAACCAGAGTTGCAGGAACTCGTCAAATGGTCCGAAGCTTCAAAAGCGAACAAGCAAGAGCCCTTTGTAACCATTTTTCGGAGGCAGTATCGGCCTCACTTAGTGATGGCCATTGCCATCCCCTTTTTCCAGCAGCTCACCGGCATCAACATCGTCGCTTTCTATTCGCCTAACCTCTTCCAGTCTGTGGGTTTTGGAAACGACGCCTCTTTACTTTCTGCCATCATACTGGGAGTCGTTAACCTTGGCTCTGTCCTCGTCTCCTCCACCATCGTCGATCGCTTTGGTCGAAGAGTCCTGTTCATTGCAGGGGGGATTCAGATGTTTGTCTTTCAGGTAACAAGCAAGTCCTACATATCTATCATCTAATCCTTCCATTTATTAGCTGTTGTATGCCAGTGATTACTAATGAGTATGACCCCGCATTGACGTTGTGAAGATCGCGGTGGCAATTGTGCTAGCAAAGACGACTGGTACTCACGGGGCAGAGGAATTGTCGAAGGGGAGCGCAATATTGGTGCTGGTGTTTATGTGCCTGTACGCTATTGGTTTTGGTTGGTCCTGGGGGCCGTTGACATGGCTCATTCCCAGTGAAATATTCCCCATACAGATAAGGACGACTGGGCAGAGCACGAGCATTGCCATCAACTTCTTGACCATATTCATTTTGTCACAGACCTTCTTGACCATGCTGTGCCACTTCAAGTTCGGAGTCTTCTTATTCTACGGGGGCTGGATCTTTGTAATGACCATCTTTATTATATTTTTCTTGCCCGAGACCAAAGGAATCCCTTTGGATTCTATGTATACAGTATGGGAGAAGCACTGGTACTGGCGCCGCTTTGTTCCCATATCAGAAGTTAAACCATCAGCATAAAGGTCGTCATCATCTGTTTATACACAACACGTTAGGTCTTGTGTTTTAATGTCATGTTAGGATTAGATATCTCTCTTCCTGTTTTGTGGCCAGGATATTTATTTGTGTAGAAGTTTCTTCCGCAATAAACGTTGAGATTGATATGCTAAAGAATATAGTTATCTGTTTGGCAGCCGGAATCAATTAGAAGTTGGTTTGTTGCCCCGAGAAAACAGTTCTGGGTGTGTAAGCATTTTTCTATCTGTATTTTATTTCGGCATTCACTCGTGCGATAATGCAGACATACTTTATACGCATGATAATTTGTGCTTGCTAGTAATTAATAACTCTGGTCAATGACTTGCTGCTGTTATGGCGATCTTCTGGTCTTAATCATAAAATATATCTGCTATCATTTAATTTCTTAAATCTTCCCCACGGCAGCAATATCTCAACACAAGAGTGGGGCTCACCTCATAGAAGGATCAAGGCAGGGCAGAGAAATCGGGTGTTGTGCAAATACTGATGATCACATTCCGATGGAAATTGAATTGGACGGACCAGAATCATGAAAAGATCCGAAGAGAGTCATATTTTTTGAATTTATTTTCTTACTGGATGCATGATTATAATTTTTATACAGTAGGTGGCAATGCTGCATAAAACAAAAGATTATAAGGATGAAGATATTGCCAACCTGATGGAGATCAGATCGAGCTTGCAGTAACCGTACTGATCCACAGGCGTCATGGTAAAGGAAGAAGTTGAGATTTTACATTCACCTTTGCAAGAACGGAGAATACAGTCTTGTATTTCCCGTGTTTGAGAATATTATTAATTTTTTTTTCATGGCGAGACTCTAGAAATATTCTCTAACTAAGTGCCCCTCATTCCTGCAATCGAACACTGTGATGGGCCTTGATCCAGCCCAATAAGTCTCGCTAGTTGTCACTAGCTTCAGTTGCTCAACAGGACACAGTTAGCAATCAAGTGGCTAAGACGTCAGATGTGAGGATATATCGCACTCCCTGTTTAACCCGTCTTCCTTGCAGGACAGTTTCCTGCTTCCTTTTTCATTTGAAATCTACGAACGAAAAATTAAATACTGACGTATATACAAGTTTACGGGGGGTCCGACGTTGAACTACGATATCTCTATATATGTACGGAGTATGGTATTTATAATCTATAAATGCGTGGCAGAAAAACTTGTCGAAAATAAGTTAGAAACAAAGGCCGCTCAGGTGCAGTCATGTCAGCACTAATACACTGAATTCTATTAGAAACAAAGGATGCTGATCTGTCTCTCCCATGAGGACACGCCCTCTACTGGAAGTCGCTGATTTTGACTGGATGAAACAACAACTGAAGGATACATATCATAAGGTTAAAATATATATTTGATTCTTTAACTTTAAATGAGGTTTTAATTTGATCACTTAACTTTAAAAACATACACATTTGATCCTCTAACCCTAGAATTATTAGGCTTCAGTCATGAATTTTTGTAACAATCATGAATATTTTGAAAATTAAATTCAATATGTTAGCATCTTAATGTTGTCACTTTTTTACGAAATTTTAGGATTAAAAGACTAAAATATATTTTTTAAAGTTAAGGGATCAAATAAGAAAGTTACAAGGCCAAATATGTCCTTTAACCCATATTATAATTACTGAAGATCACTTAAATTCCATCACAGTGACCGACTTGAATGAAACCCACAATTAAAGCACCAGAGGCTCCTTCCTCTTCACAATAACTTCTAAAATCTACGCCACCAACCGGACTGTGAACTCATGAACCTTACCAGCCAAGCAATTCTGCACTGTAACAGGTGGGACCCCCCCTTGCTTCTGTTCTTCTAGCTTGCCCCTCATGATCATGCACAAAATAGAAACCTATCCAACGTTACTTCATCCATCCAAGTACTTCTTTTCAGTCATTCAATCTTCCTGCTGATCGTCAAAATCCTGCTCCATTTCTACGTACACCTACTCTTACATGTCATTATAGCGTGTTCTTTACATTACACGTCCCGGCTGCTTCCTAGGAAAAAGAAATAATTGATACTTCTCCGGTCCTAATTATAAGACCCAATTGACTTATTTGAGGAATTAAGGAAGTAAGTTAAGTTGGTTATTTATAATAAATAAGTGTTGTCATTCCTAAAATATCCTTACTAATTAAGTATATTGGCTAAAACTATCATTATTAGAAGGATTATCTTGGAAAAAAATGCATAAATATAAGAGACAAATGGATTGGGTCTTATAATTAGGACCAAATAAAAGTCAAATTGGATCTTATAATAAGGACTGGACGAGTATTTTGTTTTATCCGATCCAGTTGAAACGTTAAAGTAAAATTTGATTTCTGTATATGTATACGATACAACCCGCCCAGCAGTTCAGAAAAGGGATGAAATTCTAACCCGTTACTTCTTTCGGAGTTTGAGACATATCTAAACTGTAAAAGACTTCTAGTTAGGCCCTCAGAAGCCGTCACTTGTCTTCAAATAATAGTCTTTCACAACCCACACCCACCCTGCTCATATTACTATTTACTGTAATTTCAGTTTATTGACAAGCCTGGCATGGCGTGTGGGAATCAAAACTCATGTCTTTTTCTTCTTCTTTTTTCCCCATTACAAAACTGATGCCTTTTATCATTATTATCATTAAAAAAAAGTGATATGTCTTAGTTTAACGATAAAGGTCCCAAATCTTGATGCGGAGGGTCATGCTACAGCACGACCAAATGCAATGGTGGGCCTCGCTATTAAATTCAAACGTGGTCGGTTGTGAACTTGTGATAACTGTAATCAGATTGTTGGCCGAATTAATTTTAATTTATTGATTTTATTCGAGCAAGCTCTTTAATAATCTTAAAACGATAGGAATCTACTTCCTCTTTCTAATTTTAATAAAGAGCGCAATTTGCTCGCAGAAGGCACTGCAACAATTATCATGCCCTATATATATCCGCTATAGAAGAATTAATTATGCATGGACACACAGACAAGTACACTGCTATGAAATAATCACCAGGATAAGTTCGTGACAAGACAAGACAATCACACGCACCAATCAAAGTTATAATAGATCATTTTTCACACATACTTCTTCAAAACCAACTTTTAAATGTGGAATCACTCAAGATATATTTTGTGCAGAAAGTGGCAGTAGGCGGACGCAGGAGAGAACTTCTACCGCAAAGGGCCGTTAATAAATCACATACGGTGTTAAGGATGGATTGTATAATACCATGTTCATATAAATTTGTGATGAAAAGATCTATCGATCCTCGACTGCTTGAATAGCTTGGTACATGTAGTCTGCAAGGGTGTTAATATAAGCCAATGCAGAGTATTAGATATTCTGACAGTTGAATGCGTTTGAAGTAATTTGGAACTGGAAGAAAGAGAGGAGAATATAAATGAAGGGAAGGCAAGGTGGGTTGAGGGCATTTAACAGAAGAAACCTGCTGGTGAGAGTGACGAAGAAAGATGAGCAGAAGAGAGCGAGTTGGTTTTTAAGTTGGTCATGGTTGAAGTCTGCATTTAAGTGAATTCAAGGTGGTTTAATGAAGGCAGGTGGACTTACTTGAAATCGAACTCTTCCTCTCTCACTCACTGCCTTTAATGGCTTGGTAGTTGGCACCCCCTTTTTCTTCCGCTTGGATTTCTTCACCTTCGAATTTTTTCATCCATCCTTTTCCCTCATTCCTAACCTGTCTTCTCTTCTTGTATTTCTCTCTTTCGTGGTCAATCAGTAATTATCTTGCACTCTTTCGGGTAACATCTTCTTTTACGATTTAAGACGTATAGACATGTGGAAGAAGAGAAGCTGGATTGCTATAAAATTCGCCTTCTTGCAAGTGGTTGTCTGCTTCGCTTCCCTTATTCATTTTAGTTCTGATGGGTGACATTTGTCTAAGAATTGTAAGAAGTAAGAACCCAACAAGAAACATTTGCTATGTCCTTTCTAAATTACAGGAACAATCTACGAATGGCCACCATACGTATTATAGGGTAATTCATCTACGAATACAATTAAATTAAATCTAGATATAAAAATGAATACATACTCTGCACAACATTAAAACTCATGCAAGATAGTGCATTGATGCCATGATAACACCCAAAGGCCTGCAAAGAGCACTTTCTCTTTCGAGTTAGTGCATCTGTCAATGATAGAAAAGATTGTTTTATATGTAAGATGAGTTGATCTCGAGATGGAATTAAATATCAGTGGGAAATGACTTTAAAAAGTGATAGTAGTATTACTACCACATGAGCTAGATTTCAACCGGCGCGCACCTAGTTTCAACTATGCATATTTAGTGGCATGAAACGGCTAGCCATCGGGTAATTGACGGGCTGTTTCTCGAGTGGAAGAGTCAAGAAAGCAGAATTACTCCCTCCGTTCCTTATTATAAGAGACGAATAACCGAATTACGTTGATCAAAAAAGCAGTTAAAATTAGTTAAGAACAATCAATGTGTAAAAAATATAATTTTTTCCCAAAAATACCCTCATTAATATGGAGAGAGAGTATGAGAGAGAACAATTAAATTATTGAAAGAAAGAGAAGTGAGAGGGAGAGAGTGTGTGAATTTGAGACAATAAATATGGGTAAAATAGGAAATCAACACAAAAAAGTAGAGACAACTTTTAAAGTGTCTCTTATATATAGGAACATGCCATAAACACCAAATGTCTCTTATAATAAAGAACGGAGGGAGTATTTAATAAGAGGAAGCGGGTATCCGTGGGCATGAAGAAAATGCAGATGAGTGGTTGTTTAAGAGATTTAATTTAGGAGAGAAGGAGCAATAAATTTGGGCTTATGTTTTTTGTTAACTCATAGGACTTGGTTGATCACGATTTGAATGGCCGAGGGTGTTGAGAGCCTTTAAAGCACAGTTCTGGAGTGTTTAATACATGCATAGGTCACCCATGGGCGTATTGGTTTTGCGGGTGAAGAGGGTGTTGAGAGCTTTAAAGATTTTAGTTTTCTGAGTGACCCAATTGGGGAAGTTGGAGTTATTATCCACATTAAAGAACCATTGGCATTCAAGACCTCCCTTCAACTGTATACAGATCCCAATATTAATGACCCATGCATTGCCCTCTCCTTCTTCGCTTCTCACCGCCTTTCTCAAGTACCATAACTCCTCTCATCGGCTTGGCTTCGCTTCGCTTCGGCGTACTACAGCAAGCCATATTAATTTAGAGCCACTATTATGTGCTAGATTTTTTGGATGGGCTATGTGGCAACTTCATAGTGCAAAAGGGAAGGGCATTAGAAATACTATTTGACCAAAGATATTAGTTAGGAATTCACATCTAACACTTTAGGTGCAAGACTTTGGCCTTTGGGCTGTGTAGTTATTAATTGAAGAGGAGCCAACTTGGAAAAGCACGTCATGCATAGGTAGGCAAGCAACTTTATTTCCGTCTTCAAGTTTTGCCCACCCCCATTATAGACTATTTCTCCCTTTGCGGTTAAAACAGTGCTGCCTCATCCCCCCTATATATCCACCTCAAGCTTGTTGGATGTTTGGACGCTGAGACACGCGCACAGAGGTGGAAAAGGGCCCTCTTTGAGTCCGATCGAATCGATGGTTTCCTTTCATACAGCTCTGCCCGACGCTCCACCTTCTGGTGTTCCTGCAACAGAATTCGAAGCTTCTTCAAAGAAGAGGAAGTGGGAAGAGCCGCTTGCTAGAGAATTTCTCAGGGATCAGACCAAAGCGGATAGAAGGAAATCCATCTTCGATATAGAGCTTCACCTTGAGACCCCTTTGCCTTCTGATAAATGGCAACAATACCTCGGTATTCAGGTATATATAAGTTCATATACTGTCAGACTGACCGAAAGCTATACATATAGCCACACAGGTATACATAAGCTACATATGGTGGTTCGTACAAGTGTATAATAATCTTGTTTGATCATGCAGTCAGGGCAGATACATAACACAAAGATGAATAGGAAACCAGCGGAGGACCGGAAGAGCGCTGAGCCTGAACCACCATCTCCCGGGCACATGAGCCTGGACCTTGGGCTGAACTTAACATGTGAATCCCCAAGGAATAAAACAGGAAGCGGTTATGGTGTAAATGAGAAGCAGAATCGCAGTTCCCGTGGAATTTTGAAAGAGCATCAGGATCTGTTTGTTGAATCGAGAGAGGAGGATAAGAAGGGTTCCGAGGGGTTAACTCGTTCTCCGTCGTGGTTGTCATCGGAGGTAGATCAGAAAGAGATGGTCGCAACGGTATGCATGCGGTGCCACATGTTGGTGATGCTGTGTAAGTCATCCCCTGCGTGTCCCAACTGCAAATTCATGCACCCACCGGACCAAAACCCTTCAACGTTCTTGAAGAGGAGATGCAGCCTCTTGTGCTAGTTCATAATTAAGAAACGTGCAGATAATGGTTTAGATTTGTTAGCTTTAGCGTCGTCTTTTTATTCTGTGGTGAATAGCCAAGTCTGTGTACGCTGCTGTAAGCTGAAATTAGTGGAGATGAGGGTTATTCTACCTCTACCTAGCTGATGAATATTGGCTGTTAAAAGCAGGGTGATGACCGATAACATATATCATGTTACTATTCTAACCTTTGTACGTAATGATATATTTATGATCTACAAGTGTTTCCGATGATCCAGGCTTTAGCAATTAAAACTCAGCAACAAAAGTTTCCCGTATCAAACTTCACTCACAATTTCTTCACTTTAATTTGTGACGTTAAACACCTAGGTACGCCCCTCGGGAGGGCCATTTTTAAAAATTGCAGGACAGTGAGTGTTACGTTGTTGATTGATCTCTTGGAATCACGTTCTTAATGTGTGTTAATGCTGCGTTACAGTATTTAAGGAAATGCAGCGAAACCAGAAGAGGTTGCTTATATCCGGGCTTTCATGGTCCGAGTACTGCATTCATGAAAGCCTCATCCATCCATGCAGGAACAGACGAAATGTTGAGAACATTCAATTAACTCAGCTATGGTTCCGTGGAGAAGTAAATGAGCAGTTACTCCCTCCCCTGCAAAATATAATACTCCCTCCGTTTCTTATTATAAGAGACAAATAACTGAAGTACGTTGATTAAAAAAAACAGTTAAAATTAGTTAAGAATAATTAATGTGTAAAAAATATAATTTTTTTCTAAAAATGCCCTCATTAATACAGAGAGAGAGCATGAGAGAGAACAATTAAATTATTAAAAAAAAAGAAGTGGGAGGGAGAGAGAGTGTGAGTTGGAGATAATAAATATGGGTAAAATAATAAATCAACACAAAAAAGTAGAAACAACTTGTAAGTGTCTCTTATATATAGGAACATGCCATAAGCATCAAATGTCTCTTATAATAAGGAATGGAAGGAGTAGAGTATTCTTTTAATTAATTTGTTAGAATTAAAAAAAATTAATTAATATGATTATTTGTAGTAATTGACATACAGAGAAGATGTTTCTTTTTTTTTTTGAAAAAAATTATCCTTATAATTGTTTATAAAAAAACTATCTTTACTATTTAATGATTGGAATTTAATGAGCAAAGGATAAAAATACTTTGGCAAACATGGTTATTATGAAAGAGGAATAATTAATATGTAAGAGATAAGAAGGAATCACGTTTTATACTAATTTAGTATGAAGCCAAAACTCAATGAAACAAATGTTATGTTTCAGCTATGAGGCAGGATATAAAATGAGAGAGCAGAGAGAATACTTGCGTGTGAAATGAGGTGGTGGTAGTAGAGGAAGATGATGAGTTCACGCCTCTCCCACCAAAATTAAAGGCGAGAAGGGAGACGAACAGATTATATGATGACAGAAAGACCTGCACACATGCCAATCGCATTAATTGGCTAACGTTTTTGGTGCATTTCCATCCGCATTAAATGCGTGCTGGGCGTTCATGACTTAACATAATGTCTAGCCTCCCCTCCCTTTACTTCCATTTCATTTCCCCATTCATCCAAAGGATAAGGGGCGCCCATTCCAAACGATAAACACACATTAAGTCCACTATTTTTTCACATTTTGATGGAACCGGTACCATACTTGGAGGAATTGCATAAGCTCTTTCTCGGTGTTGGAACCACCAAGTCAGTTGCATTTACGCAGTGCTTCATGCACTGATGTGGTCTGTCAATGCTGGGGAAAAAAAAATTAATACTCCCAGCAAATACTATTAGTATTGTGGAATTTCTTATGAATTTTATTTTTTACCAGGGCTTATAAAGTTTATTGAAATTAACTAATCTTTTCATTTGTTTTTAAAAATTAAAATATCGATTTACATCACATTAGTCAAAATACTTCAGTGTAATTTGCCCTTTGAAATAATTTTTTGTTTCCGAGTAATTCTTGTATATATTTTGAAAATAAAGGATAGAATCAATATAAATTCAGGGATTTCAAAATTTTTATGCTTGCTTGATTATGTTTTCTGTTTTGTATTCTCAAACAATTATATAAAGTTCTATTGATGAAAACATTAATTTTCTAATAATTTATTTATTTTTAAAAAACTGCTATGGAAAAAAAACGCACTGTAATTTTTTTTTTTTATATCGTCACAGTTCCTTCGGCATAAAGTAACTCCAACAGTTGCTGGTAAAAAAAAAAAAAAAAAGGTCCGACAGTCGTTTCCTCTTCCTCGCCTCGGCTTCTCAAGAGTCAAGCGGGCCGATTGTTGCTGATTCTTGGATCATGAGCTCGGGGTTTTTTTGGGACCGAAATGAGCTCGGTTACCTTCACTGCCCCTCCGTGCTCCTTTTGTAATAAATCAAGAAGAAATTCTAGCTGAGTTTTGACTTTTGAATGACGCCTGCATTAATTATGCATTTCCTCATCGGTCAACACTCTTGATTACGTAAAAATCTAAAATTACCGGTAAGAAAAAAAGAAAGAAAGAGTGCATATACAAAATTTTATTCATGTCTTTTGAAACTGTGTAAATATTTTTTTATTCTGAAAAATATGTAATTTTAGTTTTGGATAAATTATTTTATCTATAATAAAATAATACAAACATCAAATTAAAGCCCCGAACGACACCCGTTTTAGCGCGCCGAAGCGTCGTTTGTATGAGGTGCCTGGGCGGGAATGCCCGCGGATTTTACAAAACCGAGAATCGGCTTCCCCCCGTCAAATCAAGTGAAAACGTGAAAATGGGGAAGGAGAGAAGAGATGGCGAGATGGAAAACGAAGGCAGGGATCTGAAGTCGCAAATGGCGGTACGCCGATGTGCAAAAGCTGCCCTCCTCCTTTCCGACCTGAAATCGCTCTCCGGTCTCGCCCTGGATAACAACGAGGTCTAATTTTTGAATCATTCTTCCATCCCCTTGTTTCCAGATTCACACATTTTAATTGATCGCCTTCTTGTTTCTCTGACTCCGTTTTTGTTTCTCAAGATGTTAAGGAGAGAAATCGAAGACCTGAAGATTCAATTGGTAAAGCAGCGTTCGATCAACAGGAGAATCAAGCTCTGCGCCCTCTCCGAGTTAATTGTCCAAGTCATCTTGATGCTCTCTCTTTTGACTTTCTTATTGATGCTCGTCCTGAAAACTCAATGAACAACTCTATCAATCTGTGTTCACTTACCTGCTTTTCCTAATCAGCTTGTGGTGAGTCTCTCTAGTTTATTTGTTCATGCCGGATAGAGGAACCGACCTTCGCCTTCTGCCGCGGATGCTGTTATCAGTTGTGTCCTTGAGCTGCCAACAAAAATTGATTACGGGTAGTTGAAATTAATAACTACAGAGTATAGAGAATTTTTATTTCAAATGTCGTTGGGGCATGGAGCCTTCGAGGAAGACCAAGTCGGTAATGCAATTTAGAGGCGATAGTTTTACTAATTACTGGGGCCTATTATATCCTTGCATTACATGCGGGATTGCAAGTGAAGGCCAGGTTAAAAATAATCAAGCACGTTTGCCTCGTTCAGCATGGATTATGTTCAGCACTCCACCTTTCACTTTATAAGATTTTATTTTGGTATTTTATCATATTCCATTTACATGATGATTCTAAATATAATATAAGACTTTAATTCATTTTTTTTATATTTATTACTTTCTCATAAATTAATTTAACTTTTTTAACTTATTTAAATTAATTAATTAGTTTTTACGTTAATGTGGTTTTTGAAACTTATTCTCATTAATTCATTTCTATTTAACAAACATAGCCGTAGATTAAATGCTTACTCGTTCCACTAATGTTGAACTAAACTGCTACCTTCTCCTATTAAACTCATTATTTTATTTTTTTGCCGTTATTCTTTTATTGCTTTGCTAGCAAACTGGCAGAAATAATATTACGAAGCCAATTTTCAAAAGCTTGTAAAATTCTATTTTTGTTGGTAAAATCAGATAATCGCAAATCCAGGAACTTGTTAAAGGAAAACGCTTGACAGGAAGATTGATCCTGTGACTTGTCTGCTCGTCGCATACCCAGCATGGGTTGGGTTTATCGCATAATTTAACCGTGCCACTATTCTCTCGCTTGTGTTTTTCATGCGATTTTAGCCTAGCAAACGACTCTTCGGCCTGGAGAAAAACAACAGATAGGGCAACGGATGAGGCTGGCTTCTAATTATTTTGATATTTATATTTAATATAAAATATAATGTAATTGATATAAATCTCAATCATAATAATATATCATACACCTGATTTAATCAGAAACTATTCATTTATCTCACAAAAATAAAAGTATTTTATTAGATGACACTATATTTTGATAATCTGAATACACGCTTTCTTTTTCAAGTAATTCCATTCCTTGACGTGGTGAAAAAGTGCAAAATCTACATTGGTCGAGGAGTCCCTATCCTAGCTAATATTTAGGCAGTTTAAATTGAGAGTTTTAACATTTACTTTTCAAATAATAAATTAAATTCTTTTAAAAAGTGACCACGTAAATTATTTCTAGTTAATATATATCAAATCTTATTCATTTTGCTTGTGAGTATAGGAATTAGTTGCATATAATCTTAATCTATTTTATCTCTCATATTTATTTATTTTGCTAGATGTTTCTATTAAAGATGGTTCTAATACAGACAATAAAAATATTTTTTAAAAAGACAATATTTATTATAAACAATTAAATTAATTAATTTTTTAAATATATTTAGAGTTGTTATAGACTAAGGGACTGTTTGAGTACCATGAAAAGTTTTTTTTTTAAAACACTTTTTCAGAAATTGAGATAAATCTCTTTACGTATTTATTTTGTGTATTGTAAAAATATTTTTATAATTATAGTTTTGATTCCAAACACCCTAAGTTTTCATAAAAATATTGAAATTCGTGGTGATCATCTACTCCTTTAAAATAAGGTAGAGAAAATATATTTTTGGGTTTTATTTATAGGATACTAAGAGAAATTTTTTGCATAAATGTATAATTTTACTCTTCATTTATTATTATGTTAATATAATATATATTAAATAGAAATAAATTTTTTTTTATTTTTATAAAATATACCATTAAAAATGACTTAGAAGAGTATGTAGGTTAATGCGTACAGGATAATTCCATTAGGTGGAACCAGCCGAGAGAGAAAAAGCCAAGGTGCTGCTGTGCTAAATCTACTGTCGTCTGACGAGCACGGCACGGGATAGTAGCAAAAATTTGAAAGCACAGCGAGTATAATTTTGTCGCGGTGAGAAATCTACTATGCTCGGCGATGAGAGCAAAGTATGGTGCCCCATTTTCGCCCTTCATGCTGTGACTCTCAGCTTCACACATTGTGTCCTCCATTTCCATTTGTTTTCTTGAGAAAGGGCTCATGTCTTTGCATTCAATCGCCCTAGAGTCAACTTCACTGCTACTCCTTTATTCAGAAAATGCCACCGCTGGAATTATGTTGCTCACAGGAACAATCTCGTCCTCCAGTTTTGTTCAAATTTAATTGCGATGCCGCCTCGTTCAATGTAGGCGGCTTGTTTCTCGAACCCACGATACCTGATTCCTTTACCCGTTTGATTTCGTCTATAATTCCTCCCGGTACTGCTTCTTGTTCGGTTTCTTCTGCGCACTATTCCCAGCAATCTGTAGTTTTTGGAGGTTTCCGGAGACCGAGGAAGACCTCGGCTACGGTTGGTGGTTGGTTTTTGTCGGCGAGCTTGAGAGGGGGTAAATTTGTTGGGGACCCCAAGGTAGATGCGGTGCAAAATGGAGATGAGAGCTCCGAGAAGGCTGCTTTGTGTGCCAACCCAGCTGCTGAGCAAGGAAAGTCACAGAAGGTTAGGGTGCGAGCCGGCAGTGCTATGAACGCCACCAAGCATCTATGGGCTGGTGCTATTGCTGCCATGGTTTCTAGGTATATATTTTTTTGTTGCAGCGTGCTTATCTTGAAAGTGGGCTTGGGCCATACTACTACGTTTGTTTTTCTCTCTAGTGCTGTTTTCAGTTTGGTGATTTGCTTACGATGATCTTTTCTATGCTCTTGCTTGTCACAACTCGCTCCAAAATTTATGTGGCGCAACCCTTTAGAAGGATATATTACCTTTTACAAGTGAAAATAGCTTTATTTTGAAGAAATTGATACATGTATATTGATGCAGTAAATGAATGAAATGATTGGTATAGACGGACCAATTCATGTCACTCATGTCGCATGCTTTTGGTGACACATGTCACATATAAATCAATGATCTTCACATGCTATTGCAAGCTCTGGGTGGCTGATGTTTTATACTTAATTACCCGATGATGTTATAACAATATCTTTCAGCATTATACATGGTTTAAGACCATCCCTTTTGACTCCAATTTGGATCTAATATAGCAACAGCGATGAAACATCAACAATTTTACTTGCTTAATTTGTATCAGATGCCAATCAAGTATACTGTTTTCACAAACAATAATGTAATAAACTTTTTCCCGTTGTTAAGTGTAGTGAATTTCAGTTGACGCCAACAATTGCTTGGCATTTTCGTCATGGCCTTTGTCTACGTATTTGAATGCCTACTTTTTGCATAACTTTTTTTTTACGCTTTTATAACAATGCATTTGTCTTTATCAGAACCTGTGTTGCCCCACTTGAAAGACTTAAGCTGGAATACATAGTTCGTGGTGAACAGAAGAATATTTTTGAGCTTATTAAGACAATTGCGGCTTCTCAAGGATTGAGAGGCTTTTGGAAGGGGAACCTTGTTAATATTCTCCGAACAGCTCCATTCAAAGCAGTTAACTTTTGTGCTTATGATACATACAGAAAGCAGTTACTCAGATTGTCAGGAAATGAGGAAACTACCAATTTTGAGAGGTTTATTGCTGGTGCTGCAGCTGGAATCACTGCTACCATTATTTGCCTACCACTTGACACTGTATGTGGAAATCTTAAAATGTGGTCTTTGTTTTTCCCTTTACTGCCTCAACCAAAGCAACACGCACATATGTCCATTATGCTTTAATATTGATAAATCTGGAAATTCTTTATTGATGATTTTCTCAACCAGTTGGCTTTCAATTATTGCATATTGTAATACTGATCTGTTTGTGTGGTTGGAACGGATCAGCAACCATCAACGTGCTCAATATCCATCTGGTTTCCTGGTCTTGGTTTGAATGATTGTTGAAATAACTAAGCGCTTTTAACATTTCCTGGTTAAGCGAACATAGTTACTTCACTCAAAATATGAATGGTGCTTGTCAACTATATGCACCTTTCAGGTCCGAATGCTTCCATTAAGAGTGGTGATTTGAGCATGTTTTAGCTAATTAAACATGTTAACTTTTGTTGCAGTTCCACTTGCATGCAGGATTCAGTTGTAGAGTATGATAAATCACCTTGTGTCAAACTCTTACTCTTTACATCTTAGATAGAAGAATGCTTAGACCCTTAAAGTTCCTTTTTGAGAATAAGAAATCTTGAAAAATTTTGTTTTGTTAAAAGTTTCCTGGCAACGCCTTCATGGAGTCCTATTCACAGTGTAAGCTGGGCGTTGCTTAAGTGGTTCTTGCATACGTTCGTATTGATTCACGAAGATATGAGGCCACCACAATAAAGAACGTGGAAGGAAATTGTTGGCAGCTTTTCTGTTATTCTGATATTATTATTTTGAAAACGAATGAGAAGTAAAATTTGTTCCTGTTTTGCTGGTTTGTTCTTCTCTTCTTCTGTCTAGTTGACTGGTCTCTTTCAACTTAATTTTTTTTAATTATTTATTAAAAGTCAAATAAATAAGGAATAATATGATTGGCATAAATGCATAAAATGTGTGCATCTTTTATCTGCCATGGAAAAAATGGTGCATCATCGTTTCTGTTTGTTTGCTTCAACCTCATTGTGAGCTGTCAATGCAAGTATAGTAAAGTAGGTCTTCTAGTGAATCAAATTGTTTGCATTTTATTATTTTGCGCTGTAATTACTAGGAAGTCTTAACATTGTAGTGTCTTTTAGATTCGAACCAAGATAGTGGCACCTGGTGGGGAAGCCTTGGGTGGTGTAATTGGAGCTTTCCGCTACATGATTCGCACTGAAGGGTTCTTTTCTCTTTACAAGGGTTTAGTGCCCTCGATAATAAGTATGGCTCCTTCTGGAGCAGTTTTTTATGGAGTATATGATATACTGAAATCTGCATATCTGCATTCGCCCGAAGGAATGAGAAGGATCCAGAACATGCGTAAACAGGGGCAGGAATTGAATGCCTTCGACCAGCTTGAGTTGGGGCCAATAAGGACACTACTATATGGGGCTATTGCTGGTGCTTGTGCTGAGGCTACTACCTACCCGTTTGAAGTGGTAAGGAGGCAGCTTCAAATGCAAGTCCAATCCACAAAATTAAGTTCATTAGCAACTTGTATCAAGATTGTTGAGCGAGGAGGCGTTGCAGCTCTTTATGCTGGACTTATTCCCAGTTTATTACAGGCATGCATATCTTAACTTTGGATCTCTTCCTTTTTTCTTTCGTTGTTGTTGGTAAATTTAGCTGTGTGGATACCTCATTATAGTTCTTGAAAGAATTAAGATGATCATGCTTCAGGTTCCAGTTCGTTCATACAAGATGATTCGCTGCACTATAAGTTGTTCAGTTCTTTAGTGTGGATAGTTTAGATTGTGGTTCTTCTTTTTTATTGACTTAATGATTCTCATTTTAAATTAGATCGTGTTGTAATGTGGTGATCACAAGATGGCCGTGCTTCTGTTTGTCCTTTTGTGATATGAATAGTTTTTATTATTTCCGTGTAGAACTAGCTTATCCTGCAGTATCCCATAAACTGAAATGACACTTCAGTAATAGCAAGTTGTGTAACTGTGGGAGATATACCCTGAAACGTCAATTTTATTTCTTGCACATGTATACTCTCATTTTGATAATGCTTTCTGAACATGAGGTTTAATGAATTTCTCATTCTGATTGTCCCATATGCAGGTACTTCCTTCAGCTGCTATAAGTTACTTTGTCTATGAGTTCATGAAAATAGTTCTCAAAGTGGTGTAGGCAACAAGGAGATCCTCAGGTATGTAAATCATGGGAAGGTTTAAGAATAAGCAGTAGACGTACACCCAACTGATCACTCTCTTCATGTGTTAGCAACAAAAGAAAATTTTTGGACTGACTCAAACAGTCAACTTACCCAGGCTTAAAGGCTGCAAATATAAATATTTAGTCTCTGCCGGAAGCTGAATTTTTTCCCCCAATCTGCTCAATTTTGTTTACATTTGTTATGTAGCTTTAAACCCTTAGAGAAATGAAATGGACGGAAAATGGATTTAAATTGAAGAGGCAAAAAAAAAAAAGGTTACTTTTAAGTAGTAATAAATTAATTATATATAAATATACAATATTTGTCGTCTATAATTGTAACCAAACAACCCCAAAGGGCAAATTTATTCCTCGTCTAAGAATTGCAGTTATTTTGCCTAATGTAGTGTTAATCTCTTGACTAGCTGTGTGATGAGCAACTACTGCAAATAGTTAATATTAATTTGATTCTTGGACAATGTAATGTGAAGCTTTTTCTTTATCTTTCCATGCGAGTATATATATGCATGTATGTAAATGTATGATACGAATGGGCTATTGTTGCCTTGCATCCTATAGGATGATCCTTGGAACAAGTATGATTTTAAGATTAGAAGAAGAAAGAAAGAAAGAAGTTCTTAGATAGCGCTTATTGTAGGAAAAATTCAATATTATTTTGATCAATGGGTAGGTGCCGGATGTCCAGGCCGAAAAGAAAGATGCCGGATGGACGGTGGACTAATGGTGGTCTCCTGTTCTATTTATTGGCAAAGACCGACCGAGGCTTATGAACAGTAAAATGGCGGTTGCCTCTTCAGTCTTCGCTCCAACTTACCAGTTCCCTAGTTCCCTTCCACCTCGTTTACTAGTGTCGACCAAATTGTTAGGCTTACTAATTAAGAACATGATTCGGCCGTTTGCGGTCGCGATTCACGAAAGATATATTTTTATTTTTATTATTTATTTTTTGATCTGCACACGGCTGGCATATTATGCACTTTGCGACCGGGAGGTTGAACATCCTTCGTATAATTTAATTTAATTTGGTTTTGAAAAATTACTTTCGTCTTCGCCCATTTCTTTCGGAAACTATTATTCCCTCTGTGTCTGTGATAATTAAATTATATTGTTTAAGAAAACGATTAAAATTAATTAAAAATAATAAATATGTGAAAAAATGAATTTTTTTCCAAGTATACCCTTATTTATAAGAGGGTAGATAAGAGAGAGAAATAGAATAAGACTAGTTAGGAGTAAAAATAGTAAAAACATATTAAATGTATGAAAGAGAGTTTAGTATGTCAAATTGTCAACCTTTTAATGCAATATATAAAACTAATTAGGAGTAAAAACAGTAAAAACATATTAAATGTTTAGACTACTTTAATTAGGTTTTTATAAAAAGAAGGCAATTTAAATTCTAGGCTGCTATAAAAAGGATGGGAGGTAGTATAAAACTAGAATCGCCACTCAGAAGCATATGTAAGCAAGTTATTATGGTCCAAGTGTTTCGAATGTATTCTCTTGATTCTGTATTCTGAAGAGTTACGTAACAGGTGCCACATGAACATATAGTTTGTAAATTTATATGCTGATGCTTATAATTTTTCTGCTCAGAATCTGAGGTGGGATGTTGCTCACCATACAAGTTTTTTTTTGGGCCAAAATCAAGAGACATTTAAAAGAAATAAAAGTCTGGGTTTTTCAGGTACAGTCAGTGGAGAGTACTAAAATTAATTCCCTTTAACAAAAAGTCAGAAATGACAAATGGCGGACCCGGGGCTCCAGCTCTCGCTGCTCGGCGGGAGGCAGTTGTGGTATTGGCCCTGGCATTGGTGGAACGGAACGAGGGAGTCAGTATCGTAATTATAAATTTGTAATTTCAAAAGCATTCGCCCCAACATACCATCAACCGGTTTCATTTGCGCGACTCTACATCGGCCCTTTTGTTCTCTCTTCCTCGCTCGGAAAAACTTCCCTCCCTGCCCTGCTGTTTTTCTCCTGCTACGGACCCTGCATTATCACATTCACTTGGTTGCTTGTTAACTAACGTAATGTCGCCGTCCGCGGACGGGTCCTCCGTAGCTGACGGCTTCTGCTCATGCTGCCTCGATGCGAATAGTGATTCTCAGAGTGATGACAGCAGATCTCTTTATGTGAATTGCAAACATTGTGGAAAATCGGGCTCTTCCCCGTCTTCGTCAGGGTCTTCAGACTTTTTTAGTCTTCTTTCACTGAAGGAGTGGGAGAAGCTCAGGAGAATTCTTATTGCGTCGGCCAAGGGCTTCACGGTTGGAGCTGGTCTCAAGGGTGGTCTTTCTCTTTTCTCGATCTTAGCTCGATTGAAGCAAAGAAGGCCGCTAACTTCTTTGAGGTAATACTCATGGAATTTAAGATACGCGAATATCTGTTTTCAGAATTCGGGCGGCATGTCTATTAACTAGTTCATTTGCTCATTTATGAATGTATATGTTCCTCTTTCTCATTCCCTGATTTAGGAAGGAGGCTCTGAAAACTAACAGCGAAGCAATTGTTACGGCTGTGAAAGAATCAATGAGTTACGGTCTTTTTGTTGGAACCTTTGCTGGAACATTCGTGTCCATGGATGAGCTTATAGGTGCTTTGGGTGGTCACCGCAGGCAGGTTCCTTTGTGGATAATCAATTTTGTTTATTGGTTAACATTTACGTTTTATGAGGTTTATCGAGTGGTGTGTGAGAGATTTTGATTCGTATTATTCCTCCTAGCTCAGGACAGCAAGATGGAGAGCTTTGCTGGCAGGGGGGATTGCTGGCCCGTCCATTCTTCTGACTGGCTTTAAAACACACCACAAAAGCTTGGCGATTTATATACTTATGCGAGCTGCTGTTTTGGCATCTCGATGTGGGATTAAGAGCAAACGATTTGGGAGAATTTGTAAACCTCTCACATGGAAGCACGGTGACATTTTCCTTATGTGTCTCTCCTCGTCACAAATATTGTATGTCTCCCCTTTTTCAATATATTAGCGAGGCTAATTTTGCTTTAATTTGATTTGGTAGAAGTCTTAACTACCACTTATGTTCAAGTAAATAAATATGTTTGTCTTTTATCTATTGTTCTGAATGTGACTGCATCCACATGGTTGCTCCCTTGATAGTTCTTTCTGGGCCAAGAAAAAAAAACATTTGGGAAGCCCTTTATTTTCCGCCCTAATGCGCCTCTACTTTTTAAAGCATTATTGTACAAAAATGATGAAGATAAGCAGGAAAATATTTTGGCAATTGGTTGTAGGTCTTCTTACATATTAAAGCAAGAGAGTTTACCTTCTTCATATAAGTCATTTCTCAATAAACATGGTGGAAAGGATCTTGTTATCTTAAAAGGTGTAAAAGACATTGCAAGTGGGATGCCTTTTACTGATTTGGAAGCAATACAAAGATACTACAAGGCCAAGGGTGTCGATGTGCATCTTGATCCGAATATGGAAGTTCCATGCTCGGTATGGGAATGATTCTTATCCATTTATTTATTTCTCGATAGCTGTTTGTTGGCTAGGGGATTGGAGGACTAAATATAAAAGATAGAACATAGTTATTACGTGTTCCATGTTTAACAAATATTACTATTAGAAACTGGAAATCATTTGATTCAGCATGCAGATGCTACACTTAGCTTGGAAGTTGGAATTATCACAATTTCCTGTACTCACAGTACTTAAAGTTCATCTTACATAATGCGTAAAACATCAGTTCTTTATCATGATCAGGCCTACTAGAGTTGAAGCTCCTATGGTCATTGTTAAGTATCTGATGAGGAATTACATATATGTTAAGTTTGTGTTTTCTATGGGCTCTCTCTCGTAGAAGCATATTTTATTTTTCTATGGCGCAGTATATCGTTGTTGACCAATATCTTGCAGATTATTCATGAAAATCAGTCATGTGGTGGGCATTTTCTTTCTTTTCTCCTTGAAGCCTACAAGAGAGCATTATCTGTTTATCTTCCAGTTTATCTGCTCCCAGCACTATTAGTTCACAGACAAGGACTTGTAAAGAGGTGATCTATTAATCTAATGTCCACTTTCTCCTTTCCGAACATATTAAGAAGTGAGCCTCTGTTTTATTTGGATAGAATTACTTTGAATGCAAGGATTCCCATGATGCAAGCAGTCCTTCAGCAATGTGGAAGGATTGCATCTGTATAATCCTTTAGTCTGTAATTATGGCATAGTGCATGGAATTACTATTTTTTTGGCCTTATTACTCATCATCAACATTCTTATATGCAGGCCTTATACAATATTAGCCAAGGGTCTTGTTGGCACGGCAAGATCAAGCTTATTCCTGTCTGCTTATTGCTCATCTGCCTGGTCAGCATCTCTTACCTACTCGATACCCATTACCTTATCCCTAGTTGTCTTGTTGCTAATTTGGCAATGGTTTTAAATTTAGTGTTCTTTATCTGTTCAAAATTTCCAATTATGCTGGTACGTTATGCTGTCCGTATAATGTGCATTGGCCAAATAGTGCAAACCAACATTACAATCTTGTGAATTCCAGTTACATTAAAAATTAATTGAATCAAGCAAAGCAGATAAACGTTGCAATTCTTGTAATCTTTTTTATAGGTTCAATCTTGCATGTCTAAAGATACGTGATAGTTAAAAGGAAAAAACTAACATGCGCCATCTAAATCATTATTTTGATAGTTTTTAACGTGAACCCAAAAACATGCTCATAGTAATACAATACTGGATTATAAAAGTATCCACTTATCATATTTTTATTGAAAATATGATAGAAAAGACGGACTAAGGCCATATATTTCTGTTTATTGCTAAACATTGGCTTAAAGAGAGAAAACTTACATGTGAGGGAACATAAGAAATGCATGGTCCCCTTTTAAGTGCTTGCGATCAATTGGCTCTATCATTCTCAATTTTATGAGATGACTTCTATTGAAAGTATCATATGTATGATGTGAATGCCTCAATTGTTCATCAGGATGTGGACGTGCTTGCTTTTCAGAATCCTCAGAAGATGCAACATTCCAATGGTGGTCATGGGAACGGTACGTTGCTTATTGTGTCTTTATATTCTCATCTGTTTGGCTAGGGTATTTTAATTTGTATCATCTGCTTGTAAGTGCTGCTGTTGGAATTATATTGGCGAAATATAAAAGCATCTCTAATGCATTTTGCCGCAGTTCCCTACTGGGCTTGCACTGGGTATTGAGAAGAAAAGCAGACGAATGGAGATTTCATTATACTGCTTTGCGCGAGCAATTGAGAGCTTTTTCGCATGCTTGGATGATGGAGGATATTTGCCGCAGTCAATTAAGATTAGGAGAGCTGATATTCTGGTTTTCAGCTTGTCAACGGCCATCATAATGCACTGCTATGCACAAGAGAGGGAAGTATTTAGATCCAAATATTTGAATGTCCTTGACTGGGTGTTCGGTGTGCCTCCTCCGCCATGTGAAACTCCACGCTGTAAAGGTGGGTAGAACGATCAAATGCTTGCCCAGAAGGCAATTTTACTCGCCACGTGCGCTGAAATCGAAGTAAAAACGATGCTCGACTTAGTGACAGCGAGAATAGCATCTAGCTCATCAAGAATCAACCCTTCGCTGATAAAGAACTGGCATTTTTACCCGAGTGCCTGCGGCTTCCAAGGAAGCTGCGTAGGTTTTCCATTCGTGATACATGCAGTGCTGCGTGTTTCTTGGATTTGATGCCGTACCCTGTCCTTATTCTTGTGGGTGTAAATTCAATTTTGAAAATAATTATGGCGGGCGTGCAAGCTAATGTGATTCCATTTATAATTGCTGACAAAATGTGGGGGAACAATATATGCAAGTTTCTCTATTGCTCATGTAATTCAAACAAAGGGAAATGCAACTTGCATATTCACATTTCGTCCTTGGGGAGGGGCATGTTTGAAAATTGAAATGCCCTCGATGATAAAGAGTGATCATTGGATCATTTACTTAAAAGCCTGGCTTATACGCCTATCTGCTTATATTTCTATTACATATTTACATGGGTGCGCGCCTGTTTAACTGTTCGTATATGCAAATAATGTGAGTGGCATATATTTATAAATAAAAGTACATAAAAAAAAACACTTTTTAAAACTTTATCTTTTGTTATACGAATATGCTAATGTTCTTAAAATAATGTTAGACTCAAACAAGAGAGTCAACTTACTTTAGTAGCTTGGAGTAAGCCATGCCTGGGGTTGCACCGCTCATGGCGAAAGCCTTCCAGGTCTTCGGCTATCTTTTTCATAGTGGCCATGGTTTATCTCTGCCGTCTTGTCCCTAGTCACTGCCTCAATTTGCCCCCTTCACATGTGACCATAGCATATTGCGTGTCAACAGCTATGCCTCACACATATCGCAGCATAATAGCTAGTCAGACACCGAGCTGAGTTTCCGCCCCTCTGCTTATTCCGCGGTTTGGGAATTAATTTGCGATATCGCAGGTCTTGGAGTGGGAGAGTGGTGGATATATACACATCATTGGCGCTCAATCAAAAGCCCTAAGCTCCAATCTAGTAATGTGCTTCAACAATACATATTAGATTCCAAACGTTAATTTATTTTAATGAACCAAAAGTAAAATAATTTGTGTTCCCTTCGTTTTGCAAGGAAGTCGCGAATTGATATTATTGTTACTTTTTTCCCCTTTTAAGTAAGCATGCACTTGATAATTTTTTTTTTTTTGACCTGGTACTCGATAATTGATATTGGGTGTTTATATCAACAATAAAATTAAATTCTCTGAATTTTTTTGACCCTATTTCTTATTAATTCGAAGAGTAAAATGTACAAGAGGAATTCAAGAGATGAGAGGCTCTCCGCTCTGCCATCGCATCCCTTTGACCGAGATGAAACCAGAACTTAGATTATATATATATATATATATATATATATATATATTACCTACTGTTTTTAGCATAAAAAACTAATTTAATTTTAAATTTAATTCTAATAGAAAATTTTAATTCACTTTATCTCTTATATTTATTTATTTTTCACAAAATAATTTTTATAATAGTTGTATATATTAAATATTTATTCAAATAGCAGTGGATCAGAAAGAATATCTTATATAATATAATATCTATTCATTATAAATAATTAACTTAATTAATTTTTTAATTTATTTAATTTATAGAAATAGAAGCAGTAGTTTATTGAGTTTCATGATTATAATACTTTGCAGTGATGATGTAGAAAGGGAAAGGACAAACAGAAACAGCTGAAGGAATAGATTTAGACCCTTTGAAGCCAATTCCCTCATTGTACATGGGCTCTTGAAATTGCCTCCGCCGTGAGCCGAGAGGTAGTGACTGGTAAGAGAATGCAATCGATTGGGCGAATATTCTAGAAGGCATTTGCATTACAGAACGCGCAGAGGAGGCAGGCAGTTGGGGTGTATTAAATTTTGAGCAGTCCATGCTCCTAGTCGTGCATCGACACGGATCAAAGATATATGGTCATTCTTACCCTTCAATATACTAAGATGAACAAATCAACACATAATCTAAAACGTACGGCCAGTGGATGCCGTTGCCGGCGCGGGGGAGAGGGAATCCGGAGTTACGAGTCGTCGGAAACATAATCCCACCATTTGTAGATAGCATATCCATAAATGGCGCTATAAGCGATCACCCTGAGGGGAGAACTGGCAAACCTGAAGGGTCAATCCGAGATATTTATAATGAGTGACGACAGGCTGATTATGTATATATATCAGGAGGGCATGAAAAGAAAGAAAGAAAGAGACCTGAGGAAGGCGGATCCATGGTGGGGAAGAGAGGCTCTTTCGTCGGCGGTGACGGGGTAAGGCCAGCGAGAGAAATGACGATTGAAGTAGTCCCAATCGGGTAGGAGGACGCCGGCAATGGCGAGCACTCCGACAATGTAGGTGACGAGCATCTTGCGAGGAGAGTGGGTGGAGAGGCCAACCACCACGATGATGGCCGCCAGCCACAGGAGAGAGGTCTTGAGGGCGGCGTCGTTGCCCATTCACTCCTTATTTACCACACTCCCTGCTTCTCCGGCCATATAGATAGGGATGGCTCACCTCATAAATAAATGGCACGTCCATCCCACCCCCGTGGCTGCCCCCACACCTGTCCTTTTCCAACTTTAACTCCTTCGCCTGTTCCCCCATTTAATGCAGCTGCCGCTCTTTTCCAACTCGCTTCACGCTTCTTGCTACTTCACTCCCCCTTTTTCGTTGTTCCTCCCTCGTTGCCTTCTTTTTTTCTTTTAGAAACATATACGTACTCTCAAATGTGACAAATTTGTTACGAGTTCGCGTATTTTGACTTTATAAATAATAATAGTACTACCTCCTGTGCTAAATATTAAAAGTTACTTTACTAATTTAAGTAAAATAAAAAAAAAAGTTAAGTTAGTTATTTATAATAAATAGGTGTTATTTTTTTAAAAAATATCCTTATTAATTAAGTATATTAGTTAGAACTATCATTATTAGAAGAACTATTTTAAAAGAAGTGTATAAATATGAAAGACAAATTAGATTGAAATCTTATATTTAGAATCAAAATAAAAATCAAATAAAATTTTATATTAAGGACTAGTAGATTATAAACTACGCCGTTGTTCATCAGTTCATGTTTAGTTAGCTTGGCTGAATAAGTAATACATCACATGACATAAAGATGCGGGATAATAAGTGTAGATTACTAGATTAGGTTGCCTTGGTGGCCCCATCTTACATCCAAAAGGAAAAAAGCGTAGTTTGATGATGAGTTTTCTTTTCTTGCTACCCATAAGTATTTTCTTGTTGAAAACAATTTTATTTAAAGTGTTATTAAACACTAAATGTGAATACTTTTTTAAGTAGAGATTTGAACCTTGGGTTAATGAGAGTATATGATGATGGACGGACTAGTTAAAAAATGGGTGGGATGCCAAATGAGTCCTCGGAGTTTCTTTGTTTTTCTTGGTATATAAATTTTAGGAAAGAGGCTAGGCTCACCCATACTCTAAGAGTATGGCACCTAACAGTTGATTCACTGGAGTATAATAAGCAAGTTCTTTTTTTTTTGGACCCGATAGGAATATCCCAGTTTTACTATGCTGTGATGATGCCTCTTCCAGTACTGTGACTAGAGTTACGACAAAGTGGTACTCTTTTGGATCGGATCCTCTCTTTTTAGTGAGAAAGTCCAACCTTTTTGCCAGCAAAATCCAAGGAAGAAAGGGAGTCCTCGGAGTTTCAGTTGCGTGACTATTGGCCTCTTGCATTGGTGAGAAGTCCATAATGTCTGTGAGCCCACAATAGAATGGCCCGCAAATTACAATTTGATTACGTCCATCACGCTCAGCAGCCCCAGAGAAAGAATCATCTTGGGCCGTGTTTATTCACCGCATTATTGATCATTCCAATTTTATTTCCTTCTTTTTCTTTTTTTCTGGGTGAACTCGAGGATTCTGTTATTATTATTATTTTTTTAAAGTTACAATGAGCATTCTGATTTTAGATGTCGTAACTTGTGTATTGTGTGCGAGACAAGTGACTTGAACTCGAAGAAGGTGTGCTATTTAATTTTTATCCCACTTACATTTTTATTTTTTAGTTCTCAATATTAACTGATTAGGAGAGCTGAATTCCAATGAGCTATAAAACGTAAGTGCAGATCCCCATTCCAGAAGTTCTGAATTAATTTCATGAAACGATATAAAGGGATGTCTTGTACACAAAATTAGAACATAGAAAACACAAACCCCGAATACACATTCTAAATCTTGCTGATCAAGTCCTCCTGGGAGCAAACTTTTATTTCTTTTGTGGCATTATACCTCTGCATATTTGGTTTCTCCAACAGAGGTATCACCCCAAACCATCCGAAATAAATGTCAGCTCTCTTCGGTAATCTGTAGGCAGGCATGAGTCTGTGACCCTAAGTAACAAGCACAATCATCACCTCTGGACTCTGCCCTTCGCCCCTTCAACCAAGTCATCTGCTGGGTCACCATTAGGTTATCAATTATGCCTTGTATACAAGTTACCTCTCCTTGGAAATAGCTTCCCCTTTTTGTCGACTTCTTTATTTCTCTGTCACTTCGCCTGTTATTAGCTACGCTCGTATGGTTTCTCTCCTTAACTCTTCATGAATTATTTAATTTGTGCATCCACGTCAATTCATTTATCATTACCACGCCATCCAGATTTCCTTCTTTCTTTCTTTTCCCTCTAATGCCTTCTTAAATGCTTCCATGATGAAGCATAACTTGCTGCAGTTGAATCTACCTTATCAGAACAAGTCTAGTCGAAGTTTACGCCTAAATAAAATCCATTACTAAAGAGATACCAAATATAGTCCATGAAGCTAGATAGATGAGGCCTCTTTTGGGGGACATGTCTTGAAGCACATAAGAGACCCTTGGAGGGATATATGTGAGTAGGTGTAGGTGGCCCTCCGACTCTGGCTTTTAGATGTATTGGTTGGAGACCTATTACAACAAGCAAATCAGTTGTTTAGCTGACACTGAAATCAAAACATAGATACGCGCATTAATTATGTATAAAGCCTTTTATCTGACATCATTACTTCCTTTCAGTCTCATTATATATAAGAAAGGTATGATATTGCCCCCCGACACAAGCAACAGGATCTTGGTGCGTATGAAATGAAACCTTCACTGACAATATTCACAGTTAGAGGAGGGTAATTAATAATATGAGGACGACATTAACGAAAAGCTTCGCCACGCATAATTGAACAAGAAACCGATTCGGAGTTGGTTAAATTTACGTTGTTCCCAGTTTAATAACTTCTTAATCTAGCTAGCTGCCCCACATATGCCGGTGTTTTCACTTAATTAAGTTGACTGGTATAGCCTTAGGTTTGAAAATGTGGTTTTGCTTGACTATGAAGGCACTTAAGGGCGCCACGTACGTCAGTGTTAGGGAATATGTTAACAATTTATCTCTAGCCTCTGCATCCATAAGCCGACCAATCAACTAATACTGTGGAGATAGTTTTCTTTCATACTTGTATGTGTATATATGTATATATATATGAGATTCTTACCTTAAATGACCTGTTACTTGTAATTATGATTTATGATATGTAATTACTAATTAATTAATTTTCTCGGCTCAAATGAGGAAGTCAATAGGCTGTGGCCAATCACAAAGCTCCACATACTGACATTTCCAAGTCATATATTCGAGCTTATATATAAATTATATATCATCATCATTATATAGCTTAGCCTTTAATGATACATATTGCACAACCTCGCTAATTTTAAGTCATCACCTGACTTGCACTAGGCGTTAACCTTTTACTTTGTACATAAATTAAATTAAACTGACCGAGAGTGCCAATATCAAAGAGAAAAATTGGTACAGAACAAGATGCATAGGGACAAGCTACAGCTAACGAATGCTATTTGAAGGTTTATCAACCATGCAAAGAATAATGATAACGTATCAAGGGTTACAAAAGGATAGGTATAGATTTGATGCACCAAATTCTTCTTCACGTCTTCAACTGCACCACCCTCTTTGTCAAACAGGTCACATCGATCCTTTATGTCATTTTCAGACTACAAACTGTTTGATTTCTACTGTTGCCATGACCCTTTTTGATTACCTGGAGGGTATGTTTGCCGGAGAAGATGTGATTTTCACTGTTGATAATTTAATTACGTGCTTATATACATTTTCAACGCACGACTTTGATAGATTTTTTAGTTTACCTGTTTGGTATTCGGTTTTAAGGTTGTGTTACGTAGCATATCTGTATTGACGGGCCAACAATCGGTCAATGCATACACATTAATTCACATGTAATTGAATATATATCTTAATTAATCAATATAATAATATAAAACTAAATCTACAACTCATGAATACAATTTATCTTTTAAATTATTGTAATATATGGAAAAGGTATGCTGGCTATATAAATTTATAGGATTAATTAGCTGTTAATTAAACAGAACATAAATAGTGAGATTAAATTGATGATATTCTATATGTGTGAATATACAAGTCATTTGATGCCATGCAAACCACGACGAAATAGTGAAAATAGCTTCTGCTTTGCGTGCATGAAAGGGGATCTCCTCGGGGTTCCGACCTTTATTTGTTCAGCATCTACTACGAAATGATGATTTGATTTGATAGTTTCTTTTTTTTATAAGCTATTTTCAAAATGTTTTATATAGATTAAATTTTTTTAACTTCATTAAATATTTTTTAAAATTTAAAAATTTTTCAATTTTATTCCTATTTAATATATATTATACCTCATATAAACAGAGTCAATATCAACATATGAAAAATTTCTCTCACTACCTTATAAATATGAACAAAGAAGTATATTTATTAATTAATTACACATTAAACTAATATATTTAAATACACATATCCCGGTAGCTATATACCTAACACCCGCACTTTTTCATATTAAAAATCTTCAGCTAATTAAATAATACAAAAATCTCCAAAGTCTGATGATTTGATTTAATTGAATGCCATCAGCCTTGCATGTTTTTTCTGACAATATTAAAGGTGATGAAAACGCAATTGCTCTGTAATTTCTTGTATCAGTTGTGCGTGCCATTCTCCTGTGAAATTTCTATGCAATGCAATATTTTTCTGAACTTTGAACTTTGCAAGGAGGCGGCACATTAATTATTTGCACGCTAATTGGAAACAATCGAAATGACACCACATAAAATATTAATAGAAAAGGTTCAAGATGGAAATCCTATTTATTTGAGTTGGATGAGGATTTTATCACGGTTAACAATTTTAGACTTTTTCTGAATATATGGATCAAAATTATATTTTAGCCGCCATTTAATGTTTATTACTTGAAATTGAAATTTTGGTAAAAAAAATTAAAATTGAAATACATTTTGAATTTTTCCTGCCTCAAAATATTAGATACTCCTCCGGTCCTAAATATAAAACTTTTACTAATATAAGGGTCTTATATTTAGGACCAAAGGAGAATTATGGAGACGCGCAGCCCCGCTAAATGAAAGTTCTGATTGATCTGTTAATATTGAGCAATTAATTAATTAACGTAATATGGTGCGTGCATGTGCCTATTTTAATTTGCTATAATTATCTGAAGGGCGCGTACGTATAGATGTCTAGGCGGAAGATATTTGTAGCCCACAGTTCTATTACTACATGGCAAGTACAGTCCCAATCTAAAATTAATCAGCCAATAAAGCAACTGTATTTTTAAGGGGAAAAAACAGAGAATTAATTAACAAGGTAGCGTGAAGTTTGGATATAAATAGTGTAGGCGATGCTGGGAGCCCCAAGTTTGATTGGGTGGTAAAACAGGGAAAAGACCGCAGATCTATTGTTACAGAATGGGAAGGTCTCCATGCTGTGATGAGAATGGACTGAAGAAAGGACCCTGGACACCCGAGGAAGATGAAAAGCTCGTGCACTATATTCAGAAACATGGCCATGGAAGTTGGAGAGCCCTCCCCAAACTTGCTGGTCTCTTCATGTTTCCAATACACACATATATATATACTGTCTCAACTCTCTCTCTCTCTCTCTCGCCCCCTGATCACCGCTTTGCTCATTTCCTTTTTAACAAATCTTTGCAGGGCTTAACAGATGCGGAAAGAGCTGTAGGCTAAGGTGGACCAACTATTTAAGACCTGATATTAAGAGGGGCAAATTTTCTCAAGAAGAGGAGCAAACTATTCTCCACCTCCATTCCATCCTTGGAAACAAGTACTTCACATTTTCTCTTTTCTTTTTTCGGCGGGGCAGGAATTGATAACGGAGATTTTGGGTTTTTTGCATTCAAATTTTTGGATTCTCATGTCTTACATCGATGCATGTATATGCTTGTTTCATAGGTGGTCTGCAATTGCATCTCATCTTCCAGGCAGGACAGATAATGAGATTAAGAATTTCTGGAATACTCATTTAAAGAAGAAGCTGATTCAGATGGGCTTTGACCCAATGACTCATCAGCCAAGAACTGACCTCGTTTCCAGCTTGCCCTATCTGCTGGCTCTGGCCAACATGACGGACCTAATGCATCATCCATCACTGGATGAACAAGCCCTGAAGCTACAAGCTGAGGCAGCACAGTTGGCCAAGCTTGAATACCTTCATTATTTACTCCAATCCACAAGTTCCTTGACTACCGACTCCTATGACCAGAGTGCCAACATCGCTAACATGGAAGCCCTCAATTTGCTAACTTCAATGTCTAATGTCAACGAGAATCCAGTTATAAACTGCCCACAAATGGATAACGCATCCTTTTTTTCTAATGGGATTGCTGGCTCTCAACCACTCCACCACCCAAACATGTTATCTCAAGTCTCAGACCCACAAGTCTCTTTCAGTACTTCCCAACCATGTTTGAATAGTGAGAAGAATCAGGATACTAATAATAACTTTACAATGGTTAGCGAAGGGGATAACATTGGCAATGAGTCTTCATGGATGATTCCGTCTCCTGCTCCATCTGTTCACCCAACTGTGACAGGGACCTCATCAAACAGCAATCCTGGAGATGCCAGCAGCCGCACCTCAAGCTATGGAGGAGGAACCTCATTTTATTGGCCTGAACTCTTTTTCGACGACCCAATTATACATAATGCTTGACCCGGCTTAATCAGTATTTCATCCGTGTGTTATTTATGCTTTTCATAGTTTTCTCACGCCAAAGCCTAATGCATATAGAGATGCTATACATACTTCGGATCAGTTAGTTTGAACTATTTGGCTGAATGCCACTGCCATTTTATTCAACAGTGTACACTTTTTTTTTTTTTCCTGAATTAAACTTGGCCTTGATCTGTTTTGTTTGATGATTTACCCTGTTCAAAGGATATATATTATTTGGGTGTGCGATTCCATGATGTATGCAATTAGATTTGGTATTCTCACCAATTCAGCTCGTTCAGGTAAGTGCGCTTTTTCGATGCCATTCCCTCTAGCTTCAACTATGGGTGTCTGTTGTCCAATATCAGTTTTCGAAAATGGGATATGGGACCAAGTTGCGTCATCTTTGGGTTTCCTCTGAATGTTTACGTTGCTGATGAACAGTGTAGATATTAATGGTGTCGAGAGGTCCAGAATATGTTGATGAAATATGACTTAGCATTCTTTTTTTTTTTCCGGTCAAGTCATTTGCCATGTTAGCTTATACTCCTCTCATACTTAATATAAGACTTAATTATTAAGTTAATTTTGATCTTAAATATAAGACAATTTTTCATATTCATTAATTTTTAAATTAAAGTATTTCAACATCATATTCTCTCAACCATAATCAAGTATAAGGAAATAATTACTAATATTTTAGAAAAAACATGTCATATTTCTTATAATTAACTAACTTATCTAACTTTCTTAATCTAATTAAATTAGTTAAATAGGTCTTATATTGAAGACAGGAGGAGTAATATGTATGCAATCATATCTGTGGAAAACCCCCAAGGGAACTCCATGGAAGAACTTGTTCTGCTATTTACACGAGCTTACCATGGAGAAGCCCCACGGCGAACTTTGCTATGCTTTATATCGACTCCGTTGGCACCAGCAACACCATGGACCATCCTCTTCTCTGCCGCCACCCAATCCCAAGCTGATCGCTGCTTCATTTTCACTGCTTGCGTCCCTGACATTGAGAAATACTCCTGTTTGCCCTCAGAAATTATTGTATGTTTGTTTATGGTCGGAGTGCTTCTTAAAATAGACGGCGAGAAAACAAAAACTACCATTATTGAAAACTTTGTTGTTAAAGAATTTTTCACACTAGAGGGCAAAAAAAAAAAAATCACCGTAACGCATAAATTAAAACAGCGTTACAAATGCAAAATAAGTCATTTCATCATCCCTATTATGATCATTAAAAGCTTTGGATTTTAATTTTTGTTCACCGAAAAAGCTTTGGATTTTTTGATTGAGGGAAGCAGTAGCAGGACAGACAGTACGACAAAGTCAACGGGAAAGAAGTCCAATGGGCGGGCTGCCTTAGAAGCATTTTTCTGTAATCCTATAATATAATAACTAGTTGGTTAATTTAAATATATTAAAAAAATAAATTAAATTAATTATTTGTAATAAATATGAGTTGTCTTTCTTAAAATATCCTTACTAATCAAGTATATTCCTTAGAATTATCATTATTATTATAAATACTATTTTAAGAAAAATATAGATAAATATGAGAGATAAATTAAACTAAAGTTTTATATGTAAGACTAAATTAAATGTTAAATGAATTCTTTTATTAAAAGCCCCATCTATCAACAGACATTACCACAAACGTTCCTTTTTCTTTGGTTAATTTTCTTCTCTATCACGGGTGCTTTATTTAATTGCCTGTGGAACCAGGAACGAGGATGAGGCCGGGTAATAGAAGGTGCTTGCACCGTCCAACCTAGAGAAGAATGACCAAAACGTTACTAAATGTAATTTGGACCGATCAGACGAAATTTTCTATCATCTAGTTTCTATTGTCTTCCCTTTCACATAGCATGCTGCAGCCCGGTTTTCTAGGGATCTTTTCGAGATTTTTTTTTCTCATTCACATGTGAGAATTAACTTTCAGATCCAACAAATGAAACATTTTCTTTCAGGTTCTCCATGAATTCTGAGTTTCCTTCTGCAATTCTGAAGGCTCTATTTGCTTGATAAGGAACCGTATACTTCAGTGTCTGTATTCATTTAATTAATGAGGACGGGTCGGTGCTTGAGAAATCAAATTCTTTCCCTTCTTCTATGCGTCTGCACCTAAACCGGTAGAACTTTCTCTTTGTTTTGGTTGCTTTCTTGTAGCTGCACGTTCTTCATCCAGCACAGGTAGGGGAAAACCATGAAGGGATTCAGCCTAGTAGGGGGAAGTCTAATCATCCAACGGAGCATTATCATGTTGCCAAGTTTGTGAATATATACAGTGGAAAGAGTTGGTTTTGTTTGCTAATTGCTATATATGATGGACATCTGGAAGAACACATCCCTGCCTACTTAAAGAAAAATTTGTTTGCTGACATGCTAAAGGAGGTGGGATGACACTTGAATTGTAAGGAAATTTTTGTATATATAATACTACTACAAAAGACACTTTTTACCCCTGTTTTAGCGGGTTTTTCACATCTGTTTCAAGAAGAACATTAGAAGAGGAGACGTAGAAAGTCTGGCACATCTCACGTCCGTTATAAACAGACGTGAATGTTGTTGATATTCACGTCTGTTCATAACAGAGTGAATATTGAGATTTGGAGAGGAAAAATCACATGGGTTCATGGCGAGCTGGGTTCACGGGCAACTTGTGGAGATTGTAGCTAGGTTCTCGTCGAAACAAGAGGCATGGCAAGCTCCGTCGCGAGTTGGAGAATGTCACACACCTCAACCCATTTTCAATAACTACACATATAAAACAACTTAGATAGATTCAACAGCCTCAACCCATTTTCAGTAACTACACATATAAAACAAACCAACTAAGATAATCTCTTCAACTTACCTTCATTGGATTGCGATTTGGAGAGGAAAAATCACATGGGTTCACGGCGAGCTGGGTTCACAGGCAACTTGTGGAGGTTGCAGCTGGGTTCCCGTCGAAACAAGAGGCACAGCGAGCTCTGTCACGGGTTGGAGAAGGACGCGCGCTTGCTGGGATGCGAAGAAGAATGCGAGCTCCGTAGCGGTGTGGAATCAGAGCAAGCACGGCGTGGATTCAAAGCAAGCACAGAGAAGGTTGCAAGGTGAGAATGAAGATTCAGAGGGCATAGTTTTAGAGCGGCGAGGGGAAAGAGCAGAAGAAGCTCGGATGCAGATTGAGTTGGGACAAATTTTTTTAAAATATCAGAGGCTCCTTCTCATCTGTTCTACTGAAAACAGAGGAGAATATATTCTCTTCTGTTTTTCAAAACAGATGTTAATTGGGGGGGGGGGGTGAATGGCTACTTTGTATATCTTCTGTCCTAATTTGATTAATATTAGAGTGAAGAACCTCTATTGTTACGCTTCATTTAATATGCTGGGAGGAAATTTGGGATGATCCCACTGGATCCGTCTCTAAAGCATATGAAACGACAGGCCAGGCAATTCTTTCACGCGGTTCTGATTCGGGGAGTGGTGGATCAACTGCTGTAATTTCATTATTGATTAGTGGTCAAAGGTAAAAAGTTGGAGATTCACGAGCAGTTCTTTCAATTATCAATTATTGGCCAAAAATATTATGGATCGAATCTTGAGTGCTTGGAGATAAAATCAGGAAAAGGAACAAAGTATTCAAAGAATGGTTTGAAAATGTCAAGGGAAGAACAAAATTTGTACTGAATCAGTGATTACAGATTGTGTGGATAAATATTAAAAATTCGTATCCTCACACACAGGCATTTTTTTTTATGCGTGTGCCTTCTTTTTTTGGCAATGACAAATGGGAAAGGGCTGCTTTTATCAGTCATGTCTTGCGAAGGCTGGTCTTTATAATTGGCAGACTTTACTTCTGATGTCTTTACGAAAACAGCTACTGTAGAGGGTAGCTCTGCCAGTCCAGGGCTTCAGTTGCTGGTTAAATTTACGTGTATGCATGAGGCCAACGTTTTTTTAATTCATTTATACTCAGTTATAACTTCTAGTTTCTAAAACATTTCTTAATTCTTAATTTCTTTATGAAAGGGTAAAGACGTCCTTCTAACTGATAACAGTGACTATGCCTCTCGAGAATTCCAATTGAAGAAGGGTTCACGGGGGCGTAATAATATTGTTCGTGAAGATGAAGTGCACGCAATTCGGGCGACTCGGCTTTTGTCTTCTGGAATCATCGCGCAAGATAAGTAGGAATTTTGGTGTCAGGCCAGAAGAGAATTCAAACATGAGCTAGACGGGTCTACAAAGAATTCAATTAAAAATAAATAAATAACGTAATGATTTGGGAAAAAAAAAAAAAAGACAATTCGGGAAGAAACACTCATTTTTGGGAACGCCCACCTCCTTTAGGCCTGTGAGAGACCTGCACGTGCCCCACAACACCAAGTTGAAGGCATCATTAAGGTGAAAAGTATGGGGGATGGGAGCGCATCGGCATCCAACTTGATACATCTGCCACCTGTCCGGGGTCGCTGCGGCCCCAAAATCATTTATTAGAATTAATAAGAGCCAGGAGTTTTTTTTTTGAAGGGGGGGTACAGCCAACAGTCAACCTTTTTTTTTATTCTTTAGAAACGAGGGAGTAAACAAATTTACAACGTGTGATTCGTGTTCGATCATTTGCTTCCATTACACACTGATTGACTATTATGGATTATTTCATTATATAAAAATAAAGCAACACGTGGTCATCTCTTCCCTCATCCAATTAATTGATAAGGGAATCTCAGTGGCTGCAGCTTCTTCAACCTCAGAGACGGAGGAACTTTGGAATAATTACTCATCAGATGTGACATGCCTTCTTCTTAGTTGTTATTTCCGACTTGGATCATCTCCTCCGCAGCCTCTGTTCTTGTACACACTTGTCGAAGATGACCAAGTGCTTTAGCTTGACAGAATCCAAGAACTGGTGTTACAGATCCACCTTCGGGAGGTCGGGGCTCCGATCCTCCACCACTGACCTGAAAGACGGCACCATCATGCATTGCTGGGTGCCTAAGACCCCAGTAGAGTCTAAACCAAATCTGCTCCTCATCCACGGGCTTGGAGCCAACGCATTGTGGCAATGGGGCGACATCATCCGCCACCTAACCCCTTTCTTCAACGTGTACGTGCCGGACCTTCTCTTCTTCGGTGGATCCTACACGACCCGCCCCGAGCGGAGCGACTCCTTCCAAGCTCAGTGCCTGATGCGGGTCATGGAGGCTAACTCCGTACAGAGGCTGAGTCTGGTGGGGTTAAGCTACGGTGGGTTCGTGGGATACAGCATGGCGGTTCAGTACGAGGAAATCGTGGAGAGGGTGGTGCTGTGCTGCTCCGGCGTGAGCATGGAAGAAAAGGACCTGAAGGAAGGCCTTTTCCCGGTGGACTTCGAAGAAGCTGTCAACATTTTGGTGCCGCAGACGCCGGAGAGGCTTAAAGAGCTCCTCGGCTTCACACTTTCCAGACCCTCTACGGTGGCTTGGTTGCCTTCTTGTCTCCTTATTGATTTCATTGATGTAAGGAGCTACTTCTCTCTCTCTTCCTTTTCATTCTATCAAGCCATTATAACATCTTCCATTGAGCAGTAGAGTGAGGAAAGGGAGAGCTACTTCATAACATAAGTAGCATTTCACGAAGCAAAGAACAGAGATAATTGGAAAGATGTAGAAATTTTTATTAGATTGTTTTGCGGTAAAACATGAATATAATTTTTTTTTTTTTGGGGGATTACGAATATGAAAGTTAGAAATGGTGGATTTGGATAGGCAATGTGCAGGGATCATGTAGAAGAGAGGAGGGAATTGATCCGAGCAATCACGAAAGGCCGAAAACTTTCTGATCTCCCAAGGATTTCGCAGGTACGTTCTTCCATCCCCCTATCACATTTACACTGCTACTGGACAGATGTGTATCAGAGGTTTTATTTCTCTTCTCCCGAAGCAGCCTACGTTACTGGTCTGGGGAGAACGTGATCAAGTATTCCCATTGGAACTGGCTCACAGATTGAAAAAGTCAGTCACATCCTTACCCTACTTATTTTGGGACTTTTTTTTTTCCCCCTTCTCCTGTCTTTGGCTTACTTCTCAATTGGGAATCCTGAGCTGATCATTAGGGTTTGAACACAGGCATTTGGGGGACAACGCTGAACTAGTAGTCATAAAGAACACAGGACACGCCCTCAATGTGGAGAAGGTCAGGGAGTTCTCCAACGTCTTGAGGTCTTTCCTTGTCGATCTGAAGCCTCCTGCGGCTGCAGACACTCCATCCCCCAGACCTCACAACAGATCATGACTTTAAACGCCAAAGTGATCTTTATGTCGGAATTTTTCAATTTTTTCTGCTGCCCAATTATTGTAATATTTCTCATTAAAGCAAGTCATTGTACAAGAATTCGCTGATTTCATTTTGGCTTCGTTGTGAGGAGCCTCCAAAAATAAACTTGCATAACACAATCTCCCTCCGCCTCACCCACATATTGTTTTTACTTGTACTACTACTCTCGTTCTTCACATATTTAATATTCCATGAGATTTTTATGATCCGAAATGTAAGTCATTTTACAAGAATTTATGAAGCATTAACATTTCACTCTAAAAATGTCCTCGTATTTATTGCAGAGTATTATATGTTTTTTTCAAGCTCCTGGTTTTTTATTTTTTGGGGTGAGAAGAACTCATGGTATTTTTTAGGGTAAAAAATGCAAAACCAAAATAATTTTCAGACGATTATATTGATTCTATTCTATTAACTTGTTCAACAAAACAAATTCAAATAAGTTTTCTAATATAAATTTCAGCGTAATTAAGAAAAACAAAACTTTAAAGAAACTTGGAGAGAGGCAGGTGTAATCTTTGTATTTGTTTTAAAACAAGACTAATTCAACTGTGACTGCAGCAAAAATGAACGAACATTTTCTCTAATCAGTAACTGAGGAAAATATTTTCTCTATGAGCGTTTTAACTTCTAGGAATCTAAGTACTTAATTAATCAGTAGCTGGGAATAACGGAAGTGTTAGTCATCATTAGCAAAGAGTAATATTATCAGAGTACAGGCTAGCAGATCCGGTGTTTCTGAAAAGTAAGAGAGTAAAATCCATACAAACAAGCCGAAGAGTCGTTTTTACCACTACTGAACGAACACTTCAGCTCCGCTAGCTCTTATGTGACCAAATCCATTCTTTACACGACAGTTTCCTATCCAACTACCCCACCAAATGAACTCACATCAGCAATTGATCCATGCAGAAAATATATGATACAAACGGAGTTAAACTCTAGCAAGTAGCCCACTAACAGCTGCAAAGTAGTGACACATCACTTACACTAGCTTTATCTTTCCTCTGCCTGAGATTCATCAACTTTTGATGGCTCAGCTGCCAGTTTGAAACATGGTAATTAAAATAATCAACACATTTTCTTTAAATTTAAAAAAAGATTCCCGAATGGAAAGTAACATTCTTAAATTGCAAGAAATCTTCTCCAATTGACAGCAACAAGCCGGTCCACTTGTGCTTTTTTTTTTGTGTGTTCATAATGAGGATAAGAGAAACCGGGTGGAAGGGAGGAATATGTTTCAGCAAGCATGACTGCTTGAATTCAAGAATATTTCAATGATATGGTAATTATATTCATTATATTTGAATCAAACTAAATATAAAGTCCAGGGTGGATTCAGAAAATAGGAGCCTTTGAACATGGTAGCTAACTGTTTCTACCAAGTATTAACACACTGAGCGACTTTAAAAACTTCAGAATTCGTTTTACAATCAAAGGCACATATAGCATCAGAATCAAATTCAAAGGGAGATATGCGGTCATGAAAAATATGACATCAAGTGCATGCATCATAAAAAAATGGCCGTCAATTTCAACCCAGAAAGCAACAACATAAATCATGACCCCAGAATAATCGTTGGGGTGACCTTAAATCATTAGCTCGATGTGCCAAACTATGAAAGCATTATCTCCTAATAGATCAGTCCATCATAACCACATAAGGAACGTGTTTAATGATAATGGCAGCCATGAACCTCGTGCATCATACTTGTGCTCCAAAAATTGAGGTTTTAATTGTCAAAAGAACTTATAATGATAACAAATTAAAAAGTATGAAAAACTATAGCATAAATACACTCCGCCATATATCAACCTACAAGCATTTGTAAGGAGTATTATGTAGGGTTAGGCAGAAAGCTGCAAGGAATCATTAGTGACAAGACAATCTAATTTTAGAGGTTCTTTAGTCCGCCAAAGAAAAAAGGTACTATGAAAAAATGGAAGATAAAGGGATATTCATAAAAGAAGCCCTCTAATATAGGGAAAGAGGAAATACATAAACTCACCTCCCTCCTCAGTCAGGTCTGAGGTCCATAGGGTGAGATTGTCCCTCAAAAGCTGCATAATTAGGGCCCCATCCTTGTAGGATTCTTCATTGAGATTATCAAGTTCAGCACTAGCGTCATCAAATGCTTGCTTGGCCAGATGGCAGGCCCTGCATGTATAAACAAGACGTGTGAAACAGGAAGGTGGCAATTTACAAAAGCCCAGAGAAAACTTTTTTTTTTTAGCAAAGCCCAGAGAAACAATTAAAGAATGTAAATTGATGCTTGGCATGTGCGTAAAACCACTCTAATACCAAGGCAATCACACAGGCTAAAATACATTAAAAATGATTTAAAAGGCAATGCTGTCCCCTGAGAAAAAATTTTCTAATACTTTTACAATTGAAGAATTGGAATAAGGAAGAGAAGACAGATGGCAAACCTCTCAGGAGAGTTTAATATCTCATAGTAGAAAACAGAAAAGTTCAATGCCAGGCCAAGTCTGATTGGATGAGTTGGGGGCAAATCAGAGGCAGCAGTACTACTGGCAGCCTGCATTTACTTATCTATCAGTTTCTAGCAAGTTTAAAAATGAGAGGAGGAATCATGAAATCAACGAAGAAGTCCAACTAAATTCACCTCATATGCCCTAAGTGCTTCGTCTGCAGCTTCTTTGCGATGATCACCCGATTTAAACTCAGCTAAATAACGGTAGTAATCTCCTTTCCTATACGGAGGAGAAAAAAGCTTGTGATCCCAGCAAAAACAAATACGTATGAAAAGGAATGTCGAAACATGCACACCAACAGGATCCTTTAAGACAACCAACACTTTTGCAAGTCCCATGGAATCAGCACAATAATTATCACCAAAAACTTCATGCATATGGAACCATATCTGCCGCTAAAAAGTTAAACTCGGTTCAACTGTTGAAGAATATACCCATCTCTCAATATATATTCAATGAACTTTGACCTTCCTGATTCTTTAACATTTGATAACACCAAATGGTCTAAACTTTAGGCAGTGAAATTATATTTCAAAAAGTATAAAGTCAAAGTACTGGCTGTATTCTGAGACTTCTGTAGCTATATCTTGAATCCTACTCAAATAATAATAATTAAAAAAAAAATGCATGTCACAAGGTATCAAAACATTTAAATCTACTAAAAGAACCAGAAATTATTCAAGTCTCACATCTTATAGTAGAAAACAGTTGATTCCCCAGTTGAGGAAGAGGGAAGGAGGTGCTTGTCTATGACCGATAATATGTCATGGCAGATATTTGAGAGCTCATCTTCAACTCTCAGTCTGTAGTCCTTTATCCTCTTCACATTCAATTCATGACCCTTACCCTCCTCCTTTTGCTCAATGGACGACAGTATCCGCCATGATGCCCTTCTTGCTCCAATTACATTTTTATACCCAACGGATACAAGGTTCCTCTCCTCAGCTGTCAGGTCCACACCTAATTTAGCAACACCTTTCATAGCTTCAACCATATCTGCGACAAGAAAAACCAGAGAGACACATAACCAAACAAAATGGAATGAAGCAATTTTAAAAATCTTAAAAAGAAAGGGATTAATGTTAATGTTTAGGAGAAACTACTGTTTATTAAATGATCCAATTCAGATTTTCAAAATGTGGCAAATTTTAGGATGAAACTTGCCTAGCAGTCAAATTTAAGCATATAACCGCACTTTGGTTCCAGGATATGAGAAAAGTACAATATACATAAATGGATTCATTACACTAAAAATACAATTGATAGTTTTTTTTTTTTTAATTGAGCATCCTAGTCATAGTAGACACATCCTCCTCTCTCTTTTCTCTTTTCTCTTCGTTCCTTTATTTGAGGTAAAAAAACAAATTCGCCGGCAGGCTAGTAGCAACCAGAATGGAAATGGCAATAGAGAACAATTTCCTAACCCGGGGGCCTAAAAATATTTATTCAGACACCTCAACCATGCATATTGTACAACAGGGCACAAGTCACTAATCCTTCGGTTTAAGTAAACCCAAAGAGTCAAGGCGGCAAGACGCGGCTATTAATCCAGCACTTCAGGAAGCAACAAAGTAGGGAGGACCTTACATGATCTCGAATTGAATAAAAGAAGTAGATACCGATTAGAAAAACTGCCAAGCCTCTGTGAACCTACAAAGAAAGAGAGAAAGCATACCGGCATATCTCTCTGCTTGTTCAGCGAGTCTCGCCAAGTATAACTGCCGCTCCCTCTCCTTCTCCATGGTTTCTCAGTCCCTGGGAGCGTTGGCAGTTTTGATATTTTGCTTTCTCCGACTGACTCCTCTCTTGCAACGGAACCAGGGGATGGGCTATGAAGAAGGGATGATTACTGGGTCGGATCAGGAGAATGGTCGGTTAATCTCCGCCGTGAATTCTAGAGAGACAGTGACCGTTGGATTAGATAATACGACCAGAGAGAGCAGTCGGTGCGGGCCGATAGTGACCAGGATGACCACTGACGCGTCCCTGACAGGATGTTGATTCTTGTGCAAATGCATGCCACAGGACAAATTCTCGTCTCACATTGGCTATGATTTCACTTGGCCTAACCTGGTACATACCCCATACGGGTCCGTTTGAGTACCCAATGCGAATCCACATTAGTTTCCTTCTCTTCTAGTAATACAAGGAGTATTTAGATAAAAACTAAATTATAGTTTTAATAGTGTTTTTATGATGTGAAAAAATACTTCTTAAAAAGACTTTTAAGGGTTGTCAAACAACCCTTTAGCGTTGGTATTCTATAAATTATTTTATAACCATGAAGAAATTGCATCCGGTTTTCTGAAAAGAATAGTTAGGTGTCTTTTTCTCCCTTTATATTTAAGCACAAGAATTTTTTTTTGTTTTCTAAAAAAATAAATTTATTGTCGGGGAAAGGAGAGAGAATAAGAAACTTGTAATACCAAGATATGGCACTAGATAAAGTGGAAGTTGTTGGTGGCTTATTCTTCCCTCTTCCAATTCCTTCACGACGGGTATCCTCCGTCTGATGCCATTTCCCATGCCTTTGCTTTCTATTTATAATAATCAGATATGATTCCGCCAGTGGCCCAAGTGCCACAGTGGCAAAAAGAGGGAAATCGCAAGTTCTATCCCAGGATGGGTAGCGGGGTGAGTTTCCTCTCCCACTGGAAAGGGTTATGTGTGCGCGAGTCCCTAAGACAAAAAATTATATATGGTCCCGTGCCCTCGTTACTGCGTTCAGTATACAATTGTTCATGCGGTGCTTCACATCGTTTCTTCACTGGTCTTCAGCGTGCTGCCTGAGCACACCCTCATTTTGAGTTATTGTTTCAATTTATCACGAAGAAACTTACAAAGCCTTTCCGAGGAATTCATGCGCGTGATTTACTTGGTTAAGAAATTCAATTTTTTTTTTTAAAAGCAGATTATTTTCACACAAATGCTCTTCAGCTCTTCAAGACCTGTCAGAAACGAGCGCCTTTTACTACGAGATAAGGACAGTTTAGTTGAAGCATACCCCGGGGAAATCCACTAACCGCTATTCAAACCTTAAAACTCCGGGGCGTCTAACCAAGAGAGACTAGTTTAATCGACTGGCACAAGATATCATCAGCTTTGGCCGCGGAGAAATCGAATACGGGTAGCTTGCGAATGCAAAGTCCAAATACGAGTCATCTAATTAGCACGACTATTTTAGCCTCGCTTGAGATAAAAGAGGCATCCCCATATTATCCGTGCCAGCATAATCAAGCATTTCGTCCATCCACATGATGGCCAATAATACTCAACAGGACAGCATTTACAATCACTTCATTCTCAGCAATAATTAATTTTATGTGGTAACGGTCAACGATGGGCCCTCATGTAAGCTTACAAGGCAAAGAATTAAAGACTTCTGCTTGAGTTTGCTAATTATAAAATCTATTCACATCAAAGTCCCAAATTTCTATCACGCCAAATGAATAAGTACTCAAAATCACATGGCCAAATGAAGAGGGATTAATTACTTCATTCAGGAAACTGATGACCTTCTTAAAGATCACCAGGCCACGTAATACCCATGAAGGGGTCTGATTATAAATCCCAACTCCACGCTCTATCTTGCAGCCAAGCCTTTCAAAGGGCACACGCTCATCACAGCAAACTGGTCACCAGTGCAATCAGCTTACTGGTGCACCCCACGACTGGTGCTACCCTCCCCAATTGAAACTGTAGCAAGGGATTTGGAAGCCCAAACTTTAGCATTCAGTGCTCCTTCCTGCAGATTACTTCTCTTGCAAGGCACTCTCAGACAGCTTATAGACTGCATTATTCGCTTCAGATATACCAAAGGATGTTCCAACAAATTCCCTAATCTAATATTCTGGATAACACTTCTCCAAATACATTGAACGCACGCAAGCAGTGTAGGGAAAATGAAGTATAGTAGTCTCAGAAGCACAAAGGTAGCAGCCAGAGCTAAATATGTCTCCTGTCGCACCAAATTTTCCGGTGATCTTGCCCAAGAAAATGGACAACTTTCTGGCTCAGTGTAACCGTGTTTCTCATGAACCGATAGGCTCCCAATTTTCTCAAGAGAAGGTTGATCGTGTGAGAAAGTCCTAATCCCTGCATTTACACGAAAAATAACACGACACCGTCACATGAAGCTTGCACGCATAATCATGTCAACAAGATGTTAAGGGACTTCTTCCACACCTAAGGCATTTTTTAAAGAAAAAATGTTTAAAAAGGAGGAGGAGGAGATAAATGGTAACAACCTATGGCCCTGACCGTGCTTAAACTACAACACAAAATGCAATACAGGTTAACCAATGACAGGGGCAAATCATGTCAATCAGAAACAAGCACCCAGATTTCATGTTCACCAACAACCAAAATAAAATCAAAATAGCGAACATCTTATGGGAAAATGACATTCCACCAGACGAAACAATTCCCACAGCATGAAGTTCACGTTGCACAGGTAAATCCACCCTCCATGTACATTTTGGAGATTAAATTACAAGCATCCAAGTTTCTTCCGTGAACATCTTATGGGAAAATGACACACCACCAGATGAAACAAACAATTTCCACAGCATGAAGTTGGTGCTGTTCAAGTAAATCCTCAACCATTTCTCCCGTGCCCATTTTGGAGATTACATAATGAGGGAAAAATTATCACACCTATTCTGGTGTGGTCTCAGGAAGACTACTTCTGACTACTTTTTCATTTAAAGAGCAATGAAAACTAGCTACATCAGAAGGTTTTGTGCAGACTAGCTGTATGAACTAATTAATATGAAGAAGTCATTCAAAAAACACGTAAAAGGGAAAGGAGTGCAAGAGTGGACTTACCGGTAACATCACTGTAGAAACCTAAGAGAGAGATAAGAGTCCGGGATCCATGATAACGGACACGCATGGTAGAATTTAAAATGAACAGTGTGGGGAAGCCATGAACACCATATTTTGACAGTATACTGCAAGAGATGGATAGTAATCTTCAGCAAAGGGGCAAAAAGCACTGCAAAGAATCCACAAAAGAAGCCAAATAGCACAAACCTAGGCCTGATATTTGACTCTTCAATTGCAAAATGTGGAATGGAAGGAAATAGGGAAGACATGATGGAGAAACTTGGTCTAAATATCCTAGAGAAAGGACACCAAGATGCGTAGAAGAGCACAGCCACATAATCATGGTTATTCTTGTGAACTATATTCAATGCCTTTTGCAATGAAATTTCATCTCCCTGCATTTTATAATGTATAGATTCCGTAAGAAGCGTGCCTTCAATCTTCTGTCATCTTTATCAATGCCAACAAAGTTCCATACATTGGGGAGCTCATAAAAAAGGAACAAAAATAAACATCAATATGCCAAAACTCATCCTACACCTTCTTTTTGGAAGGTATGGAATGATGATAGGCAGTATATTTTGCAACCTAGGTCTGCTTAAACCTTTTGCTCTGTAGTCATTACCAATGCTACATCTTAAGAATGCCAGTCTCATTTATGACAAGGACAACTACAAGGCATAAAGATTAGAAATCACACGAAAAATTTATAAACCAATATACCTTTTCACATCACGCACATACAATATAGTCAGAAGTGTCCGTGAAACACAATACAGAGTACTATGATAAACATCTTAAGATCAAAAATTACAGTATGATTTTCTCAGTGGCTCATTCATTTTATAGGAAAACCGTGGTTTTAGGTTAAGTTATCGCAACCTTCCAAAATTCTTGACTGTGAGAATTTGAGATTCATCATCTCAAGTAAACAAAGAAGATGCACTTCGGACGCCAAAATTAGGCATAATCGAAGTAAAGGACAAGTCAAATCCCCAGAGGACGCGAGACTTTTGCCCTCGACAAGGCGACCAAACTACGCCGAAACAGCTATGCAATCAAAAATCAAAATCATCAAGGAAATGAGAGAATATTTTACAGATTAAAAAACGTGTGAAAATAAAGGAAGAGTATTCACCTCGGTGACGCCAACATAGTCGATGGATCCAACAACATCGCTGGGATAGAAGCTCCAATCACGAAACCCTAAGATCGATTCGGAAAGGGACGCGGCAGGACAGACGCTGGTCCCGAGAGAAACCGCAGGCAGTCCGGCGGCGCATGTAAGGCTTCCCGAAAGGAAGCCAGCGAAGGCGACAAGGAAGCCCCAAAGTCCCATCGCGAAGGATCCCATGGAATAGGAAAGTTAGCACAGAGCTAACCCAAGAGAGAGGGGACCCACCGAAAGCGGAAAAGGAGATAGAAATCCTAAAACATGGAATTGAGAGAAAGGGGAATGAAGGAATAGGAAGGGTTGCAGGGTGTGAGAACGGCGGGTCGTGAAATTTCGGAAGGGCAAGGATTTGAGAGGAAGGAGATGACGTGTAGGAAAGTGAGTGGACAGTTAAATTCTACCAAGACGGTTGGGTTGGGGGATGATGAGGGTTATGGGATGGTGGTGGGGATCAGCATTAAGCAATGACCAGCTGACGGACGAAGCAGAGTCGACGACTTAATCAGGGGAATTCCTGTGTCTCCTTCCTCTCGATACTCTCTCTAGTCTCTAGGCATGAATTTAGAGGTGTGCATGAACGAGATTGAATCGAGTTTGGTATCAACCTGAAGTCTGGTCCAGTAAAAACCTCAGACTGAAAAAGACAGCTCGAGGTCTGGTCCAGTCTAGTACCAACCTGAGGTCGGGTTGGACTAGACTTGGTTCTCTGGACTAGTCCAGACAGTCCAGGACCTAAATTTTTTTTTTTTAATTTTTTCTTCAATTAGAGGCAAGATTGTAACTTATTATATAAAATTTTGCACATATTTTAATCCAAAATTCATCAAATTTGATCATTCCTGTTTAATTTCCCAATAATGTCATGTTTTCTTAATTAATCATCATTAATATAGATCTTATATTATAGAAAATATATACGCATGCTCATTACTTAGGAAGTTAATAGATAAATCTTGATTATTTGAATAGACAAAAAATTTACATAAAAAATTAAATCAAATTAAAATTATATAAATAATAATTAAAAAAGCTGGGCTAGACCAACTAGTATGAGGGGCTAATCCCTAATCTAGTTCAGCTCGATGAAACCAGTCCCATCCAGTTTGATCCAGTCTTGTTTTGAGCCAATTTTTTCTGAACCGGATTAGACTGGATTTGCTCAGGTTGGACCGAACCATATTAGACAACCGGGGTTTTACACAACCCTAGGCATGATCCTTCGTTTCCTCTATCTTCTTCAATTAATTAAAATTAAAAGAATCTATATTCTCGGATGGGGGACAAACGGGCGTGTGCGGGTAAAAAGTCTCATTTCAGCCCAACAGAGGGCAGAGAGAGGCTCCGCTGTCCGAGGATCTACATGAAAAATATGAGTGTCAAACACCGAATAAGACCAGTCTGGAGAGCAAACATGCATTACGAAGGGGGCCCAATGAAAAATGCTATTAAAATAGCTCAGTGCGTTTGGAATGCAATTGGACCAGTATTATCAAGCTATTGGCCCAACTGGTTTCTGCAGGGTAAGGGAGTGAGGAGGTGTTTGGCATTCTCAAAACCGTAGTTTCATAAGCACTTTTTCACAAAACGAGATAACTTCCTCCACATATTTACTTCGTAATCCGTAAAAGCACTTCTGAAACCATGGTTTGGTTTCTGTCCAAACACCCCATGAGTCCCATTTTTACGCATTGGATTATCCAGTGAAGTATGTTTGGATTAGTGTTTCTGAGCCTAAATGTGCTTAGACTTAGGAGGTGTTTGGATTGCAACCAAACTATAGTTTTATAAGTGATTTTACGATTTACGAAGCAAATATGTAGAGGAGTTTGTCTCGATTTACGGAAAAGTATTTTTTAAAAGCACTTTCTGGGTGTTTGCAAACGCCCCCTTAATCCAATCCCACTTATAGTTGAGGTATGTTGTCTGGATAAACTTTTTGCATGCTTCGCTTACAAGCCAAAAGCTGGTGAAAAGATGCTCATGGCTAATGTATTCGTGTGTTTGCTCTGGTGAGCTCTGGTGTCGGGTCAGAGCATTTATTATAAATTGAATACCAAATTTTTCTTGTGTCTCTTCTCCATCATGCGTTAATCTTTTTATTTTCAACAATTTTAATAATACAGTTTCCTAAACTCTTATCATATTATAAGTAACTTTTTTTTTATTTGTTATCAACGGTTTTTTTAATATTTTACCATATGTACATGTATTATGTATGCAAACGGCTATATGAACATATGTATTGCTGATCCATCCTATCCATATCATAAGAAATATTTTAGAAGGAATTAAGGAATTTTTTATCCAATTTATAAGATGTTTTAATAGTTTTAATGAGCATTAGAAGGCAATGAGTGAGATTAGTAATTAATAAAATTTATGTGATTTTTAATTGTTTTACAACGAAACTTATTTTAAAGGGAGAAAAAACCTTTAAGACTAATAGCTTCGTGCCACTTCACTGACTTTGAAGACTTTTAAAGTCAAGTAGGTCAAAATGCGTTGGCGCAAATGTGCTCTTGGGCACATTGTTCTTGGAAATAAAGGAGTCAAGCAAGGTTGGGGTCGAGGTGGGTCCGGAATGATGCTTCCAACTCTTTTTTCGTTTTAAGTTAGACAATTCGAATCTTCCATGGGAGAGGAGATCACACTCACCCACTCACTGCCCACGCCTCTCTTTTGCAAGGCCAGGTTAAAAATAAAATAAAATAAAATAAAATACGCATAACGTCACGAAGAGGAAATTAAAGTATAATGACAAACATACATTAATAACAGATTTACATAACCAATAAACATCATCATATTAGCAGTAGCAGCGGTTTACAGATATTGCTCTGTCTTCCAGCCTGCATTCCCCCCCTTCTGAAACCAACGCTGGAGCTCTTAGGAAGTGATCCGGCCGTCCTTCTGGTGGCTCTTTTAATTGCTTAACGCCCAGTTTGGCATTATCCACCGAGCAGATAGAAATGGGTTATAAGAAGGCGACATCAATTGAATTGAATCCATCAACCATGAGCTGGCCTAGATGTGTGCCAGGGTAAAGGATTCTGTCGAACGTCAGTCTCTTGGCAGAAGCTGAGAATATAATGTTGCAGGATATGCTTTAGAAACTTCAACAAAACAGATCAAGAGACTTCTAGTCTACGTATTAAAATATTATGTTTCATAATATCACCTCCTGTCTTTAATATAAGAACTGGTTTAACTTTAATTTGATCATTAATATAAAACTCTGATATATTTTGCCTTCAATATCTATCTATCTTGCCTTCAAGTAATTTGTATAATAGTTAGACATGTTAAAGAGTTACTATCAATATAAGCATATTTTAAAGAACAAAATATTTATTTACTACAAATAATTAATTTAATTATCTTTATTAATGTTTATAAATTAGTCAACTATGATTTATATTGAGGACGGAAGTAGTACTTAATAATTTGGAGCGTGTAAGTAAGCAGATTGAGTCGGTAGATTAGGGCATCAGGCCACCCCACACTCTTCGTATTCACTTTGTTAAGATTCATCGATGATCCCCCCCTCCAATGCAAGGCCCTGATTGAGCCGAAAACAGGAGAAACATGTGATTTTATTTTATTTCTTGCTTCTGCCATTTGGTTAGAGAAAAGAAGGATATCGGTTGGGCATTAAGACCGTAAAAAGGACAAGCACGTGAAGCTAAGGTGGGGGGTTGGACGAGTTTTGAACATAGTAGGCCATGCTGCGTGGGGGTTGGCTATGAGGGGATAGTGAAGGTGGAGGCTCATGCTCTTTTTTTCCCCCTTTTGGTGTCCGGTGGCTGTTTACATGCAACTAAAAAAATATTTAGATACAAATTAAATTATAATTTTAAAAATAATTTACAATATGTAAAATAAATATATAAAAAGTTTGTTTTGATTTGAAGAAAATATTTGTAGAAAACATTTTTATTCTGTTGAAACACTCCCTAAATTAGCAATGACTTCGTCCTCTTTCTCCTTTCTTCGACTGCGATGTGTTCGCCCCTTCCCCGATGCCTTGTTGTTTCGTCGTTTTGGTTCCTACCGATGTGCGTCTCTTGCCTGCGCTCCCCTTGTTCACTAGCTCCAGCTCATTCTTTTATTAGCCGTTCACTCATCGAGCATCATCGCCGGAGTAAAACCTAAATTGTTGTAAATTTATTCTCACGTCACAAATAAACGCTAACGATATTTATTGAAAATAATATATGTTCGGCACTCTTCATTCTTTAACATCACTCCCTCTTATCTTATCTTTGCTATAAACTTCAAATAACTAATTAAAAACACTAATAATTAGTTAAAATTAATTAAAAATAATAAATAGCTTGCAAATATATTTTTATTTTTAAATATGTTGCTGTAATAAATAAAAAAAGAGGAAAAAATATATACGGAGAATTGTGATAAAAGAAAATTTTAAAAATAACATTAAAAAATATATTAAATATTAAAATTAAATTAAATTAAAACTTATAAAACAGATTATACTCTTTATCGAATTTAAAACTTATGAATAAAAACTGTGGATGGAATGTTGGTTATTTTATATAATAATAAGAGCTAGAGTACCTTGAAAATAACGCTGTAGGAATATTTTGTTCCTGTATAATATTTCTTTCTGTTATGAATTGTGATTATACATGCGGAGTATCTGGGAGTCAAAAATAAATAAGCACAATAATTTCAAGAACAGGGCCTTCGTTTTTAACATTAGTTATACAAATTTCAGCACCCCAAGATATCGTTTCCGCTATATTGAATATTTCAAAATATTTTATGATGTATTTAATATTTAACACTTTAAAATATATCTTAAAAATATTTTAAAATGGTAAATATGTCAAAAAATATTTTATAGTACTGCATAAACTTAAAAAAACATTTTAAAATGCTAGATATGTGATAAAATATTTTAAGGTGCTTTATACATATTAATCCTATTATACTCCTCCGGTCCTTAATATAGGACCCAATTCTTGAATTGGTTTTGGTCCTAAATATAAGACCCATTTCTCATATTTTTTAATTTTCTCTAAATTACCCCTATGGATACTCCCCCAACCATAATCAAGTAGAAGAGGGAGAGGGGGTATTAAGAAAGATGATTATGGTGTTTTAGGAAAAATGTGTCACTTTTTTTATAATTAACTAATTTACCTAACTTCCTTAATCTAATCAAATTAGTTAAATGGGTCTTATATTAAGGACCGGAGGAGTATATAAATATATTTTATTGGAGGCAACATGTTTTGTACGGTGCGGGGTACGACACGCAGGTGGGTGAATTGGGAATATATATTTTGGGTACGAAAGGAACGAAGAAACGAATGGAGGCGGAGAAAAGAGCAGAGGCTGTCGTACGTGTCTTTTCGGCTTTAAATTAGCTCCCCACCGCCGACGGGTGCCATCTACGGCTCCATGTTGCAATTTAATATTGGTCAATCATATTTTCATGAAACTTCAATTTAAAAGAACTCACGCTCATAAATCGTCCATGTTTTATTAATTTTATATTTAACATTTTAGATTTGATTATCGTGATTCTGTGTTTTGTATAGGAAATCAGAGCTGGCATGAAGTTGGCAATGTACTAAACACTAAACAGCTACTTTCACACCAAATCTTGCCATAATAAGGATTTGTTTAGAAAGCATTTAAAAATACTTATAAACATATTTTATATAAGTCAAAATCAAATTCTGCTCAAATACTTATTTTAAGTCGAAATAATTTTTTTAAAACGTGTCTAGGGATGCGTGATGATAGATACCCATGATCGTTAGCCTCACCAGTTCGTGAAGTCGGGCCGGGATTGCCAGGTTGATGGTCCCACCGGATAAACAATACCCTCTCTCTCTTCGATTTTTTTTTGTTGGGCCAAATAGATCTCTATTTTTCAGTATTTTATCCTGAGTCGCCCCCAGACCAATTAATAGTAGGAAAAATTGTAATAAGATTTTATCTAAAAGATTTTGCTCAAAAAAAAAAAGATTTTATCTAAAAGATTAAATACAAAAAATCTATTAAAATCATCAGATTATTTTCAATTCCTGAGAGACTTTATTATGATAAATTTTATTTGTTTAATTATCAAATTATTTTTTTTTTTTTAAGTTTCCATTGATAACTGAAAAAACAATTGTTGACAATTTAAGATGTAAGGATTAACAACTATCTCTGCAGGTATGAGTTATTAACACCTGCCATAATAATTGTTAATCCTTACACCTTAAATTGTTAAGAATAATTTGTTAATTAAATCAATGAATTCTTTTGCAATGAAATTTTTTGAGATTTTAAAATAATTTAACAATTTTAAGTGATTTTTTTGTATTTAATTCTCTTAATTGGAATTTTGTTGTAATTTTTCCTTAATAGTATTTGTTGTGGTTTTGTTTATCCGCCAGTCATCAACATGAACTATCTCTGTTGTTTTAAATAGACCGGATTTAATTTATTTATATCTTTCTTTCTTTTTGGGGTTTCAAAGATAAGCTTATCCTATCAAACGAGATAGAGGACGGATCGGGAGCCATGCCTAATTTTGCCAGCCCCCACAGCCACACGCCTCATAGTTCCGCCAGGCGCCAACCCCACTTTCATCTTATTCTCCATATTCAAATCCTTCTAAGATCGGACTCATTTGTTAAAGGCATTCCTCCAACCAAAACCAACCTTCACGCAGAAAAATTTTTACAAAAAAAAGGGTATTTGGCCGCGACAGCATTGATATTAATGCGTGAGTTTGACGCCTTTGGGCTCCTATATGAAGACTATATTCAAATAATTAAAGAGAATAAGTGATAATTAATATTAAAAAATTATTGAAATGCTAACATAAATATTAAAAAAAAAATAACAAGCATTGGAATAGGTGCCAAAATTTAGTTGACATGATATACTCCTTCAATCCTAACCCATTTTGTAGTATAATCACAAGCATTGGAATATGTCTTATATTAAAAATTAAAGGAATATATTAATACGCAAGTTTGCAAATATAAAATAAGAAAAGGGGATTGAAAAACGCCTACCACTGGCTATAAAAATTGGGAACAGTAAAAAGGGGAGAGCATTTTATGGGGGTCATGATTTGGGACGCAAATGGTCGGAGTGGGAAGGATGATGGGAAGAGCATCTTAATAATAAGAAATAAACAAGTAAATGTGGGGGGCGTGATTGGGTGGACCAACATCCCCAGAATTGCGCATCCGGTACCGTTATTGTCGCAAGAATCATGCTGGGTTAGAAACCAGCGGACCAGATTTTGATATAATTTTAAGCATTTTTTTATTTAATTAAAAATGGGTTCCCCATTGACTATTAATGAATTTTAGTTTAGGCAGAGACCCATGTTACAAGTCCTCTTTATATAAAAGAATACATATGTGCTGCGGGGAAGAGAAATTGATTTTCTTCTCTCTGTTTTTTTTTTAATGAGTGATTACGAATTTACGATTGGAAGAAATAATGAAATAAATGGGGAAAGAGAGAGGGAATAAATAGAACATAATAAGTACTAATAAGGCGGGTGGTGATAGTTGGGCAGAGAGGCACATGGAGCGAGCCGAGCCGGGGGTGACAAAAGCACAGCTTCCGTGTTGATTGCGCGTAGGTTGTCGGGGTCGTTGCCGTTTGCCGTTTGCCGTTGCCGCTGATGATCTCCAAATAATACCTGCCTTTTCTAGCCCATTCTAATCCGCCCCACGCCTCCCTCACTTCCTCCCTCTCTACATTTCAGCTTTCTCTCGCGGCTCTCCGGATTCCACATCGAGCCCATCACTGTTTGATAGCTTCGCCACCTTGATTTTTGCTTCCTAAGGTAAGTTTCACCTTTTTCTCCTCTCGCCACATAAAAAGCTTCCTGGTTTATGCCAGAAATTGCGCGGCCAGCTTTCCATTTCATCCGTCTGTCCATCATGACGCACTGGGGTCCGTTTGTTTCTTCTTTTGACTCATAAAACAAAGGTTGATGCCTACCGTTGCTGTTTGTTTCTTGATTGTTTACCAGACATATCTGCAACCCTTAAAAAAAAAAAATCCTGTTTTTAATGGGAGCTAGTGTTTGCAGTTCCTATCAGATCTCTCCAAATAATGAACTTGGTTGATCGATGGCAGTAAGTTGGCCCGATGGAAATTTCTTAATATGTTGACGAGAAATGTCTAAAGTGTTTTCATTTTCGCATAATGGACGCCGGTGACGTGTTTGAGGGACTTTCTTAGTTTTCCTGAGTGGATTTTGCCCGTCTGACCGTTTTATCTTAAACTGGGCAGGTCTCTCTTGGAAGAGGCGTGTATATACATGAAGCTTTGAGGAAAAGATTTCACTGCACCTATAACTCTGGCCGACAATCTAGAGACATATTCGCCGGCCGGTGGTGCAGGCGTTCGTCCTTCGTTTGCCGATTTTCAATTTTTCTCGCTCTGGGTTCTATATCTTGTGCTGCGCCTTCCCACTGATTATGGCTAACTCCTAATTTGGGTCCAATGTGAGGTCATAACTCTCCGCCAGCCCCTGTTATAGCTGAATTATGAATTGAATAAGCAGAGATGTGAGCGGCAATATAGGTTAAACTGAGAAGATTTTGTGATAATTTTAACCTCTGCGATGGCCATGTGTAAATGTTTCTCTGTCTTCATGGGGAGGAAGAATGCCAACAAGGTAAAATCTTCTTCGAATTTTTGCATCTTATTTTGTATTGTGAGGTTCGTATAACTGAAGGATCGATTGATTTTAGCTCCATTTGGCTTACTTCTTTTAGTTGGAAGAACAAGCTTCGAAAGGGGGACTTGAAACTCTTCATGTCAAAATGGAGCTGCCAGGAACATCATCGGAGACTGATGAGTTGAAGGCGTCAACCTTCGATGTTACAGCGCCCCGTGGGAGCCAGAAAAATTCACGGTGCAATGTGAGGGTTATGAATCTTGAAAGTCCTGTGAAGGATGAAGCAGAGGAAGCTTATGAAGGGGAAGATGAGCATGAAGATTCAACCTCAATCAAGAGGGAACTCTCTGACATGGACCTACAAAGCCACGCAAATGAAGTTGACGCCAGCAAAGGAGGATTTGACCCAAGAGATAATGAGATAAGTTTTCCCATATTATATGAAACTGAAGCTAACAATCAATTCGAAGATAAGACTGATAAAGAGAGTCATAAGAATATTGATATGATCCAAAGCGGACATGTCAGTGATCCTGGGGTTGGCAAGACTGTCTTCTGGGCTTCTCCAAAGCTCCAGCGGTCCTGCTCCGACCTGGAAAGAAGGGATGTTTTTAGGAACATGACTCGTCAATTGCCTTATTCTACCTCGCAGTCCTACGAGGATTTGCAGGGATTATCAGAAAACCAGATGGGCTATCTTGAAAGCCCCAAGTCAGTGGTGACTCATTGTAGTGCCGATAAAGTAATGTTGAAAAAACATTCATCAAGTCAGGTTCTCCCTTCCAGAAGTAGAAAACTGTGGTGGAAATTGTTCTTGTGGAGCCACAGGAACATACACAGACCGTGGTTTAGCAAATCAACGCAATTACTTCCTGCTAATGCTGCCGCTGCTGCTTCGAATAGGCAATGTGGCTATTCTTCAGACATCCTCGAACCAAAACAAGGTAAGGCAGTGGAAAATGTGGAGTCGCCTGGATCATATACCGGTGAATCTTTTGGCAAACTCTCCATCGAAGAACATACTGATAACCAAAGGTGGGGGAGATTTCACATTGGAGAATCTAGCATGTGGCCTCAAAACCAGTGGGTTGCTTTCTCAACAGAATCATCGCCCTTCACAAGAGTGGACGAGTGGGTGAAAGATCTAGAAACCCTGGAACCACTTCCAGTGGATGGCGATGATAACAATGAGAGAAGCATCGTGTACCCAACATCTCCTGACACTGGTAGATCAATGGCCAGAAGCACAGCTCGACATCCAGGTGCCAATCTTCCAAAAGAGATTTTGTATGCTAATAGCATCGTCCAATCTCTGAATCCAGCCTCGTCTGCGGCTCACATTATGAGTATGGGTTTGAATGCCATTCCTGCTATTTCACACTTCTCCAGTCTCCGCTCTGTCAATTTGTCCAACAATTTCATAGGTATGAACCTCAGCAGCGGAAAATAACTCTTCAAACAACTGCAATTATAGCTGCTTAACTGATTGACTCAGTTCAATTCATCTATTTGCAGTCCATATCACGCCAGGATTGCTCCCAAAGGGTCTTCACACTCTTAATTTGTCAAGAAACAAGATCAACACCATTGAGGGACTCAGAGAATTAACACGTTTGCGGGTCCTTGACCTCAGTTATAATCGCATCTCAAGAATTGGACAAGGTTAGTTTCTTTTTCTGTTGAGGCTTATACTCGATGGTGATCTGTTTCTCATTTTATTTCACCTTGCAACCTATTCTCCTGTATGTTACCAGGGTTATCGAATTGTACACTCATCAAAGAGCTATACCTAGCGGGGAACAAGATAAGCGACTTTGAGGGTCTCCACAGGCTACTGAAGTTAACTGTTCTGGATATGAGCTTCAACAAGATCACAACAACAAAATCGTTAGGCCAGCTTGTGGCCAACTTTAACTCACTGCAGGCTCTGAATCTTTTGGGAAATCCAATTCAGAGCAATATCAGCGAGGAGCAGCTGAGGAAAGCGGTGTGTGGTCTTCTCCCAAAGCTAGTGTACCTGAACAAGCAATCCATCAAACCTCAGAGGGCACGAGAAATACTGACAGACAGTGTGGCCAAAGCTGCACTTGGGAACAGCAGTAGAAGCTCCCATAGAAGAGCACTGAAGAGAGGTGGGCAAGGAGGATCGCTTTCCTCCTCCAGAAGCAGTGCGAGTGTTGTTCAGAGGAGTAGGAACAGGTCAAGGAGCCGAACAAGTAATCAGGTGCCCTCAAGAGGAACAACTCGTTAGGGTTAAAAATTCTCTTAGCTTGGTTGTTTATTACGTTTCCAGGACTTGACCATAAAGTGGAGCTGCAGCAATCTTCGACGTTAAATTTGACGTTTTGGGATTGGGTTTGTTTCAGTTTTTTTTTTTTCCAAGTCAAATACTTGAGCTCAAAGTGGGCGTTGAAAGTCTCCTTGTTTGTTAACAATTGATGCCTTGTGGCCTTTGAAGTCTACAACTTTCACTGGTGGAAGTTTTTTTTTTTGATATCATCCGGCTTTTTCTCAAACTCTACCAACGTTATATATTAAACAATTTTGACGGTGCCAGAAAGTGATGGACCATCTCAATTCATCCTCTGTTCTGCGGCTATTATTTAAACCCTTTGTGAATCCCGAGGCACCTAATCAGTTTTCAGTGGCATTATGAATTTTGGCTGAGAAACTACAAGTTAATACGGAGGCTCGTTATTTTAGGCAGCTACGCGTCAAATTTGCATAATGCTTATTAAAGAGATGTGAAAATATAATTACTGCAGCTACTTAAAATGTAACTTAAAGAAAGCAGCACCGCTGCAGATATTAATACTCTGATCACGGAAAAATCTATTTGTTGTGGCAAGTTATTGGACCCGGGTTGAGTGCGTTATTCATTGAGATCTAAGCAGAAGGAAAATAGATGTTCTATAAGACGCTACTTTGACTTATAACAACAGTTTCACCTGATGATAATTGAGTGATGACTACTCGGGTACAACGGATCTTTCAAGAAAGTTCCCAGACAAACCATGAGAACGAAAATACATAGGAGCAAAACAAAAGTCCGACCTGCCGGATTCGAACCAGCGACCTAAGGATACCCATCAGGCGTTTTACCCACTACAGTCCTCCGCTCTGCCAACTGAGCTAAGGTCGGTTACGTAACGTTCGGTTCACCAATTTATTTAATTATGTTTATAACCTGGCTTTCCTCGACGGACCCCGGCTTCAGAAGAGAAAGCTATGTGGAGGCAGTCATGCTCCGAATCTTTGGCCGAGCCAGTTGGTCCCGCTAGCAATTTCTCTCGATTCATCCTTCGTCTCACGAGTCACGATGTAATGCGGGTTCGGCAACAAGGAGTTGATAATAATATCGTTGCATTCAGTGAGTTTCAAAAAATAATTTTGACAGTTACATAGTTAAACCGTAAAAGATAGCGCATTTCGTTGAAAAAATGAATAAAGAACCTCCGGAATGATTAATCGTGTTCTGAGTGGGGTTTTTATTTTGGCTAATGCTTTGAGAGAGAGTATAATTGTCTTGAAAAGATAATTTCTTTACTTTTTGGCTCAGGCTTCAAATGAGACGCTTCAAATTTCCTTCATTCTCATGGCAGAAAAATTATCTGTCAAGAATTTTATTTCTTCCGCTAAATTAAACAAAATGAATTATTGAATCAGAATAAATGACTAAAATTCAAATAATTTGTTGAAATCATGAAAATATATTAATTATCAGAAAAGTTACTATGATATTCTTATATTATACAGGATTTGAATTATAAACACCATATAATACTCAAACCCTTCACCAATCATACATAACACTTATTTGTGAATTAGAGGAAACATAAATATGTCGGGCAAAATGTAACTTAGTTAACCTGCAATTGAGGCGCATCAGCATTATAGATGAGTACAAAATACAACTCGCTCCATTTTAGGGCAGCTGTTGAATCCAATTTTCAGCAAAGATATCCCCAGTCGGTGAGGCATTGCAAAATTGCAGTGAAATACTGTGATTTTACATTATAATTTATAAACATTGACAAAAATGTCAAGTACAGCTTTGTCCAGCTTTTACAGGAGACAGTCGTCAAAAAGCCTGCAAGATGAGGGCAGAGAACAAAACTCAAATCGTAAAGGGGGAATTGATTGGCTGAGCATTTTATACACTACAGCAAACATGAATAACTTATTCTATCGCTTTCACAATCTTAATGATGTGGTTGTGTTAACTGTAATCAGACATCACATGAAAAAATAGATACACCAGTATAGTTCCTCCTCTCCTCCGGGACCTCGCTTGGTAATTGCATGGCCTAAACATAGGACTTGTGATTGTATAATTGACCAAGAGCCACTGTTTCCTCTATCCTGTTCTACTACTTTCTGTTCAAAATTTTCAACCCCCACTTTCTGTGGCGGAACTTTATGACAATAAATGAACATGACGGAAATGAATAGGAATAGAATCAATTAGTTTGACAGTCTCTTAAAGAAAGGTTTCTGACAGATTAGGAGTCTATGATCGTTGTCGCTCTCAAGTTCTACAACTCGGGCATCCCACTTCAGCCGTGTTGCCAGAGCTCTAGCTGACTCTATCAAAGGAACTGTATCCCGAATTATAATCCAACCCTGCACACACAATCAAGCCAGCAAATGAAAAGCCTTCAAAAGGATTACACCACACACACACACACACAAAAAAAAAAAAAAGAGCCTTCACCAAGACAACTCAAACAAAAAGGTAATTATCGGATTCGGTATGTGAATACAAATCAAATTCAGCAACTCAGACAACACTGAAGGGCTGCCAACGCAGAGCATGATTCTATTTGTAAAGGTATTAAAAGATACATCAGTGGACTGCTTGATGAGCAATTAAATGTTTGAAGTAATATTAGTAGTTTGGAAAACAGCCTTGTAAGGATAACAAAGGAGATTTAATTGATTAATGATAAAAAGAGTCCAGTTCAATTTGTTATGCTATTCATAGATCAGTGCATTAGTATTCCGTCAAAAAGGTAGGAAGCTACACTTTTCACGAGCCATAAACAATGTAGCTCCTTTTGAGCTCTGTACAAATGTACAAGTCCACTCTAATTTCATAAATAGCACCAATGCATTGGAAAAAAGAAGATCTCAATCATCATTAATAAATCAGGATAAAGGGGAAGCTGAACAAGTCTGATTCAAAAAAACAAAGTATTATGCTAATGGAGGTGAATTCAGACTTACAAAAGTATGTGCTCTTAAGCAGCAGCTTAAAATAGCACAAGATTTTCCGCTCAAATCCAGGCCATTATGTTTAGTTACAGTAAAGGAACATTGTAGATTACATTTTGTCACTCAATGAAGTTCCTACATTACTGTCACTCAATGAAATTCAGGGTACCGCTTTCATTACAAGGCTTGAGGCAAGTACCCCTTTTTTCCGAGGGAAAAAAAAACACAATTTAAGCTTACAACTAGGCGGTCCTAAATTCCAACACAAGTGTAGTGTGATTTCTGTGCTAGACAGATAAAGGAACAAAACTTCAAGGATTGTCATTCCAAGTCTATGGGCATGCCGTTTTCTGCTTACATAAAAAGGAAAAGCTCGGAGTATTTTAAATACCTCTGGACGAAGTAGCCTGTCAATTTCAGTAAACAGATCAAGCATGGTGCATCTACCAAGCTGAGAATTTTGAAGTGACAGAAGTCCCGCTGCATGCACCAAGTCATAGGTTCTAGGATATGTTGGAAAAGCCTCACACCTAGAAGCCAAAATAGAACAGAATTGTAAGAAAACTAAAAAGAACATGATATGATGATGATAGTAACGGAAGAAGACTGTAATGGAATTGCATGTGGCAATAAATTCATGTTCAACCACAAGAAATTTATTGATGAAACCTGCGAATCATAACATCATTATAAAATACAAGATACAAAGAAGAACGGAATACCAATCATGCAAAACACCAACAAAACCCCTGTCCTGGATCAAGGGAAGGTAGTTTGGTCCGCTGGTTGGGACCACATTCATGACCCACACGGCCTTTCCAGCTTGCAGCAGTGCCAGATTAAAACCACCAAAATGAGCATTCATGTCTAACACATTTCTGACCATGTTGTAGGGCGGTGAAGGATCCTCTTCACCAGGCCTCTTTGGATGATCAGAGAATATTAAAGGTGAAAGGAGAGACCAGTAATTACGGACTACTGTTCTCCAGCTTTCAGATTCCTCAGCAAATTCTTCTGGCTGCAGCCCTAACACATAAATATAAGCTTGATAAGATAACAAGTTGCTAGGAGATTCCATTGGGTGAAACAGATTTTTTTTTTTTTGGCCAGAATTCAGTGAAACAGTTTAAGTCCATCAAAGATCAATAACGTTTGAAAAACATTAGCATATAACAATTACCATAGGCAGCAAGCTCTTTATTGTTCAAGTTAGTCCGAGAAGGCCAGGTTGCCCTCTCATCAATAGAAATCCAACGACTACTATGTGTTCCTCCTATGCAGTTTTGCAGTTCTCGATAATATGGAGACTCCACATCATAACTCTTACCACACAAAGGAGGGCCAGCACCAGAATTTCTGAAAGAACCAGACAAGTGATGCTAAAAATCAGAAACAACTTCTTAATCCTTCATGCAGCATGATTGCATATGTTGGCATGAATTCGATTTTTCAGAAATATGTTTCTTGAGAACTTACAATGTGAATGTAATTTTCACCAATATGTCACAAGTTCACAACAGCTTTACCTTGAATTATAGCAATTCCTTTTACTAGTTTTCTTCCATATGACCGTTTCATCTTGTTGAGACAACATTTCCCAGCAAATATTTTCTGTGAAATCATGGACAAACTTCCACCGCTTCTGATTCTCTTTGCTACGGGCATTTGAAAGTGGGGATGTCCAGACAAAGTAGCCACCCGGTTTTAGAAGTCTATCAGCTTCAATCAAGAGAATACCATCTACGGCGAGTAATGAGAATGTAAGATTAAAAATACTGATTGATGTGCAACAATCACGTTAACAGTTATAAGGAATAAGCCAATAAGGACACCAACTAAAAAGTTGTTGGAAAGTAGCCTTCACACATATTTCAAAGGAAGACTCTGAAAAGTTAGCTACGGTTTGGCAGGTAATAAATTACATTAACCTTAGTAATCTTCACAAAATGAACACCTGACTACTCAGGACACAGTAAGAGAAAAATAGAAACTAAAAATGTTCAATATTTAGCTTGCCATTGGTAGCAACAGCATTACCAAGCTACTTGAAATTCAAAGGATGCAAAAAAAAAAAATTTAATGTGTTTAGCTTTGGGAAACTTCCTGTAATTAAGAATTAAATCTGGAGAATTTCTCAAAGGTATACATCATATCAATTTCTTTTTTAATTCTGCATTTGGGGATGTCGATTTCATCAAAAACAACTGAGGGAATCATGATGTCCCCGGCAAAATACCATCCAACACGCTGATTCTAGAAAATGTAGCATGAGATTGAATTCTGAAAGGTACCTTTCTGGTCC